TCCCTGACTTCCCATATCAATCTTGTGTCCCCTACCACGCGCTTTGGTCAGCTGCATGCAGAGCGTTCCACTATGCATATCAAACCTCAGCGCACGACGGAGTCATTCCGAAAGGCTACTGCTGATGGAGATTGCAACAACTCTATTACTCCGCAGTGCCTTAAGCAGTTGTACAGCGTTGATGATTATGAGGCCGATGCTGGCAGCGGCAGCAAAGTAGGCTTTGCCAGTTACCTTGAGCAGTACGCTCGTTACTCCGACTTGGAGCTGTTCGAGAAGAACATCGCTCCCTATGCCAAGAATTCCTTTTCGGTCATTACTTATAATGGCGGCAAGAACAATCAGAGCTACACCGGCGATTCTAGCGAAGCCAACCTAGACGCCCAGTACATCATCGGCGTGAGCTCTCCTATTCCGGTTACTGAGTTCAGTACTGGCGGTCGTGCGCCGCTTGTCCCAGACGCGGCGGAACCAAGCCAGAAAGATGACCAGAATGAGCCGTACCTGGATTTCTTACAAAATGTGCTCAAAATGGACCAGGATGATTTGCCGCAGGTTATCTCCACCTCGTACGGGGAGGATGAACAGGTAAGATATCTCTCTGAAGCGATTCGGGGCAGCTATGATCTGACTATCTTTCCAGAGCGTGCCTGAGAAGTACGCCCGCAGCGTGTGCAACCTATTCACACAGCTTGGCAGCCGTGGCGTCTCCGTCCTCTTCTCGTCTGGCGACTCGGGTGTCGGAGGAGCTTGCATAACCAACGACGGCTCCAACCGTACTCACTTCCCTCCACAGTTCCCCGCGGCTTGTCCGTGGGTGACTTCGGTTGGTGCGACGACCCACACATCGCCCGAGACCGCCGTTTCTTTCTCATCGGGTGGATTCTCAGATCTGTGGGAGCGCCCATCCTACCAGAACGACGCAGTCAGCGCCTACCTTGAGGATCTGGGCGACCAGTGGGCTGGTCTATTTAACCCTAAGGGCCGGGCCTTCCCCGACGTTGCCGCCCAGGGCGTAAACTACGCCGTGTATAGCGCTGGCTCTCTCATCAGCCTGGAAGGCACCTCGTGCTCTTCTCCGACTTTTGCTGGAGTTATTGCTCTGCTCAACGATGCCCGTCTGCGCGCAAAAAAGCCTGTGATGGGCTTCCTTAATCCCTGGCTCTATGCCAACGGGGCTTCCGTTCTGAACGACATCACTACTGGCGGTAGCACTGGCTGCTCCCAAGGTCAGGGCGTCAATGGCAGCCCTTACGTTCCATATGCCAGCTGGAACGCTACTAAGGGCTGGGATCCTGTCACGGGTCTCGGCACTCCGAACTTTGCGGAAATGAAGAACGTGGCTGTTGGCAACTAGATGTTGCATTTCTGATTATGTCGGTCTCCGGTCAATTGGCAGGTGGTTCCTAGAATAATAGGGTGTAGATGCTCTCACGCAGGGTGCACATAGCTGCCACCTAGGATTTCTGCAAATACATATAAATTGATCTTTATTCGCGTTCTGTTTTACACACAATATGACATAATTGAGCTTATGAATGCGGTCGGGGAAATTAAGCACCAGTTTAGAGAAGTCTTCGCCTCGCAGATATAGATAATGTAGACATCCTAATTCTGATTGCACTTCATGATCTGAAGATAATATCTTACGTTTCATAGTTCATTCATACATTTCGAGCCTACTTATCACTCAAAATGCTGCAATCAGCCGCGTCAGCCGGGCTCTTCAGAATAAACAAACGGAAATCCAAACACAAAGTGACATCGATTGAATGATTATCTCTGGAAATGACGTGACGTGCAAGCTGGAGAATAAAGGACATGGGCGTTTGAAGAATGGATGAGGATAATTTACTTGAATGGTGGTGCTGTAGGGGGTATCGCCTCCCCTGGAGTCAACCGCTGGATATCTTTAACGTGCTCCTCCCAAAGTTGAAGCGCGAAATTGGACCACAGCCCACGGGATGCCTCCCCTGCTTCATGCCCATGAGTATATCCCGCTTCCATAATATCGAAGGGGAAAGGGAGCCATGTGTTTGGTTCTCCTGGTCGTCGCCTACCATCAGGGCGCCAGGTGGAGATAGATCTTTCGAAAATGATTTTTTCCAACCGCCCATGACTTCCACGGCTCGAGGGGCAGGAGAGTAGAAATTTTTTATCGACAAAAGGGTGGGGGCGGTGGTTCTAAAGCCACTCTTAAGGCTCCGAACCGATCAACGTTGTCGAGCGATGGATGGAGATCTTGAAGAAAAACAAAGTGACCTGCACCCTATCAATACATACAACGGAGGTAGATTACGTGGACATGAACTATAGAGACGAGTTACTCGAGCAAGCTGGTCGAGAGTCATTGTATGGATGCTGTATGCAATATGCCAGGCAAATCAGTCATAAAACCGTAAGCCCACGAAATCGGCTGCCCAAGATGTAAACCCATCGATGATGCCCTCATTCCCGATCACCACTTCGTTATCCCCATCTTTCCACCCGTCAACCAAAAGACCCAGGGTTGCACTATCCCACCATCCCATCCCAGGCCCAAAAAGCTCGCTGTGCCGTCCACTGAGAGGTACCTCAATTCGAACGGGAGTTCCGTGATTGACAGACACAGTGATATTCCTCGAGTTGGAACCCCAGCCCCATGAAGTGGAGAAAGCAATGTCATTGTTAATGTAATCCAGCTCAAGGTACTTTGATGAAGTGTTGGAGTGCAACACATTAGCTGGAATGGTGGCTCGTGCGGTATTGGTGGCATTGATATAGCCGATCTTTGAGCCAACAGGGTGGCAGAACCCCGCGCCGCACTTTTCGAGCTCTGCAGAGCCGGAGAGAGAAAATCCAGTACAAGGATAGTACTTTCCCCGAGGGGAGGTTATTCGAATAGAGTCGATGGGCTCGAGAGTATCGATTGAGATTTGGTTCATGGATCCGGCTCTCAAGGAAATTGTTGACGAAACGCTGCGCTTGGAAGCTGGCACATTAACCTGTTTCCTCTGTGAGCTTGAAGAGCTTTCCAGATTAAACTTGGTTGAAGTGCCAGCAGCTTTAGAGAAAGAAACAGTGATTGTATAGTTGTCGCTTGTGGTGTTTGCATACACATTCTTGAAAGTTGTAGTGTGGCTGGAGATAATCAGCACGAATCGCTGAGTATCCACAAGGATCATGGACTACTTACCCTTTTGAAGTGGCAAAGAGGCTGCTGGGATAAAGCCCTGCCTCTATAGCGTCTTCCAGCTCTAGCAACATAATGCCATGAGCATCCACAGTAGCTGAATAAGTTGTGCGGACATTCCTCAACGTTTCTTTCGCCCAGATATTCTTGACTATCTTTGCATGCTGCAGCCCGATGTCGGGTAATTCCATTGTCAATTCCCTAGATTCATTGGCCCAGTTAATCAATGCAGCCACCATCCGGCCCTCAGATAATGGTCCACTCCAAACCTCGTATCCAGCCTCGGACCACCGTCGACGGAGATTCGCGCTCTGCGCCAGAGAATCCTGGTTAAAGCCGATAACGTCCTTGTTCGATAAGATCTCCAAGGAGACGTCGCTGATAGCAGTCAAATCATCCTTCAGTGCCGCGCCAATAGTGAGCGGGCTCTTTAGAATAGCCCACATCGAGAAATGAGTCTGCTCTTCTGGTGTTGTAAAGACATTATTGCCAACCTCGAGCATGTCTAGATCAGGCCATTGCCCTGGTCCCGCAAATGAAGTCGACGGGACGGCTTGATTAAGGATCCGGAAGATGGTCCTCCAGTCTGGAATGATGTCGTTACTGATACGCCATGTATTACCCAGGGCTGGAGCCCAAAGTGCAGGGAAGTCGACACCCCAGTCACAAATTTGGAACAACACGGAGCGGTTCTGAGCTGCCAATGCCTTGGTCATGTTGGCATATCGAAATCTCGGCGATGTGCTGGGAGTATAATCCGCATCGGGGTATCCAGCTGCGGCGTCGGAGTAGCAATTATCATCTGTTGGAGCATAAGTAAGATAACAAAAGAAACTGGATTGGAGATGATTCCTACACTTAAGGGAATCGACTTTCCAAGAGGCAAAGGTCGCTGCATCATGCGGTTCATGGTCTGCGGTAAGCCGTATATTAGCAAGAACACTTTGTAATTTATCTCAAGGATGTACAGATCACTCACGCAAGCTTCCAGCCTGCGGAATAGTCGTCTGACAAGATCTAATCCCTGCATCCTCATACACTCCGAAATAAAGACCTAAATTGTGAATGAACTGCCCCAATGCAGGAAACCCGCTAGGAAACAACGTATGGTTCCAAGTCAAAGAGCCATCAGATGTTCGATCCAGGACCGTCCAGCCACAATCGGTAGTGACATAGCGATAGCCGAGTGGAGCAAGCCCCAGATCAACTAGAGCTTTCGCGTTGGAGTGAACAATACTCTCGTTCGGGGAGCACGAGTAGTGGTTATATGTGTTCCATCTAGAAAGTTTAGCAAGAATTTAAAACTAAGTAAAAACGCGTTTACCCCATGGGAGGTGTCTTTGCAACACCATTGTCGTTTTGAGGTCTCAGCGCGGAAGCTGAGCTGATGGGCAGCTGCAGCACAACCAACAAAGGGAAAAAAATCGGCAGCATTGTGATGATTTGTATCTATTGCAGCAATTCAATGATTTACTGTGTTTAAGGTAGGTATTTATAGCTGGTTCTCTCCGCTGGAGTACCGTCTCGACGCCCGCACGAAGTCGCGGGGTCGAGCTGCAAAGTGGAGAGGACGGAAAATTTCCTAGAAGGGAATTGTACAAACAGGATGATGTAATTCATTTGGATCCCTTAGTTACTTGCATCGCAACCTAATAGTCAATAAAGAAAGCACAACCGAGGACTACTAATACGAAAACAAATGCAACTCCAGTAGAGACTTTCACCCTCCAGTTAAGAAAACAGTGATAAGAAAGCTAAAGCGCCCATAATCTCATCCCAGTCTCGATCTCATCATTAACTCATTAAATAACACCGTGAAACACCTGACTTAAGCGAAAAGGCCCATCAGAGCAGAGCAAAAGACCAGCGCAACGACACCTAGATCAGCCTTGGAAACGGGCTGGTTGGCCAACGCCGCATTTTCGGTATGAGACACCGAGGAGCCGCTGCTGGTCTTGGTAGCTTTGGGGGCTTTGGTGGCAGAAGTGTTTCCTACGCCGACGTCCGTAGCAGTAGCACTCGCGTTGGCGGTGTTGCAGAAGACGTCGTGATGGTTATCGCTCTTGGTCTGCAGGCAGGAGCGGAGCTTATCAATGTCTTGGCCTTGGGCGAGACAATAGATACTGCAGTCGTTGGCGTACGTGTGGGGCGTGGCTTGACCGCAGCAGTCGTTGAAGACGTCTGTGATGTTGCCAGTGATGCGCGACGCGCAGGCCGGGTCGCCGCTAGGGGGGTTCCAAACATTCGCGGCATTGCAGTTGGAGGCAGTCGAAGATGGAGGATAAGCTATCGAAGTACTAGGGGCAGCCATTTTGAACAGAGTGTCGTATGGAGTTTATGGTGAAATTTGAAAGTATGCGGCGAAGTCGAACATCGGGAAGGTTACGAGGTATGAAGTGCGGATGACGGAGAGATGATGATTGAAGTAGATGCAAAAGATAGGAAACAAGGCATCCAGGTGCGTCCGATTCTTAATTTAAGCATAACCCTAGGTAAGAAAATGGCCTGTGACTGGTGCTCGGATCTCATGCCCGACGACATTTAAGTAGTCCTCCACTGTTCTGCTATACAAGACAGCCCTAACTACTGTATGGCAGAACTTTACTTTAAATAATTGACCAGAATCGAGGTCAGGCGTATGTGATGGGTATTCAATCATTGATTGCTGATTTAAAAAGTATAAGAAGCACACCAAGCACAGATTGTTACGAGTCCAAAATGCGTCTAGTCCTGACCCGAATGGGTAAAGCGAACTCCGTATACTATCTAGATGATATTGATTACATCGCAGCCAGAGTATCAACACTCCGCTGTGTCATGGGAAAGCTTCAAAGCTCGGTCTTGGGCTCTGTCGTCTCCTCATTGATCTCCTCCTTGTGGGCAGCGGTCTCGGCCACAACGAGCTTGTCGTCGGAGGCGTGCTCGACACCCAGCAGAGCAAGCAGGCCAATCTCTCTTTCGATGCGTGCCTTGCGGAGCGCATCGTCCTGGGCAATACCAGTACTTCCGAAAAGCTCGTCCATCTCCTCCAGGGTACGGCCCTTGGTTTCGGGGACCAGGAAATACACGTAGGCCACGCCGATGGTGGTGATACAGCCGAAGAAAATAAAAGCGCCAATTGGGCTCGTCTTGACGAACGGGGAAGTGGACAGGCCGACGGCGAAGTTGTTGAGCTGTATGAAAAGTTTATGAGCAAAATATTTGGTGATGCAACACAGAGGAATACTCACCCAGTTGCTGCTGCCACCAAGACTGACACCCTTAGCACGCATGGAAAGAGGGAAAACTTCCGAAACGACAATCCATGCCACGGGACCTGAGCAGTTTGTTAGCGGTGTACAGTTACGTCGATTAGAGTATGTCACTCACCCCATGAATAGGCAAAGTTGATCACGAAAATCCACACAAACACGATACCGGCCCAGCCGGCCGCACGGTGCTCGTCGAATTTGTGGTTGAAGCCACCCAGGATACCAGCAACAATAAAATGGCACGAGGCCATACCAATGGCTCCAGCAATCAGAATCTTCTTGCGGCCAATCTTATCGACCCACAGCACGGCTGGAATGGTGAAAACGAATTCGAAAATACCAACAACACCCGTGGCCAACAGGGTGATAGTGTTGCCCGGCAGGTGCATATTCTGGAAGATGAACGGCCTTTAAATAATCAGTATATAATCCCGAGGGTTGGGAGCCGGTACTCACGCATAGTAGTTGATTGCGTTGATTCCATTCCATTGCTGGAAAGTCATAATCAGACACTGGGAAATGGTCAGCAAATGTCCAGTGCCTTTAATATTTTCAAGCAGACATACAGCAACGGCAGTTCGCTTAAACAGAGAAGGGTTGGTGACAAGTGAGAGATATTCGGAAGCGCCGATCTTGAATCGGCTGGAAAACGAGCCGTCCTGCCAATCAGGGTATTTCTTCTCGGAAGTCTCCTTCTCAAACAGGTAAAGACTCTTGATTTCCAGGAACTCGATGCGGACCAGAAGATCATCGGTGGACGCGCTGCGGAGGCGAGCTAGAGTTTTTAGGCACTCCTCCTCGCGGCCAGTGTTCATCAAATGGCGTGGAGATTGAGGCATAAAGAGTACAATACCAACTCCCAGGACGATAGCAGGGAGGATTTGAATGCAGACAGGAATGAGCCACGCAGCGTCCGCCTGGTTGGCGCCCGTGCCGCCGATGTAGTTCGTTCCATAACCAATCTAATACAGTCAGTTAGAGGAAGCTTGATATTAAGCGTCGGGGTGCCAATTCTTACCCAAAAGCTGATCATGATTCCAAAAGTGATAGCAAGCTGCTGCACAGCGACCAGCGAGCCACGAATCTCTGGAGGTGCCTTGCAAACCAATCAGTTGTTGTTCTATACATGATGTTTCGCGAGTGCAACTCACCAGCTCGGCATTGTACAGTGGAACGACCATACTCAAACTTCCAACTCCCAGACCGGTGACGAATCGACCTCCGAAGACGTAATTGGCATTCTGGGTGCAAGCCTGGACAATGACACCAATGCAGAAAACCACCGCAGCAACCACGACCGTGAGCCGACGACCCAGCGCATCAGCCAGGTATCCGTTGAACAGCGTTCCCACCCAGGCACCGAGCTCGAGGATAGAAGTCAATAGACCCTGTTTAATACCCGTAGTCGCGGCGAATTGTTGGGTCTGCACCCCGAACAATTATCAGCATTGAAGTTCCCAGGTTTTCCAATCGGTCTGGTACTCACAGCATCACTAAAAGAGTGCATCGTCAAGATCTGGGAGAACATTCCCTGGTTATCTGCCAGCTGCTGTCAGCGTACGTGGTGGTATTTTTTATCTGCCCACTTACATCCGTACACCAGACCTCCCAGTGAAGCGAACAATCCGATGGCGGAGGTCTTCTTGTTACTGAGCAGACCCTGGATACCACCCTTGCCCGCCAACTCAGCACGCTTGGCCGAGATGGCCGTCTCTCCGCCAACATGAAGGCCCATGATTGATCACGGGTGGCACACACTCGATGAGAGAATGAACACCCACGACAGAGATAGTGTGGAGGATAATAAGATGGAATGGAAAGGATAAGAGAAAAATGAATTAGACAGGAATTATAGAAAGTCACCAACCGGTCTCGATCTCAACCGGGATCGGCAGATCTATTTATTCAGCTGGCACCGGCTGCGACGAGTATCGGAATCACTGGATAAAGTCTCCCCGGGACTTTATCCCTCCCCATGGGGGGCCGTAATGGCATCAGACCCCGGTTTCCCGTGCGTACCAAGTTTCGGCCTCTAAAGCACCAAGCTTGAACAAAGCGTGTCGCTTGTGTCCGTTTACCCACCGTAGACGAAGCCCCACCACGTTCGGTGGTACTTCGAGTTCGGACGCTAGGCCATGGCTGGACTCTATAGCGTCACCGATACGGTCATATCACTGGATGTTGGACATATGGAGGACGGGGGGACTGTGGGGCGCGCGTAGATGTGTACGCGTTTGAGAGTGGGCAGAATTTATCCGCGTTGGTTATTCGGCAGCCATGGCGCCTGCAAAACCATGGATAACTCGGATGGTGCCAACAAGCTTTGAACGTGTCTGTCACCTTCCTACACAGGACACCAAACGTGAATCGTGGTCGGTCTTAGCCGTAGGCCGAACCCGAATTTGTTGAAACAAATGGGACAAAAAGACGGCTCAAAGACTCATTCATCATTGGTTGTGCATACCGACTCGGGTCCACTCGAACTCCGGATGGAGAAATGGGGATAGACAAACCTGGTTCTCCACACTTGGACCTGCCCTGCAACGCCGGATGAATTGGCCCTACTTTAGCCTGTTCACCATTCACCCCTGCTGCATACGCCGCCCAACGCCCCTCCCGTGCGCCAGCCTAGCCTAACAAAACCTACGAATCGGCATCGATCGAAGACCGGGTTTGCCGACGACTCTGCATTTCCGGGCTAAGTGCAGCTGGTAAATGAGCACCAGAGTACGTATGTACGATAGTTCCGGGTAAACCGGAGACTGTGCAACCAACCCAACTTTCCCGAAATGCGGGATTTTGTCCCGTTATGTATTGTTATCCCATCCCTGAAAATAGCCCCCACAGATGTCTTGACATCTGTTCGGTCATTCATCGGAAGCACCTGGGACATGTTGTCGCGGCGTCGGGGTCCCTGCCGCTTTTCGACCGGTTAGTCTTCGGAGTACAATAGTGTCCCGGTGCCGCCGCACTACGGAAGCTGCGCTAAGTTATATACGCTAAATGATATACCATGGGTCGCTTTGTAAATGGGGCTCGGTTAGTCTCCGGCATTGGCCTCGGTATGTAGTAGTTGTTTGTAAATGCATCGTACACTGCACACCATCCTCAGTCTTGTCATTTCGACTCCAGTTGACCAAAATTGGCCGCCGCCCGTTTTACATTGGAAGGCTACCGTCTTCATCCCGATTTGATCAAGATAACTCGTGAAAATTTTATCGGCTTCAATGGATCCATCGGTATCGCGATTAAGCGTGAAGCACGCCTCGTTCATAGATCAAATTACTACGTTTTTCATGTGGACAACCCCTACTTCTAGAGATCGAATTGCACCCCTTACCAGTTAGATAATTACTACTATGTAATAGTGAGCCGAGCCGCTGATGCGAGTGGCGCGCTAACAGTCCGCCACGTAAAGCATAAATTAATCCTGGCAAAATATTCTTCAACATCAGATCAATATTTTCAGGGATCAGACACTTTTTTAGAACAAAGAACTCATTTTGTACTTCCGCTCAAGAAATCAATGCCATCGTCGGTCGCCTTTTCCTGTTCTTTGCTAGTAGCCACTCAGACGCCCTTGAAGATGTGTCTGAGGAAGCTGGAGGACCAGCTCACATCGCGTGCCTAGACTATGTAGGTTTTGCTTTTCATCTGTCTGTCCTCAATGTCATTTCATTGGGTATGCCTCTTTCAAGATTCCTGGCATTGTCATTTCAAGAGTAGGATTCGATGACGTTCCGATCCAGGTACTTACTCCGAAGTAATGATTGATGAGAGGGGACAGTCACCACCGATGCCAATGCCCATGATACTGCGCCAGAAGATGAGCAGACCAGTGATCGAAACAGCGCGGGAGCTCGAAGAAAGTGCCTGGGCGAGGGTAACGAGAGTAATGATCATAAGCTCGATACCGTACATGCCCTACCAACCGATGCCATCCGCAAGCCAGCCAAAGGAGAGCTGACCGATGACCGTGCCGCCCGAAGTAGCAACCTTGATGGCAGTGTCCGAGCTGGAGGGGATCTTGCCAGGGCCCGATGCAGCACCCTGCCAGAAAACAACACCCAGCATGCTCACGGCCAGGTTGATGGCAAAGATGTCAATACGAATCAATGAAAAAGTCAACGCCAGCGACAATCACAGCCCGGACGTGACGCCAGCCAAAGCTGGCATTGTCGATTTGGGCCAGGGCCTGGCGACGGCGCTCGAAAGGATCAGTCATAGTCGACATATCATCACTATTGGCCGCAAACAAACCGCCATTGCTATTCATCTTGTGTAGTTTGATTGTTTAGTGGGATTAATGTGAACGTGGGTGATGGGAGTGTATGAGGAAGTGCAAGGAAGACGGTCGGGTAGTGAGCGGGTAGAAGAGAAAGGAGGCGAGAGAGAGGAATAAGAAGAGGAAGAGGAAGAGGAGGAGGACAATACATGGAGAAGATCTAGTCAACCGGAGAGTATCGAGTTCCTGCCTGCCGGGTAGATGAAGGTCACACAGACCATAGGGTTGCAAAGGTACATGGTGTATCTGCAGCTGTAGTATGGTTTATGATGTACCTGCCAAGCTATCATACTGCAACAACCTTAAAAACATCTACATCTGGAACTGACAAATCAGAGAGCCATAATGGGGCCACGCCCCCTGCTTGCCCCAGCTATGCCTGTGAGATAAGCCCATGGGACTGTCTGCCTGAATGGGAAGTGTGACAGATACAAGCACGTGCAAGGCTACGGGATTTACGTCCGCCGTGGAGAAAAGAGGGAATCGAGACCGCCGGCCATGGTGTCATGGCAATATCATGAGGCAAAATCGGAGGAGGAATCCGGTGGGGGCACGGATGGTTTGCAGACAGTCCATTACTATGAGAGTCATATATCCCTAAGTAGTAAAAGGATGATATAAGAGCCATTATACTCAGCCCTGGTCTCGTGTAAAGTTACGACACTCAAAACTACTCCATTCCATTTGAATAGCAATGAGCCGATTCAAGTAGCATTTTCGGTATGTAGTCTATGAAATTTCCACCCAATTGCGGGAGCATACTGGTCGATGTCATGGAAACATCACAACGCCACGGTTTGGCCACGGGTGGCACGCCAGAAACCGTATTTATAGATCGCTGTGTAAAGCTCGCTCAACGGTACCGAACAAGGATATTATTATACGTATCACTTGTGAATACTACTAAGTCTTTCGACACGACAGTCCAATCCAAAATATCCGCGATGGGTCGTGCGAACGGAAACGCTGAGAACAAGCTCCGGGGCTACAAGGCGTATGTTTTGTCTCGGCCTACTCCGCAAATCCGGATTGCTGACCATCTCCTTCCAGCGCTATCTCCAACCCCAAAGTCTCAGAACCCGCTAAGTCCCACGCAAGAGAGGAACTCGATCGGTACCAGGGTACCCAGAGTGATGATGATCGATTTGAAGGCAACGTCAAGCGCGGTCTGAAGGCGTAAGTGCTGTCAATACGAGAGAGCGTTCGAAGCTGACTGTCATAGTGCCATGCACAACCCCAACAACACTGATGTCGGTAGGCAGCAGGCGCGCGAGAAGCTGGAGACAATGGGTGAACACCCGGAACAGCCAGCTGATTAAGAAGGAAGAGTTATGTATGTACTATGTGGTTAGGCTTGAATATACATGTACATGTGGATCATACTGCGCATGTGTAGATCAGGTATATGTAGCTATATTGAATTCAAAGCCTGTGGTGGTGTTTTTGGCAGGTGCCAGTAATCGCGGCCGTCTATGGTTACATAATGTACAAAGTAGAACAATTGGAGCCGGTTTCATATTTACAGTCCCCGCTTCGCCTTCCAGCGCATGATGAACGTCGCAACGGGGAAAAATGCAAGCGAGACGCCGATCCACGCGAACAGGACCCCAAAGTCGAGGCCAATGCGAGAGTGCGTGTCGAACAGGATCGTGCGAATAGCCTCGATAACTGTATATAGTTAGACTTTTTTACCAGGTAGACGGAAAAGAAAACTTACTCCGGTGCAATGGCCATGCGTAGCCCCATCGGAAGAATCCAGCGGACATTTCAACGGGATAAAATCCAGTGGCCACATTGGTGATGACCCAGAAAATCAAGAAGAATGAGCTCCATGGGAAACCCAGCACCATGGCCATATTCTCACAGGGGAACCCCAGAGCGGCCATTCCGACCCAATTCAACATCCAATACACAACAAAAGATCCGCGGCCATAGGCATTAGCATTGGTGGCCGGCTGGGTATCCGAAGCCGTCGGGTTGCTGAAGGGAATCTGGAAGGCCAATGAGACGAAGGAGTAGAACAATGAGAGGAAGAAGTATGCGAGGATCGCGGAACATATTCGCCAGATGATCCATTGCGGCGCCTTCAGTGGTGGATGACCCTCGGGTTTCATGAACAGCGCGTGGATGGGCATCAGGAACGGAAAGTTGAAGAATGAGATAATGATCAAGTAGATCAGGCCGATGGTCACAGACGGCACTGCGACGTACGGCACAAACGGGCGCAGATCGATATTCGTGAACCCGATTCCCGGGTTGATGGCCTGTGGAGGTACCTTGGATAGGTTCGTGGACGACTGTTGCGAAACTAGTTCTCGGGCCCACCGCGGGCCGAACTCTAGCAGGATTGCATTTTGGAGAATCGAGAGTTGCGGCTGGATATAGGTCGGATAGGCGTTTTGGTCGCGTGCCGAGATGATAACGGTTTGGATCGCGCCCGTTGGATCATAGGTTGTGTTGCCGCGGGCCACCGCAGCGCGCAGCAGACTGGTCGCATTGGGGTTGACGATGATGGCCGCCCAGGCGTGTTCGTCATAGATGCTCTGGCGCACGGCCCAAGGGTCATAGTCGAAGTCGGCGGGCGATCTAATGGTGTACCCGAGGGAAGGAACATTTGATTGAAGGGTTTGTCGGGTCACATCGGTGACGACAGGGCCGACGATAGTGTCGTTGGTGACATAAGGGCCTATCTGGCCATCGAAGTCGACAACCCAGACCTTGAGCACCCCAAATTTGTTTTCAACGCCGAATTGCGATCCCCAGAAGATGGAGAGGACAGCAAGGATGAAGACACAAAGAATCAGAACTAGAACGTCATGTTTTTCAGCTAACCCCTTGCCTCATCCCTAGGCGCTTCCCACTCACCGGTGCGACCCCATTGCACAAACACGCGCCGCCGGACCTCCTTTAGCGCCGGATCAAAAAATGATACCGGTGCGGGGGACTGGGCGCTCTCTTCAAGCCCTTCAACTTTCTGAGCCTGCATGGTGGACGACTAATAATATGCCAGGATTATGTCAAGACGCGCGCAGGTCATTTTATAGCGATTCTGCGTTGCTTGGATGCATCCGGGGAAAGCCGATCCATTCTCAATGGGGAAAGAAAAAAGTGTCGGCATTTTGCTGCTTTCGGCAATGTCGATCTCAGCAAAAAACTTGATCGAAGCAAAGAAGCAAATTTTAGTGACTTGAAGGACAACTGATTGCTGGTTTTCCGACCGACCAAATAATATTGTTTGTGGCATATCCTGTATCTCCAGGTGTGAAATATATACCTGTCGCCATTCTGCAAAAGGGCCTCGACAGATCGGGTAAAGCAGAGTGTTTTATCTGAGAATTTCTCCCATTGGACTGTTTGAGAATCAGATCATTTGTACATCTAATATGCAAATTATATTGTAGTACTGTATATCCATTTTCCATGTAAGTATTGTAGCAGGGCCTGGTGTCCAGGCTCCCCCGCGTCAATCCCTTGCCTTACTCTTAAACCCTGTTTCTGGTTGCAGGAGTCTGTTTTCGCCTTCCAGGGACACATCAAACTAGGAGACAACCATGCGTAATGATAAGAGCAATAGTATTGCGCAATCTGCACGGCGACGGACTGGATGGGCGCCGAATGTTTCAAAACGGGGACAGTTGCCATGATCCCTGCCAGGTAGTAATTGCGCTGGGCAACGCACGGACGATATCAACCGAAGTACTGACTTATTACATGTCGCATATCCAGGTTCAAAAACACCAAAAGCATAAATTCATCTCGCTAACTCTAGGGGTATCAATTTCTAATATCGTATACTGGTCCGCCGAAGAATCACAGTCATCTAGCGAGCAGAATGGAACCAGCTGTGACCACATCGTTTGAACTTGAAAACAACAAAACTCGTAAAAAGCCGCCTTGTCGTACTTGGGAGCCAGCCCAGGATCGAGATAATGTAAAAAACTTTTAATCACAGGAGACCTGGTATGAACCCACATGACGACCAGGGGCCTTGCACATATCGGTAGGGTTCCTCGGCCCTGCGATGTCGGTGATCTCGTAGCTGTCACACATGGTGTTGTCGAAGAATTCAATCCGACAGCCGTCCCCGATCTGGGAGTGCAGCATATAGGCTGGGGCGACGTCAATGAGGTCCGCGCGGCAGCCAGTGCCGCCAGTGCCCTCGTAGAGACTGGAGTTCCCACTGCAGTCTGTGCCTTGATATAAGGTGAAAGACCATGGCGGATTGCGAGGTAGCATGGGAAACGCAGAGGCGCCAATGAAGTACAAGGCTGCCACAAGGCAAACTCGACGAGAGAAGGAAGACATGGTATTATTGAACAGTTCCTACGGCCAGGGCCGGGCACAATGGTATAGATTGCAAATAGCAGGTCTGATCTTGCGATAGAAATCGTCAGTAATTACCCCGGATCACGCCATTGCAGGGCATCATTATTAGATGACAAGGTGTACATACCCTGTGATTGGTACTCGTGGCGAGGTATTCAGCCTTTTGTCAGACCGGTCTTGGAAGTCCAACTGCTCTATATACTTGGCCTTTCGATTGACTTTGGCCCCGATCCGCCACCAGGATGGGGGCTTATGACCTCTTAAATGGCCACCTTGTTTCATGCTGAGGGATCAACCAAACAAATGCCAAGCCCCCGTTACGTTCCTGCAGAGACAGAAGGGCCTACGTATACATCGCGCTTGGGAGCTGCGACCCGCTCTCCCCACCGGCGTCACATTTATTAGTGCGACTCGATCCTAGCAACAACGGACGTCAGTCCTATCACCGGGGAGCACCGACGGCCGACGGCTGACGGCAATAAGTGGCCATTCTTCGGATGATCCCATGCCGGGGGGCCAGGGCGATCATCTATTCTATTTAAGGAAAAGTTGTGGGGCGAATGAAACACGCTCCGCCGTCTTACGTAGCAGTCCACGTATATCAGTCGCCTTGCTTAGGAAATATTCGGAGACCATCAGACAGGGTGAAGTCTACGGAGTACACATGAGGTTTTTTGGTGAGGGGATTGATACTGCATTGGTGTATTGCAACCAAGGTCGATGGATATTCCGATGGATGCAACATATTCTTCGACCGCTCAAGATTTAAGATATCTTTTCCGAGCCCTAAGACAACAATTTTAGAAGCGATGAGGGGCATTCTGTGCCGATCGGTGGTTAAATAATGGATACGTATTGTTCTTCCCTTGAGGTGTCGCTATTCTATGTTCCAGGTACAATGAATGAATGGTTTGAGGTTAAGAGGCCCCTTTTTGGACACCCTTCATTTCCACAGCCACATCTCTCCCTTTCTCACAGCACTTGGGCCCTCTAGATGGGCTATAGAAAGTTTCAACTTGGTCACATCGTTGGCGTTGCAACCTAAATCGGAGTTCCCCTCCACTGACCCGTGCCTGTAGATCGGCTTATCGCCTGGAGCACAGATCAACTCGGTGATCTATGCGCACCTCTAGCAAACTCTGTCGGTTCTATCTGGATGTATTTTGACCATGGTCATGCTGTCTCTCGTTTTTATGGTGAATTTTGAGAAATATATAAGCCATTGCAAGATACCCCGCTGAATAGTCGGGTGGGAGTACTATCGATAGGTACATCTCCCAACCGGGAACATAGTACCAGAACCGATACGCCTTGATGTTCTCCCACTATTCTAGGTAGTATCCGGCATCTTCCTAGTCAAGGATCCCAGTGATATCCCCCTCATCATCGACCATGATATTGCGAGGCGCGATGTCACCGTGTGTGAAAGTAATTTTGTGATATGCACACGATGTCGCCCTAGTTGTCGTTCGAAATGTATCTAGCAGTTTTGGTGGTAATCTCGAGATGATGTACTTGTTGAACAGCTCCTCATTGTGAAATAGTCCCGCCTCTTCCGCGGCATATGTGGACGAGGACTGGGCCATGATCAGCCGATGTGGTTGCTTTTAAATGCGCGCAGTTGCATAATATAGCCACGGAGTTCGTTCGTAGTGGTCATCCGCTGCTCTTCCGACAAAGCCTCCCATGCATCCTGTGAAACAAATAAGGGAATATATAGCTCATGATCTATAGACAGCGTTGTCTTTCCTATAAAAGGCTACACAAGAACAAGGTGCATTTTAATTCAGAAACAGCCTGTGTCTCTGGAAGCTCGGGATAAGTTATCAATATGCTTAAAAGAACCTGAGTTACTTTCTTCAAGAACCCTAAGGAAAGAAACAATGACACAGCAGCAGAATTCCACACGGCCCTATGGGTTCAATATCCAGACGGCACCACGAGTCTCATGCTTGTCACAGGATCCCAACCTGTCTTCTCATTAGTGTCGCAGAGGACAAGGCCGACAAGAATTTCGTCAACACTGTTCACGTAGCTGATCCCATCTGAACAGTCTTCAATGCATCACCGGCCAAGAGCGGCAGATCGCAACGGACAAGATGGATAGTGTTTTGCACCCACCATTTTCTGATTCGGAGTATAAGTACACAACCGGAATTTGGATTGAGATGGACAAAGCATACAGATTGGGGCTATGATATAACCATACTCGCCCCCACGGGCCATCACAACGTCGCGGTGTGGGTCCGGGGGGAGTACTAAAGGCCATGGAGGTTAGTAGAAAGAGAATTACTGCATCAAAGAAATGTGGGACTGGGAACCAAAGAACGTTATTTATTTAAATTCATCTTCTCTATAACATGCAGAACAGACCATCAGATCTAGTAGAAACGAAGTAGAAAGACATCTAAACAAAGATCTTGACCTCGCTTTCCTTAATCTTGCCAGCACCGACAAGTCTCTTGGCCTCCTCAGTGTAGACGGACTTGACAGCAGCGCTGTTCTTGCCAGCGCCAGTCAGACGCTCAGCCAGCCCAGCCAGCTCCTCGGTGTCGATCTTGGCCATTATGAGCTCAACATCAGCCAGAACGGCATCCACATCCGAGGCAGAAGGCTCGCCGGACTCGGCGAAGTAGTTGACGTCCTTGACGGAGCCCTTGAGAATACGCTTGTTCTTCTTCGCGGCGTTCTTGGCAGCCTCCTTCGCCTTCTTGTTCTTCTCGCGATCGGCCTTGGCGCTCTCCTCCGCCTCCTTCTTGCGCTGCTCTTCATCCAGACGAGCCTTCTCCTTCTCCTCCTGGAGACGCTTGGCTTCGTCCTCCTTCGCCTTACGCTTGGCGTCCTTGCCCGCGCGAGCCTGCTGGCGGAACTTCTTGATTCGCTCGTCCAGGGCTAGGCACTCGTCGACCAGCTCACGAAGACGGACAGTGTCCTCAGTCTTACGCTTGCGGCGAGCGTTGGCGTTCTTCTTCTCAACGTGACGCTTCTGGTCACGGTTCTCGTTGTCATCGGGAACGTCCTCATCCAGGTACTCGAAGGTCCTCCAGCTGTCGAAGTTGTACCAGAAGTTGTAGAAGGTCTCGACATCTTCCTGGGCGCTGTTCTCGTCGCCCAGCTGTGGAACGGGCTGTTTGTTCGAGAAGCGAGACTCGGCCTTGAAGACGGGTCCCCACAGCTTGTAGAAGTTGCCCTTTTGGACGGCCTTCTTCGAGGGCGGCTCGACTTCAGCAGCTTCATCGACGGAGTCGAACTGGCGACGGCGGACCGGGTCCAAGAGCAGCTCGGTCGCCTTCTGGATGCACTTGAAGAAGTTGTCGTTCTCGTCGGTTTGACCTAGTGCGGCCTTCTTGTCCGGGTGGTGACGCAGGACCTTCTTGCGGTGGGCCTTCTTGATCTGCTCGGGGGTTGCACGCCAGCGGTACTTGGTAATACCCAGTACAGCGTAGTGGTCTTGGGCCTAGAACGGGTCAGAATTGAAAATATATGAAGCAGGAGGACAATGAGACCAACCTTCCAGTCCTTGGCCTCGCGGGTGAGCATCATGGGGTCTTCCGGCTCAGAGATCTCCCCATCGTCCTCATCTTCTGTCTTCTTGACATTGTGCTGGGCTTGGATGCGCTCATCCTCAGAGAAGGTGCGGTGGTGACGCTTGCGACGAGCGTGAGCCAGGAAGTGCGGGCCAACAGGCTCCAGGTTCCGCTGGGTGGCAGCGGACAGAGCACCAACAGGCTTGAAGTCCTTGTCAGCACTCCAGCCCTGAGGCAGGGAGGGCAGGGTCACTTTGACAGTCTGCACAGCGGCCATTGTGGAATTGAGTGGTTGTGTTTTGTGTAGATTTTGGCGGAGAAAACGATGATTTTTTTTGCAGTACCTTTTTCTGCCAGAGATCCCCGCCTTGACTACCGCCAATCAACATTCGGCCGATCTGGGATGCTTCAACTCTTTCTCTTACTCTTGTCGAGGAGTCTTGCTTTATCCGTCTTTTGACCTCCCCCGGAATTAGTACAGTGGATTGAACGGCATCCTCATGGCAGGCCCAACTGCTCTCTCCGCAAGGAGTGCCTACCGGCAACTCCTCCGTGCCACCCGAGTCGCCTTTCACAGTTTGTCTCTCTTCCGCCTTCTACCTGGAACCATGCGACGCATGCTCATACCATTCTATTTAGATGACCACCGAGTCCTGCTGGCCGCACGCCAGGAAGCTCGCCAGAATTTCGACCAAAACCGCCGCGTTGGCATTGATACCGGCATGCAAATAAACCACGCGATTGAGGTTGCCAATATCCTGCGCCATAACCTCGTGCAGGGTGCGAGAGAGGCGGAAGATGAGTCTGCGAAATGGCGTATGTTCTTAACTACTCTCCTATATGAATTAGGAATTCTTGTGCTGTTCCTGGGTTGGACCGGACTAATCGATAACTTCATATTAGAACTTCGGATCCACGACGAAATCGAGCGAGGAGACAACGAATCGATCAAGGTTGATGGAAAATCGGTCAAAATCCACAAGGCGTGTTCGTCATGATCCACTCTATCATCATCCATCCCGCTACTGCACATCTTCACGAAGCGATGCCCCGACGCAGAGCACGTGGATCGAATTTGTTCAGTGGATTTGTATTATAATATACCCGACTCTTGTGTACTTTTTGGCGTCCCCGGGGTAATTTTCTGGAAATACATCGAGTTGCATAGAAATAAAGATCAAACCATGTGAACGCCCGCTCCATAGCTTAAGTTACATGCAACCACATCATTATATTTTTACTCGCCCGTCATGCTTGCGTACTGAACTGGGCCAGATCCCGGAGGCGGCGCCACGGTATAGTTGCGAGGATTCTCTTCCTGGTCTGCATTCGCGCCGGCGGCCGTGATGGCCTTTTGTCGGGATTGCGGACCCTTGGGAGCCGGTCCCGCGGCTTGGCGACCTTCCCGTGCGTTCTTCATTCTCTCTTCGTCATTCATGTTATCGAGAGGCTTCGGCTTGCCCCAGCGCACCCGGAGAGGACATCCTTGGATGACTGCCTTTCCCTGACATTGCTGGGCCGCACCTTCGGCGTCGGCCCGATTGAGGTAGTTGATGAAGGCGCAGTGAGACCGATGGGAGCAGATTAGCGAGCGCAGCTGGCCAAATTGTGTGAAAAATGTCCGCAGCGCATGCTCGGGCAAATCGTCCTCCACGCCCGTCACAAACAGCGAGGTGATGTTCGGGTCTGCTGGAGGAAGAATGTCCTCTTGCGATGGCGGTAGTTGAGCAGTACCAGGGAAACGACCACCACGGCCGCCGCCTCGTCCTCCACGCCCTGGTAGCCGGTTTCCAAGGCGGCCCTCACTGGTGCGAACGGGACCAGGCCCGTTTCCATAGCGGCTTTGTGTTCGCGGTTGGTCGGCTTTCGTAGATTCTTCACCGTCATCTCCTTCGGCTGGGGGCCCTTCGATGCGTCGTGGCTTCCGATAGTAAGGCTCGCTATTGGCCAAGCGCCGCAACAGCTCCCGAGCCTTGTCGTCTGTCTTTTCGTACTCTTCGACTCCGCCACGGCCCTCCTCGATCTCTTTCTCGTGCTCCTGCGCATAGTATTCTCGGTTGATGGAGCTCTGCGGACCCGGCGCAACCATCTTCAGGGCGGCATCGCGGACGACGATCGGCAAGCCGAACGAGAGATCCAGCATGCAGCATTGACAGCAGTTTTTGAGGCGGGCACAGGTCAGGCAAATGTTGGTTCGCTTTTGGCGGGAGGTACGGTCGGCCTTCCAGCGGAAGATGGTAAATGGACGAGTACACTAGCGAGGGGGTCAGTATTCGATCCGAAAGCAGAGGAACCGCAGAAACATACGATCTTGCACTCGGCGCCGTAGTCTTCCTTGAGCATTTGCACGTAAGGGTTCTCGGGCAAGCAGGTCTCGCAGACAGAGGGAAAGTCCGTAGACTCCCAGCCGGAGCGGTTAAGGTCTTTCTTCACCTGGGGCGGCATGATGAGAGAGAGACGGTGTGGGTGTGTGGTGAGTGTTGCAAGAGAGAGTTCGTGATTATTAACTATCGATAGAAGACTGCCTGACTGTGGCGTGCGGCGTGTGGCTGACCGAGCAATCTCGTCACATGACCCGTCAGGCCATTTTTTCCCTCGCCGGGTCAGCCAGACTCCGGCACCGCCACAGCCCGGGAAGGAGCAATCCCGCGCGATTCAGGGGCGTGTGATTGGCCTGGGCTGACCCAAAAAGTTGGTCGCCATATGATTTTATTCTCCTTTCTTCTCCCCTCCACATTCTCCAGTTGTTTCCACTCTTCTCTTTCCCTACCTTTTTTTCGCATCTCTCCACGCTTCCCCATCCCCAGCGACCCCTTTTCCTTCTTTCATCATGGCTCCCTCTGCTCTCGAACGTGAGGACGTCGCGCGTGATGCGGCCTTCAACAAGGCCCTTCACGGCAAGTCGGCCAAGGCCCAGGGTGGCTTTGCTGCCATGCGCGGCAAGGACGCTGCCTCTCAGAAGGCTGCCGTTGACGAGTACTTCAAGCACTGGGACAACAAGGATTCTGCCGAGGAGACCGACGCCATTCGTGAGGTGAGCTGGATTTGCATACTGCCAGCGACTACGATGATACTAATGCTGTGGCACGATAGGCTCGGAGAACGGAATATGCTACCCTGACTCGGCAGTATGTTTTGCCCTTTATCCCTCCTTGCGATTCGGTGCATCCCTAACGCTCATTCTCTTCCAGTTACTATAACCTGGCTACCGACTTCTACGAGTACGGCTGGGGTTCCTCGTTCCACTTCTGCCGCTTCGCCCATGGTGAGGCTTTCCGCCAGGCCATTGCCCGCCATGAGCACTACCTCGCCCTCCAGACGGGTATCAAAGAGGGCATGAAGGTCTTGGACGTCGGCTGTGGTGTCGGTGGTCCTGCGCGCGAGATGGTCAAGTTCACCGGCGCGCATGTGACAGGCCTGAACAACAACGACTACCAGATCGACCGGGCAACCCACTATGCGGAGCAGCAGGGTCTATCCGACAAGATGGCCTTCGTCAAGGGCGACTTCATGCAGATGAAGTTCCCCGACAACTCCTTCGACGCCGTCTACGCCATTGAGGCCACCGTCCACGCCCCCGAGCTGGTGGGTGTGTACTCGGAGATCTTCCGCGTCCTGAAACCCGGTGGTACCTTTGGTGTCTACGAGTGGCTCATGACTGACGAGTATGACAACGACAACCCCGACCACCGCCGCATCCGTCTTGGTATCGAGCAGGGTGATGGTATCTCGAACATGGTGCGGATCTCGGAGGGCCTCGAGGCCTTCAAGAATGCCGGCTTCGAGGTTCTCCACCACGAGGACTTGGCTGCCCGCCCGGATGCTGTGCCCTGGTACTACCCGCTGGCGGGATCCTTCAAGCACATGGGCTCCATCTGGGATTTCTTCACCATCGTCCGTATGACCTGGTGGGGCCGTGGTATTGTCCACCGCATCGTTGGCGCCGGTGAGACCGTCGGTCTTGTCCCCAAGGGCTCCCAGAAGACCGCCGACAGCTTGGCCCTGGCTGCTGACTGCCTCGTTGAGGGTGCTCAGAAGAATCTGTTCACTCCCATGTACCTAATGGTCGGCCGCAAGCCCGAGTAAAGTTGCCACGAGCGTGGATGCGGTACTGATTTGTACAAATACTTCTCTGATCTCGCGGCTTTTTCTGATTTCCCTCCGTTTCTCTTCCCTTCTGGATGTCATTTTAATTACCCTTGCCGCCGAGATGTTTCTTGCCGTCCCTGTTTGACACTCGTTGTCTGTTGGATAGGGGAGCTGGTGCCGTTATCTGTTGACGACCCGTCTCTTTTTCTTCTTATGTCTCTGTTTTCATATTGGGTCTTGTTTTTTTGTCGAGATAGATATGTAATAGCCATTGAGTCAAGACTCACGGGCAAAGGATTCGATTATTCTGTCCATTATCTCCCTCCCCCACTCCACATTTACCCTCACCTTTTGCCTACGCCCGGAAAGCCAAAGTGACGAAGCATACTCACGTGTGCCTCCCTCAAGATGGAACACTCGGCGCCCCTCATATTGATCCTCTAAGGTGATATCTGATACAAAGATGCTCTTTCAAACCCTAATCACATGCTGCGTGAAACCTAGTATATGAAGTGCCTGGAAATGACATGTTTTGGAAATAAGCAATGTCTCATCTATACTGCCTATGATACGTGGATTTAGTTAACAGTTAAGGCGTCCCAATATGACTAATCAACGCGAGTGAAAAACATCTTCCAGCTCTCCGTAGAAATCTGTACCAAATAACGTCCAATTGTCATTACTGGACAAGCTAGCCAGCCAAGATGCCCGTCCACTACAACACCCACACAAAAGAGCTGTACCTACGCTTAGCAGAACCCTTATCCAACATAATCATCACCCCCCACCGTCTGAACCAACTAGAAGAAACAATCGATGCAAAAGTTCAGCTCCTCAATGACCCCAGAATCTTCCTCAAACTTAGTGGCCCTCCGTACCCCTATCTCCGTGAACATGAAGAGGAATGGGTAAAAACGAAATGCGAAGCGGCAGAGCCAGTTCTCAGTGCCCTGCGCGTGGAATTCGAGACATCGGTCAAGGAGCAACAGTTCTTTGATCTCTGTCCTTTCACCGTTATTCGTGAGGTCACAGAGCAGGACCCTAAGACTGGGGATCCGCTTAAGGATATCTTGATTGGTGACATTGGGATAGATCGATCTGTGTTCTATGAACATAAGCGTGGTAGTAAGGAGAGAGCCGAGGCGCAGCGATTGAATAAGGAGTTACCTGCTGGGGACGAGAGGATTGTTTGGGGAACAGGCTGTAAATCTTTCTCTTTTCTCTTTATTCCTACTATTGATGATTTGTCTCTAATGGCCCATTGCAGACTTCCTAGCTCCTTCTCACCACGGCCGGGGGATCATGACGTACGCAATGCGAACGGTTCTCCAAGACTGGGGTGTGCCGCGTATGAATATTAAGATACTCAAGGCTTCTGCTTTTGTTGAGAATAAAGGCAGTCTCAGAGTCTTCGAGAAAAATAACTTTGAGGTTGTCTGCACGTTGAAGGATTGGGCGCCTATCTCTGAGAGCAGAGGTGGAGGAACGAAGTCCCTTGTACTTGTCAACTGGAAGGGCTTATAACCATGCGTTTGTTTCTTTGATACAGCTTCGCTGTGGAGCAGCAGATGCTAGTCTCCAATCAAGTCTGTCACACGAAGCGGAAAACATAATCTACTAGGATTGTACCCCATACAGCAGATTTAACTAAAAACTCCGCCTTGAGGTTGATAGACTGGAATTCAGACTCTAGCTAGATGGCCGGGCTGACTGGACAGATTCCCCCCCTTATTTGCCTTGTTTGTAGGATGAACGGTTTACAGTGGCCTATCGAAACTTTATGCAGGAAGGGGATGGTTACCGTATAGTAATAACAGTAATACTAAAGATCTACCTGCTCCTGAGTCTGACGGACGGTATACTAAATATTGCTCCAAAAACGCATCACTCTGTTTCCGATATGGAAGGTAGTAAAGGTCGCGAATGTGAAAGCTTGTGCATTGACTTGTGGCTTATTGTGATTTCGGTTAGTCTAGCACGTCGGGCTGCTGCTCGGGTGGTATGCAATAATCGGGCCTGCCGTGGACGGCTATTCACCCACGTGCTGCTACTGCCAGGCACACCATCGGCACGACCCGCTTCCAACCTCCCAATGCGGGTTGTGTTTAATCAACCCATCAACCAGTCAGCCCGAGTAGACAGCAACGTGCCCTTACTTCAAACCACTCATACACTCGTCCTCTCAGAAATTCGCTGAAATGGCTGCGCTGCTTAGCGTCTGCTCGAGGGCTATAAAGCCTCGTGCGCTGTCCTGATCGTCCTGCTGTTTCCTTTTTTCATCGAGCGTCAATCCCAATAATTGCGGGCAATCATGTTCACGAAGCAGATCCTCACCCTGGCCGGGGCTCTCTCCCTCGTCAATGCCAAGACTAACCCCCAGCAGACCTACACCCCGGCGGAGATTGCGGCCGCCCGTGCCTCGGTGCTGCCCTACTCCCCGGTGTCCAATGTAAGGGGCCTGGCCTTTGACCGGTTCGTGGATATCTGGATCGAGAACACCGTAAGTATACATTCGGAATTTGCTAGAGGACATCTACTAACGGGTATGATAGGACTATGAGACGGCTTCTTTGGACCCGAACTTCGCCAAGCTGGCCAAGGAGGGTATTACTCTGACCAACTACTTTGCCACCACTCATCCATCCGAGCCCAACTACTGCGCCTCGGCCAGTGGTGACAACTTCGGCATGGACAATGATGACTTCCACCAGATGCCCGCAAACATCTCGACCATTGCGGATCTTTTCGATACGAAGAGGATCGCCTGGGGCGAGTACCAGGAGGACATGCCCTACGCTGGCTATCAGGGCTACAGCTATTCCAACAACGACGCTAACCAATACATGCGGAAGCACAACCCGCTGATTTTGTTTGATTCTGTCACCAATGATAACACCCGCCTGCGCCAGATCAAGAACTTCACCAGTTTCTACGAGGACCTGGAGCACGAGAGACTGCCCCAGTACATGTTTATTACCCCGAACATGACGAACGATGCCCACGATAGCAACATCACCGTTGCTGGTGACTGGGCTGCCCGATTTATCCCTCCGCTGCTGAAGAACAAGTATTTCAACAAGGACACCCTGCTCCTGTTGACCTTCGACGAGACTGGCAACTACACGAAGCCTAACCGTGTTTTCAGCTTCCTGCTTGGCGGTGCTATTCCCGAGCATCTGAAGGGTACCACCGATGACACCTTCTACACCCACTACTCCGTCATTGCCTCCTTGTCCGCCAACTGGGGCCTTCCCTCTCTCGGACGCTGGGACTGCGGTGCCAACATTCTCAAGCAGGTTGCTGAGAAGACCGGCTACGTCAACTGGGAGGTTGATACCAGCAACGCCTATATCAACCAGACTTACCCGGGCCCTGTGTCCGAGAACGAATACTCCACGTACTCCCCTAAGTGGCCTATTCCGACCACGGAAGAACGCTGCACTGCTGGCCACGGTATTCTTGATATTGTTAAGAAGACCTACCGTGGCTTGAAGCCCACTTACGACTACACCAGCCCAATTCCGTTTGACTCGGTCAGCGGAACCAACGTTGGCATTCACTACAGCCGCACTGTGGTAAGCTTCAATCGTTTACTGACTTTCTTTTGAACACAAGCTGACATATATTGAACAATAGCACGGCAGGAAGGAAAGGGGTATCACCGCATAGCGGTGACGTTGCTACGGTGCTAAGCAGGTCGGTATATCGATATGTTTACTTTAAAAGTTGTATGTAATGCATATTGAATCCATGGAAAATAGCTCACTTTGAACATATAATCGAAGAAATTATTTGTAGAACATCCAAAGAACCTTCCCTTTGACATGATCATGATCAGTATATATGTTGAATGCAGGGTGGCCATCGGCCAAATGCAAGTATAGAAAAAGTGCAAGCATAATATATGCAAATATTCAGGAGTGCAGTCATCACCTTAGCCAGCAGCATAAGGACTCATCTTCCTCAGCTTCTCACCGTACTTCCACAGAAATATCGGGGCAGGAAACCCAATGGCAATGGCAATGAATGCCAGCAAACTATTCCCCCAGCCATAGTGAAGCGCATCGTACATATATGGCGCGAAGAGAGGGAATCCGAATCCGCAAAGTGAACGAGTAAATGCAGCTGCAGCCAGAGCACTCGCAGCGAAGCGCGTGTATGTGTCGACCATGTAGGTCTGAATGCACTGATATGTAACGATGTTGCCCATACCGAATAGGAGAGCGCCAATATTCGGCCCAATCCAGTGCGAATGTTTTTCAGCTGTCCAGCCGTAGATGAACAGCCCGGCTGGAATGAGGAGGGCAGATGCAGTAAGTAGTGGGACGCGGAATTCCGGACGACCCACGCCGTTGTTCCGTGCCTTGAGGCGGCGATATATGCGGTCATTCAAAGGGGCGCATATTTGGCTGCCGAGCCAGAATCCCAGACCTAGTGAGATATAGTTCAGTCCACCTATTCCCGTTGACTCATTGTAGTACGCGGGACTAGTCCAGAGAACTGGGTATGTGGAGAGAACAAGGTACATGATCCCGTAGACATAGGCCATATACAGCGCTAGGACTTGGACGATGGGTTGTGTGAAGAGCAGACGGAATGGACGGACGAGCGAGATACGGAGGACCTGGGGAAGGGTCTTGTTCTGTCGTTCTGCTTCGGTTTGGTAGTTCGCATCGTTTGTTTCTGTGCGCATTTTCTTGGCGCGGTCACGCAAGATTCTGGGGCCGTAGGTTTCTCGCAGGAAAAATAAACCAGCAACTTGGATGACTGCGTCGACGATGGAGGTCGAGTAGAAGACCCAGCGCCAGGTCGTATTTTCGGCAATGAAGCCACCCGCAACTGGGCCCAGTGCTGGGCCTAGGAGCGGTGCTAGACTGTAAATGGCGATGCTCTTGCCACGCTCTTCAGCTCTGAAGCAGTCAGAAAGAACACCTCCGCCAACCTATAGGCACTACATGTTAGCATAGAATGCCTATAAACAATTTGACCAGGTCAACTTACCGCTAGTGGAGCACTGCCTCCTAGTCCGGCGAAGAACCGACAAACAATCATTTGCACCTTGGTCTGCGCCACACCGCAACCGATGTTAAAGACGAGATAGAACAAATTGGCTAGTTGTAGCACAATGACTCGGCCGTAGATCTCAGAGAGCGGTCCCAGAAACAGAGGGCCAACTGCGTAGGCCAGAACGAAGACCGACAGTGTTAATTGAGACAGAACCTCGTCTGTGATATGGAGATCGGATGCCATCGATTGCAAAGCGGGAGCAACCATAGACGAAGTCACCGGGGAGATAAATGTAAAGCAAGAAACGGTAATAGTGGCAGCCCATTTTTTTTTATTCGGCCAATTCTTCGGGTTGGCTGGGTCATCGGGACCAGTCCATGTAACCTGTACCGGTCAATATCGTGCTGTTTGTATTTAAGAAGCGGGAAGGGAACATACCAGCTTCGAGTCCTGAGCAGACCTGGCTGATCTTGCCGTTTGCGACTTCTCTAGCGCAGTTTGAGGTGCTTTTCCTTTTTCCACATCCGTATCTTGCTCGTTTACCACCCCCCTCTCAACTCTAGGGCGGAGTCTATACCTTTCTCATCGTCTGTCGCTGGAACGTCTTCCTCTTCATCGCTGTGATATACGGACTGGTTGTCCAGGTGAGGTGCGGAGTAGACTCGGTCCACACGAGCCGTGCTCAAATTGGACCTCGACTTTCTTAACTTCGACTTGATGGACTCGGCCAAACCTGGCTGACGGGACTCAGTACGGGATACTTGGTCGTCCGAACGAGAGCTGGATAATGACGTAGAGCGTGATCTGGCCGAGCCAATTTCACTTTCCTCTCTAGACATGACTGCAAAGTATGCACAGAACCAACGATTTTAGTCGGGCCGAGGTTGGAGTCTAAACATCCGAAAAAGGGCACACGACACTTATAAACGGGAAGGAGAGAGAAAAGAGAGAGAAAACAATTAGATTTTATTTCCATGCCGATGCACTTCCAGCAGTGAGCATATTTGTAAAATAACAAACGGCGATACTAAAAAGAGAGACTTAAGACCGATGGGCGGGTTCGCCATGAAAGCATTTTGCAGTTTTCGAGCCTATCATTGGCGGACCGGTGAAGATTGACGGAAAACCGGACTGGTCCAGGCATGGGGAGGGGCAACCTGACGGGCATAAAATCCCTACTGCGGCGGCTTATCCCGTCCAAGTGATGTGAAGAGGGAAAATATGTTTACTCACACTCGGGACTCGGCACAAGAGATCACGTGAGCATACTAGAGATGGATGTAACATCTTAGCACATCTCAAGAGAGGAGGCAAAATAATAATAAGAAAGAAGCCTGAGGTTGTTGATAACTTATAATACGTCCTGGGGCATGAGTGACTATTTCTGGTCAGAATTCCTGTAGTCAAACCCAGATACAAAAGCAGGCGCTCAGATGGACACCTCAGGCATATTGGGCCAACATCTCAACATAAGCGCCATCTACTAACCGCATGATGGTCACTTCAATTGCGCCTTTACACTTATATCAAAAGAGAAAGGAGGTTGAGTGGATTCTTGAAAATTAGATGCCATGCATGTGCAATGCTTTTTGCTCCGGCTAATCTCAGTAGACGCCGGATCTTTACCCAACTCAGAACCTCTTCGCCCATGCCTCGTGAACTTAATAGCTCAAGTGGAATAGTTAGTTCAATACGAAGTGGATATCAGCTCCTTAGCTCAACTGCTAGACATTCGTCTCATGTGGCTGACAATGCCGTTTCTTCTTGAGTGTTATGCTCCTATTATAACCATTCTGTAACATTGAATACTATAGAACTGGTACTTCCATGTTCATATTCATGTGAAACAAACAAATTTTTACCCTAGGGTGGGAGATACACTCTGTGTAAAGTCTTTGCGAGCCACTTAATGATTAGCACAATGATAGTAGATCACAAGATGCCATCATTGTGTATTGGTTGGAACTTGGGCAGCATGATATGACGAGTAACAGCCTCTTTGATCAGTTATTATTATGTCGACATTCTATTTGGTATCTGAGGCCAGACTATACGAACCACCTATATCATTTGCGCCCGGAGGCTTAGAATTCAGACAACAACTCGTAGCATGAGGCTGCCCTGAGCCTGGATATAGTATCCACTTATAGTCGGGTGATTTGAACCGGGCCCTAGGACAATGAAAGGGCCGGTCCAACACCTTCCCGACCACGCTAGTGGCTTGGTTGTGGCACAGTGAGGTATAATCTAAGAACGGTACCCAACCTGATCTTTGGATGGTTATAAAGGCCGTCTAAAACTTGTTTCGGGGTTGGTGACGCGAGCTTCAAGACAGCCACATGTTGCACTCACCCACTCCCGGACAACTTAGCATAGCTATAGGGACAGCTAGTATCCTGTCTATTCAGTCAGATGGGTAAGACTGTCAGCAGACCACCCTATAATGCGGCTATTTTGAGAAGTAGTTGCTGGCAAGAAACCTCCAGAGCATTCTTCTTGAACATATATGGCTTACAGGGACCATTAAAGCTGCCTAAAGCTTTTGCAAAAGATTGGTGTAGAAGTCTATAGCACTACTAAAAGTCGTAGCCAACTTCGTCCCGGAAATTTATCAGCGTTTCATATCTTTGCCATGTATTTCAGGCACTATGTATTCAGCCCAATAATTCGCCGTCCTTTTGAACCTTTACAGTCTAGCAGACATTAATCATGATATTACGGATATTTAAACCTTTAAATGTCCAAGGGACTTTGGGGCAAGACAACGCAATTCAATTTCCCGAAAAATACACGACCGTGTACCGAGGATTTCAAGATTCTGAAGGGAGAGGGAGATTTTTGCAATCAAGGCCTTCTCCAGCAAGAGAGCCCCTCGCAACATTCATGATTACCTTTTGGATTCGACAAAGGAGAATGATTCCCAGTTCATTATTCAGATGCGACAGAATCTCCTACACGGTCTTTCTGGCATCACAATATATCGCATCTCATTGACGGGCTTGGTATGCAAAATCGAAAACCTTTATTTAGAATCTTACTTCACAGAGTATTGAAGATTGCTACTGGGGATCAGCTCAGGACTGCATTATTGGCCCTAGTTAACTGTCAAAATAACATGGGGCTCAGGATCGTCCAGGTCCCTGGCGGACAAAACCAAAGCCATGCACATCTACATTCCACTCACTGAAGCACGAGTTCTGGTCTCTAAAGTGACTACATCTTGCGTGACTCCGTGTTCAACAAATCGGAGATGCGAGTGTTGTTGATTTGAGGAATGGAGATTTCCTCATACCACTGTGTTAATAGATAATGCGAATCACCTCAACAGGCGCAACACTAGATGTAATACGATATCGTTGTAGATTAAAATCCCCACATTGTAACTCAGCGCGTGCTGCCTACAGTTGCCGCTGTATCTTAAATAGAGTTGTTGTTCTCCACCCGTTCCATCGGTATCAGCGCGGCTTCCCTGGCCCCCTCTTTTCCTCGCAATTCACCCCGTCGGATCTCCCTAGCATCCTTCCATTGTCGATTCACGATGCCGCCAGATCGACAGACCCGCACCCAGCGCATAGTTCGCGTGCGCACCGGCTGCTGGTCTTGCAGGCGCCGCAAGAAGAAGTGCGACGAAGTCCGCCCCATCTGCGGTGGGTGCACGCGCAATGACCTAAGCTGTCTCTGGCCCACGACTGTACCCGGCAAAAGAGGATCTAGACCACCCGAAGAAATGCAAGGCTTTGCTGCCGATGGACAGGAGTCTGATATCCTTCAAAGCGTCGATGACATTGATGCAATTGAGGTGCCTAGGGCCTCAACCGCAAGGCGACAATCTGCTATCTCATTCGCCTCTAATCAATCTCTCCACACTGGCGACCAGCCGGATGAAACCGCCTCACCAAATCTCGCGGACCGACGTCCTTCAATCGCTAGCTATGCAAGTCACAGCGATGGAGGACTCATTTCTTCCATGGCTGTGGGGAATGTCTTGCCCCGGAATTTATCTATGTTACCTGGCTATGACTCTGAGTCTTACCAGCTTCTGAGCCACTACTTAGCCAATACAGCGGATTGCATGGCGAATGGCTCGACACCTATCAATCCATTCTTAGTCCAGATTGTGCCACTTGCGTTCACGAGCGACCTGCTCTTGCAATTAGTGCTCACCCAAAGTGCAGCACATCGCGCCTTCCGACATCGAGATGAGTCCGATGCTATCGCCCACAGTCACTACACGAAGGCTCTTCAGCTTTTTCGACGTGGTGTGACAGAATTTATCGACGGCAAAGAATCCAATCCGTTGATGCTTCTAGTGGGAGCTCTCGTGATGTGTTTTACTGAAGTATGGCGCATTAACCGCGATTTTGTCGACGTGAATTGCTGACAGTCCAACAGACAGCCAAAGGAGATGTGAACGGAACTGTTTTTGATCATCTGTCAGCAGCCCACTCACTTCTGGTTAAGCTTCTCGAACAAAGCGATGCCGCAGTTCCCCGAGATCTGAAAGATTTCGTAATCGAATATTACACATACACAGCGACCGTGAGCATGATTTCAATTGATGCTCGCTTCAGTGGACAGCTCTTCCTCAACTTCGACCTCGAACAACGTGCTCGCCACCTTCTCGCTTCACAGTATGTGGGGAATTTGTGCGGCTGCTGGCTAGAGCTTTTGTTGTTGATTCCGTCCATCTTTGATCTCGGCCGACAATGGATGATGGAAGATGCACAGGCTCCTGTGCCAACCGCAGATGACATTGCAATGTTTGCATCCTTGCAAGCTCAGATCCTGCGCTGGTCGCCATATCCCTCTGTTACGCCAGAAGTTCATCTAGCTGGCCTCATTTTCCAACAAGCGATGCTTGCCTACCTCTACATGTCATTGCAAGGGTTTCGATACACACCTGACGGAATGTATCAGGGGCTAATCAACGCCGCCGCAACCGAGGCAATGGTTTACTTGGACGAATTGACACCTACTGCTCGCATAAACTCTGGCTTATGTTGGCCAATCGCGGTAGTTGGGTCGTGTCTTAAGGACTCAGAGCAGCAGGACGGTCTCAAACGAAGGTTGAATGCCATGGTTGACAAATTCGGCCTTGGTAATATGCAGCGGACTTTACTTCTACTTGAAGCCATGTGGCAACGACCAGCAGCTCAATCCGGGCCATGGAATATTTGCCAAGCGATGCAGCAAAACCAAATCTGGATCTCATTCGCCTGATTAAGGCAGGATTTCTGGATGGAATTATATACCAACATCACATATACTCGATCTATGATTGGACTGAGTTTTTCGGAGCCTGAGTCGCCGGGCCCTCCGGCGTCACATACGCCTTGGTTAATCCACCGTCTACAACAAAGTCTGCTGCATTGACGAAGCTGCTCTCATCGCTAGCAAGGAAGATGACGGCATGGGCCTGCTCAATCGCCTCTCCAAATCGACCCGTGGGGAAATGTACCTCACGTCGGAATCGCTTCTCCTTGTCGTCCCCCAGCCAGTCCTGGAGAAGAGGGGTACTGCAATTTTGTCAGCTTTTTCATGTCTTTTTCCGAATCCGATGGTCACATACTTGAGCGGGGCAGGACAAAGCGAATTGAAGCGGAATCCTGCGATGGTTCACGTCAGCATTGTGTCCATTTGTGAGTCCACATTTAAGGTCCTACCTTCTCGTGCATGCACAATAGCCAATTCCCGCGTCATGGCCAACACTGCGCCTTTACTCGCGGTGTATGCCAACTGCGGCGTGGCAGCTCCAACCAATGCAACCATACTGGCTGTGTTGATAACGCTACCGCGCTTCTTCCCGTGCTTTCGAAAGCTGCGCACTGCGTGCTTGGATCCAAACCACACCCCCTTTACATTGATATTCATTGTCCGATCCCAAATCTCCTCGGGGCATTCCTCCGAGTCTCCGTCCCGGGGATGCATGATTCCTGCATTGTTGAACATGACATCCAATCCACCCCATAAATCAAGGTATGCAACTGCGGCTTCAATGTGGGACTCGTTCGAGACATCAACAACCTTGGCCTCGACCTTCCCGGCACGGGAAGCTGGTGGGACAATCTCATTCACTCTGCTAAGGGCCGTGCTAAGTCCTGTATCACTGATATCGGTCATCAAAACCGAGGCGCCTTCACGGAGCATGAGAATTGTTGTTTCGAGCCCAATGCCACTAATTATCCACTATTAGACTCGTCCCCTTGAGTTATGTGGGATGAGGGACGACATACCCGGCTGCGCCGGTGACAACGGCGTTCTTGCCTGCAAGTCGCCCTACCATTGTTTCAGATGTGATTATGGATCTGTAGGGTTTGTATTTTGTGTTGGGTAGTTCGAAGAATGTATTTGGTGAAAGACTGGCAATGGAAAGACTTAGGAAAGCAGCTCTTCATTAAATATTCTGGTTTCTACCCCATGACCTTCTCTTCTTTCCTACCCCACCGAGAATCTTTCGATAGCTCAGCTTGGTGCGACTACAAGCTGTACCGCCATGGCTAGCACCGTGTTTCTCCACATGGGCAAATGATCGCGGTCTTAGGTACTGTTCGACGGCCTTGCGTTTGGTCTATCACTTCACAAACCGAACGCGGTCTATACCCGGCGGCACAGCACTTTTCTTTCTATCAGTGCGGGGCATGAGGGGGCGATAATTGAATATTGTGTGGGTGTAGCTGGATCCCACTTTCTGGAGGGTTGGTTCCTGGTCCAGCGCGGTCCGGGACCGCGATGATGTGGGTCCCACAAGATCCAGTCAGCATCTTGCAGAAGATGCATATGACTGTTGAGGAAGATGGCCAGTAAATCATGAAATTGTAACAATAGCAACGCGTGGAAATAACTCAACCTTACAGTTTGTATATTCAATCGCCCTTCAGGTATCCGTGTGTGGTGATATAAATATGCTGTGGTGTCCAGGTCACTGGATGGGTTGATTATTCAATTGAACTTTCGTTGTTATAATATACAAGTGAACACAAATGATAATCTCATTCCAATCGAAAGTTAAGGAAGCATTTGCAGCTTTCAAGGTACATAATAGCTCATTCATGCGGACGCCTCTTTAATATGGTAACTCTTCAACTTCACGAATCCATCAAATCCACGCGGCCCAAGGGTACATCCCAAACCGGATGTCTTCCAACCTGTCCAGGCAAGATCCTATTTTGAGGAATGTTAGCTTCAAGCAATAATTATATGATAATGTCTCTTACCGGGCTTGGATAGTCACAGCGGTTGATGAACACTGTTCCAGCCTCGATCCGGTCAATAAGCACTTCTCCCACGGCAATATCCTTCGTCCACACGCTAGCCGTCAGTCCGTAGTCACTGTCGTTCATTAAAGCAATGGCCTCGTCGTCACTGGCCACTTTCATAATTGGCATAACAGGACCAAATGTTTCTTCCTTCAAAGTAAGCATTTCGTGATTGACATTGGTCAGAACAATTGGAGCGACATAGTTTCCTTTCTGATTAGACGACGCTTTGGCCAGAGAGAAACTCGAGTTTCCTGGAGTAGAGTCTGTCGCTCCCTTGGCCAGGGCGTTATCAACATGCTCCTTGATCTTTCGCACTGCTGCCTGGGAAATAACCGGGCCAGTGGTTGTTGTCTCATCAAAAGGGTCACCGAGCTTGTACCTATGGGAGTTATTAGAGAAATCGACTTTCAAGAATAAAGAGGAACGCACAACTTCAACTCATCCTGTACTGCTCGAACAAATTCATCGTAGACATCCGCATGCACGTAGACCCGCTCGATAGAACAGCAGCTTTGTCCAGAATTGAAAATAGCCCCATCAACCAGCTGTTCTGCGACATGTTTGATGTCCACGTCTGCGCGCACATAGGCAGGATCGTTTCCACCCAGTTCAAGATTTACCGGCTTAATGTGGCGGGCAGTTGCCTCGCGCAGACGGATCCCGCCTGTTGTCGAACCGGTAAATGAGATAGATTGAATGTCACCAATTTGGGAAATCTGATCCAAAATATCAAGGCTTCCAACATGAATGATCTGGAGTACATGAGCTGGGAGCCCTGCTTCCGAGAAAATCTCGAGTAGCCGGTTCCCGAACAATGGGGTCTGTGGTGATGGACGGAGGATAACACTATTGCCCGCCAATAAAGCAGGAATGAGACCATTGACAGTGGTCAGGTACGGATACTATGCTGATTATCAACAACCATTTCTTTTTCTCTGTGCCAAAGGATGCTTACATTCCATGCACCTGCAATAAGCGTCGGCCCGACAGGCACGCGTTTGACCATGCGCCGGAAACCGGCTTCAGGGCGACCGGGCAAATCTGCCAGGCTCTCTTCAGCGATATCAAGTAGGTACTCAGCACGAAGACGAGCGGTCTTAATTTCGACACCGCAGTACCTGATTGGCCGCCCCATCTGCGCAGTCAGTTCCCTGGCAAGATCATCTTTCCGATTGTCAATTATGTCCAGCGCTCGGGATACTATTGCTTTGCGGTGGTTCAGAGGCTCAGCCCGCCACGATTGAAACGCAGTTTTAGATGCGGAGGCGACTTGGATGGCTTCCTCCAAAGAGGTGCCTGGCTGGTCGTAGATGATTTCATGAGTCGACGGACAGATGGTACGAATGTGGTTCGACATATTGTGTTTTTAATATTTTCACGGTTAAAGGACTTAGTGAAAGTGGTGTGCTGGGGTAGTTCAAGTGGGCAAGCTGAGCGGACTTTATAGTCTATGTGGGACCGTAGGCCTCTCAGCGCGGTCATTGTTTCCACGCGCTAGGATCGCTCAAGGTTTACCCAAGTCTTAGAGGTAATCTTGTGCACCATGTTTTTACAATTCAAGCCTCATTCCACACAACTGGCAAATCCTTTTATTCACTGCAGGAGAAATTTACAGATAGCTTTTCCTACCAGACTCCCATCATGCGGCTTTCCAGCTCTGGACATTCCGTCTTGGAATAGACTGTCATCAAAAACCTTTTGTTTGTGCCGCGTCTCCAGTACTCGAGACATGATAAATTCATTAAACTCGGGATGACCTTGAACTGTCAAGACTTTCATAGGGATGTGCAATCCCTGGACACCACAACGAGGACTATGCCCGAGATTCACACATCCTTTCGGCACATCGTGAACTATATCACGATGCATCTGCTGTAAATACTATAACAATAATTTAGCTCACAGGGCATTTTTTTGAGACGAAAATCGGACTTACTAGTGTATCTTTCTCAAACAAATGTTTCCCAACATCGGTTAGGCTGATTTCATCTACTGATATCTCCCACCCTGCCGTACTTCTCTCCACCCGCGCACCCAAGGCCCGAGCTATGATTTGATGTCCAAAGCAGATTCCAATCAAGGGCTTCTGCTGATGTTGAAAAATATCGCGAATGTAGTTGGTGAGACTAACTATCCACGGTGCATCGGAAAAAGCATCATGCTCTAGTGAGGTTAGACGATTTGTGAGTTATAAACCGGACTCTTTACTGACGTACTACTTCCAGTAAGGAGAAGGGCATCGAAATCGGCAATGGCAGGATAAACTGGGTTCTCCACCACGTTCCACTTGCTGGTATGCAAGGCTATATTGGCAGCACAGTCTGAGAGTGAATCGAAGCCCTCTTGCAGCAAACCACTGAACAAATCTCCGTATGTTCCATATCGGGCCTTCACTGGATCAATTGGAGTGTCGCATTCGAGAACAGCAACGCGAAGTGTGCGTGTCATTTTGGTTGCCGACCAAGTCAGTCCAGTCACTAATTATGTCCAAGTCTCATATGTGTCTATTCGCACAGCCGTTTTATGGATGTTCCTGATCCATCGCGGCTCTGGTGCGCTGAGTGGACAGCCGCGCATTGCCCCACCATCGCGGACCGCGGGAATGCCCGTCGCATGAAGCAAATGGTACCCGACGGCAGGGAATCGGCTCCTTCGCAATGCATTGTGGACATTTTATCAACTGCGCCGATAGTATACAGTGCGCGGTAGCACTCAAATTCTACCGCGCGCGCGATACTGGTGCCCGTAGGCTTTCGACTTTCGGGAAGGATGGCAAGGTTAGATGACCCGCACGATGGGTTATCATAAAACGGAGCAATCATGCACCAAAAGCGGTCTTTTCATTTTGCTCCCTTAATTTTCGAACTTCCCTGAACAGTCATCTATGCTTCGCGCAGAATGTTAACTCCCACAATGATCACTCTCGAGACTCTCCCCAATTTGCTTGCGGATGACATTAAAGTCAAGGTCGCCGGTATCGACAGTGATGGCGTCCTACGAGGAAAAGTCATGTCAAAGGAAAAGTTCTTGGGCATAATGAAAACCGGCTTTGGATTTAGCTCCGCTGTGTTCGGCTGGGATATGCATGACATGCTATGGACGACCGATGCTCGCGTGGCGCCTCCAGAGTCGGGATATGCGGATTTCCTAGCTGTTCCAGACCTGAATTCATTTCGCCGCCTTCCATGGGAAGAGAACATTCCTTTTTTCTGGTCCGGTTTCTCAATGCCGGAAAGCCCGTTTCGGCGGACGGGAGGAGCATGTTGAAGAGCATCTGTGACCGGCTTGCAGAGAACGGATGCCAGGCTTTGGCAGGAGGCAGGTCCCACGATATCTCTATTGGATGAGAGTTAATTAATTTTAACGCGATACAGTCGAACTCGAATTCATGAACTTTCAGACTCCCTCCGAAGACGGATACGGCAGTTCTGTCTCACAACACCCTAACCTCGCCGCGTTCCTTGAGAAGAACGCGCCTAACGCTCTGCGGCCGTTGACTCAAGGCATGTTTTGCTACAGCTCAACACGTCCGGTTGCCAACAAGAAATACTTCTACGACATTTTTAATACCTGCGCCCAGATAAATTGTGGAATCGAAGGATGGCACACTGAGGGTGGGCCGGGCGTATATGAGGCGGTATAGTACTTGTTTCCAGCTGGAGTGGTTCCTATCTAATTACTATTATAGGCACTAAAAGTGTGTGAAATTAGCGAGATGGCTGATAAGGTGGCCATGTTCAAGTGGGCATTCTCTCAAATATCTTGAAGCAAAAATTAATCTTATTTCAGGTTCCTCACCAAATCTCTTGGCGTTGACCATGGAGTAACACCATGCTTCATGGCAAAACCCATGCAGGGGATGCCTGGTAGCTCTGGTCACATCCACATTTCACTTACCGATAACCATGGCCAGAATCTTTTCGCGAGGGAGACACCAGAAGAAAATCCTCGATGGGCCGACATCGCCCATCTCTCTGATACAGGTCGGCACTTCTTGGCTGGCCTGCTTGAAGCTCTCCCTGATATTATGCCGTTATTCGCCCCGAGTGTAAACTCATACAAACGCCTTGTGGAGAACTACTGGGCCCCGGTGCACATCAGTTGGGGCCTGGAGGACCGCATTGCATCGATACGTCTGATCACACCTCCAGTTTGCAAGCCTGGTGCCACGCGCTTTGAAGTGCGCATCCCCGGCGCGGATCTGCATCCACACTTTGCACTTAGTGCTGTCCTTTCAGCAGGCTGGCGTGGGGTCCAGAAGAAACTGGAGATCAAAGTGCCACCTATGTCAGCGCGAAGACCGGGTGACCCACGCCCAGAACTACTTCCCAATACACTAGATCTGGCTCTAGTACGTTTCTCAGCACCGAATAGCATTGCTCGGGAAATTTTGGACGAAGAGTTTGTCGAATTCTTTACGGCGACTAGACAGCATGAGTTGGGTCTCTGGAGGGAGGCAGTGACTGACTGGTAAGATTTATGGACCTTTTGGTTGTGAATTCATTGACTGACTCGGTTACAGGGAGCTTAAGAGGTATATTGAAATTGTCTAGGAGGAGATTGGGGGCTATGGATCACATCAGAATTAGGATTACACTAAGAATAAGATTTGACACTCACATGGTATATCTGATAAATGTGAAGAACAATTTATTACTCAAGATCTTATGTTTTCGTCGTTTGCAAATAGGTTCACTGGGATAAAAGGGAAACCAGACAACACTTCTTTCTTGAGTTTCCAAAAGGAATGATGATTTATATTGCATAGAACCAGATGGGGTATTAATCATAGCGAACGACGTTTTTCCCTGACATGAAAGAAACAGGCTAAGTTGAACAACATATGCATTCCCAAAATACTTTGATCTCATGCTGTCCATGACAAAAACTCCCCTGGTGGATCGTACGGCTGACTTGATAGGTTCATATTCTTCAGCGCCTGCCGGCAGTGAAGAAACCGAAAGCGGCAGCAGCGAGACACATGATAAATGTCATGAACATAAAGGCAGTATCAGCCGTCGCCGATCTGCACTGCTCCTCCAGCTTACCCGGGTTACCATCATATGCGCAAATAAAGGTTCCTTTGTAAGTGGTACAGCCTCCGCCAAGAATAGTATTCTGCCATAAAGTTTCCGGATTGGAGCAGTTGGTCCCGCGGAGAAGAACGGCATACGTCTAGTAGGAAAGCAAAGTCAGACTTTTCTTCATCGAAAGCAAGTTAAGTTGGATGCCACATACAATTCCCCCGGCAAGAAGTGCAAGTGCTGCCAGCCCATCAACGGCCCAGCTAATAAGACCCTCAAGTGACTCAACAAACAGAGAAGCAATTCCCAGTAGAGCAGAAACAATACCAATACCACCAGTAAAGGCTGCATAGCCTGTTGCTGCAGGTACAGCATAAATTACTTGGTTCTTGGCCAGAGTCACTGAGAGTCCGAGGACGACAATCCCAAAGATCAACTATTGGCTTATTAGCGATTGAAAATAAAGTAGCAGGGACAGTTCCTTACTTGGAATCCTCGAATAATTGCGGAACCTAGATTCATCTTGATAAGTTTAGATGCTTCTTCGCAGTGTGGGTGTTGAAGTAAGTGATCGTCTTGAGTACAGTGGATGGGAAGCTGGATGCCAATTTATCACTCAAAAAAGGCTGGGTAAATATATTAGGTTTCTGCGAGAGCCTCAGTGACTAAAGATACACCACCCAAAAAACAGCCAGGGTTGATCTGCCTTGAGATGCACGAAGGGGGCCGCCAAGTGCTGAGCCTCGCCGCTAACCGCCCGCAGAGTGAGCCCTAGCCAACCAACAACGACGACTCTTCCGATAGTGGTTCTGATCGTCAACTGGCCATATATTTGGGGCCAAATACCTGCAGGTTATTATCCAGCCCAACTCATTCAGGTTCTATTTATGTTTCAGCCCTGCAGTTAGTTAACCTTGATTCGTGACAACATTCAAGTCTTTGCATCAAGCGTGATTTCAAAGTTATTTTTAGCCATACGACCCCAATTTGTATTAGTCTTTCTCAAAATGATGGAAGAGGAATCGCGTAGAGACCGCTCGTCAAATGATATTATGTCATCTTTAGATCCCAACAGGAATTGGTGGTGCACCATTTTGCTCCTTCAGTTGTGCGTGAGCGCTTTTATTGGCACCGTATACCACAATTCTCCTATGTAAGAGATCCTGAACCTAATCAAAGAATATTATTATTACCAAAGCATTTTTTACTTCAAATAGACAGCTCAACTTCTTCTTGAGTTTCTGGAAATTCCCAGGAAAAGCACTTTTGCTAAAGCGATTTTATCATGGTTAAGGTTCAGAAATCTGGTTGGATTTAGGGCGAAATATGGATCCCGAGTCAACCGACTAGACCACCTTTCAGTCAAACTATCCTGTATCTCTGCGTGATTCTACGTCTTAGGGATTTGGAACAGTAATACCAAGAAAGAGCTCGTGTTCTTCATTATACAATACTGGATTTGTGTTCCTCCCCTACTGTGACAGATACTTCGACTTGTCTATGGATTCCTTCAGATCTAGAGAGTTGGCCATGGGAGCTGCTGCCGATATCACCATCTTCACTGTCACTTCCATCTGCAATTCGTTTCATCCCTCTACCCCCAATAACCGAGACTCTGTTTCTGGCTCTTGATAGCGAGAGAGTGTTTTCAGTATATGGTGAACTCAGTTCATGAGTATATCTGTCCGTGCTAGATATCTGGCTCTTGATCAATCGGACAAGGGACCGGAGACAAGGGATCGATGCCGTAATGAGAACCAGATAGGTTTCAATATATAACCAGCGATCTAGGTTGATGGTTGCAATAGTTGGATCTTTGTCTGTTGTTGCAAGAACATGGGTTTGTACCGTTTTTATTATAGACGCAATCATCGCACTATAAATAATGGTTTTCAGTTAGCCTAGACTCAGCAAGGATATATGTTCACTCACAAGACCCCCATCCCGAGTAGAGTTATCAGACCCAGCTTGACTCTCACTTTCAAATTAAGACTCCAGAATATGTATGTCGAGAACACCGCGAGATAAAGGTCAGTTGCCGAGTTGAACGCTAGTCCAGACCACATCATTAGTATACACAGGTTGAGCTGCGTCGCGGACATGGACAGGCTTTCTTACATCCCTGGAAGTATCCATAATATGCTTGAACACGAGGGCTCCAACATTTCACCTTTCCAGAGTGCGCCCAAATACCAGACCCGTGTCCTGGGCATTGGAGAAAAATTATGAGGATAAAGACAAGGTTGACGATGGGTTGGAGCACAACAAGGGCCCACAAAGTAACTCTGTGAGATGTGCTAACACCAAGCAATCCGATAACGTAAACGATAAAAGCGACGCGCCCAAGTGTGCCACCCACAATTCCAAAGGTCTGTGTGAAGTAGTCGTACTCGATGATTCTGGAGACATCGCTCGGTTCCAAGGTTCCAACTTGGTGACCAAAGCCGCGATTCACGGCCACTGTAGCCATGGTTGATCCGACAATTGCCAGAAGCTATGCAATAATGAATGGTTAATTTCTGCTCTAGGATGAAGACAGAAAGTAGAAAGCCACTGGAATCGGAAACAGATTGGACAAATAAAAGGGTTGCTAACCAATGCAAGAGCCATGAGAATATCATCCCATCCAGATTTCGCGATCCTGAATTTAGCAAATATTCTGAGATTGACGACAATAATAGCAATGGCTGCAAGCGCCCAGATATCTCTCAGTAATTGTGGACCAGAGTCGTATTCGGAATCCGCGCCGGTGGCAGGCATGGCGATGAAAGAAGGACTGGGATCACCCAAGCCCAGGGGAACACAGCGATCATTGCGTAGTGAAAAGAGGAAGGAGAATTCACGCAGAAATAAGTATATAGTTATATTCTATCTCAATCGAAATTAAGTCCATCTTAGGGAGAACGGGTGCACATCGGAGGTCTCCGCTTCTCGTGTTCAAAAAGTGGAGCAAATTAGTGATAAAGGCTGGCACCACCAGAGTTCATCCAAAGATTACTAGAAGCTTAAACCCTGGTCTGTAATAGGAGAGATCATGATTGGCCTTGTTTGTGAACTCAAAGGATCTGACCTCCTGAATGCGGGGAAGTCCGTTATGATATACACCACAATAAGGGCTTCTGTTTGACCCCGACTATCAGAAAATGTTGATATATACCACTCAACAATCGGTGAAAGAAGGAAAAGAGGACGATAGCAAGTCCTTTTTCAGAGAAATAGAACAGCATAAGTCCTATTGCTGGTATGATGCTGTAAAACATTGAGTCTAGAACGTCAAGAAAGTTCGATACTGACTCAGATAGTGTCGTTTAGGATTTCCCCTTTGCCACTTCTTCCGTCTCAACAATCATATAGGTAGCTTCTTACTATATGTCGGAATGAAAACAGCCTAGGTAGTATTCAGCGGGCATGAATAGAGTTAGTCCTAATCTGGTGGCGGCTCATCCATCATCCACAAGAGGTAGGTCATGGCGATTTCAACCCCTTGAATTTTCCTCTCCTACAGATCATCCAATAATAATCTTCTCAACAATTTATATTGGTCATCCCGACCACTGATTAACTAAAGATCGAACCAACAACTCCCCACGCCAACCGTTTACGTTAAGTGATCACCAATCTATTTAGCTTCATCGGCTACGATACACGCCGGAATGTCAAAAGACAAAGGTACTTTTATAGCCAACAAAGACTACGGGACTCACTGGGGCCAAAGAACTTTCTTTTATCGCATGAATGAAATCGCCGGCTACCCGTTCTATTCCGTTATTGCTGCCGACACGCGTCTCCGTGAAATCGTTCAGCGAAAGGAGGCTTTGCACAAGAAGCTAATGGGAGCAGAAAAAACCCCGAAAACCCGGGCTGACTGTATGAATAGTTGTCGGTGGAAAGGGGAACTGAAAAGTCTTCGCATAGAACAACGGCGTCAAGAGCGCTGGCTATCCGAAGCGGAAGAGACGATTCCTGGATTCATAAGACTGATCTATTATTCGATAAGAGAAAGCCCGAGATGGTATCTCCAGAAGGAACTGATTGAAGATTGTGCAGAACGAGGAGGATGCTGTGGCCGCGCCTGTGGCTGCTGCGAGGAACGTGCGTCGTCCGCACTTCAGGGTAGACAAGGAATTGGACACTGCACGGTACACTGTGCATGTTGTTCAGATGTCCACAAACTTGACATTGTTGCAGGGAAGAAGCAAAAAATTGCACAAGATCTCGACGATGCGTTCAAGAGTCGCAATCCGAACTATCTACTCGGAATAACACAATGTTATTTCTCCCCTCGGCCTGCAGAATCTGAAACAGGCGAAAAAAAGAGGCGCCCAAAAGAAGGACGGAAAGACTGAAGAGTGTTTTTGTCAATTTGGAAGAGTGACTTCGGTTCTTAGATTCGATCTAGCCATACTTGGGATGTCCACCCGAGTTTCTTATGGCTGACCTGCCCCGGAGTTGCTTATGTTTTGATTCAACAGTATTATTTCCATAAGTATGTCCAATTCGTATTGTTATTCAACTTTTAACCAAGATATTGACGCGTGTTGTACTCGCATAGTAAGAAAGAAGCTTATCGTGGGTGAATGTCCGTGTAGCGTAAGCGCCTGGGTAGGATTCCGCTTGGAGGGAGACAGAATAAAATTGGAATATGAATGTTATAAAATTAAGCACAATTGTCATTTTTCAAGTTAGACAGCTGCTGATTCAACCATATACACAAAAGAGCTCCTGAAACAGATCAGTCAAATGGCAGAACATACCAGGAAGGCTCGCAATAACTAGCCCCAAGCAGAAGATATCCGCAGAAAGAACATCACTCATAATGAGAACAAAGTCCACCAAACACCCAACCAGAGACTCCCAGACCACAGCGTCCATACGTATCACCATCCACCTGTTCATCGCCATCCAAGGCAGGATTCTAGTGATTCCCTCCCAGCACACAGAAGATAACCGTCATTGCTGAGTCGGGCTATCGTTGTCGCCATCGCCATCCTCAACATAAGCAGCTTTCGATGGTGCGCCAGATTCAGTTTCGGTTGCGAATCCCTCATCGTCTTCCGGAGCCTGCTCATGCGACTCTTCATACCCAGTCGTTTCTGTCGCAGTCCGCTCCGGCCCTGCAGGACGGGGATCCCGCACCACCGACTTCCCCTTGCCCGTTTGGCCTGGCAGCGATGGCGCCTCGGCTTCACTCCTAAGTTCGGCAGCTGATTCCTCCATGAGCTGCGACGATCTCGAGCTGCGATCACGTTTAGCACGAGCACGCGCACGGCGAATCAGTCGATTGTGATAGTCTTCCTGTTCAACTTCCGGATCTTCATTCAGAATCCGACGAGCGGCTTCGCGGCCAACGACAGGGAGTCGGTCAACCCCCACGGCAGTTTTAGGAACCAGTTTGGGATCAAGAAGGCCGACCTGCACCAATACGCTGGCCTGATCCCAGTAGACATGTTCCGAGTAGAGTCGTCCTGCGCGCATACTGACAATGCTGACCAGCACAATCTCCACGCGCCGGTTGGTCGGAGGTACTCCTGGCAGCATCCATGGGATTTCCTGAGTATGCTCAAATCCTGCGTACAACTCGTCGACAACCCGATCCGCTCCTGTCGTACGCGACAGCAAGCGAAGGCGCATGGATGGTGGCAGTTTTCCAACGAAGTGGTGCTCATAGAAGCGTCTAAGTGCCTGGGCCCCAATTGCCCCACTCAAGGTCGAGGTGAAAGTAACCGTCGGGGTTTTATGCTTGACGTAGCCATCCATGGTTTTGGACAGGTTGGAGGCAAAAAATTTAGCTACAAACTGTTAGATTCTACTTTGGCCAAATAAGTGCGTTAACTTGCCTTCTTGGTGGTCCTCCCATCGCTTCTCAAGGTCTGCTTCTCTTGAGAACCCTTTTCTCAGAACATGCAGAGTACGGGTCCAAGCCAGGCCAGCTGCCAAGTGATCATACTCTTCCAAATCGGCCTCCGCAAACCCTGGTTGAGCATAATCATAGGTGTATGCCGGATATGCCAATTCTAGACGTTCTCCCGTTCCAATGCCCGGGTTGATGGGACGAGTCTTGCGCCTTTTCTTTCCTTGAAGACCCAGCGCGGTGGGAACAGTAGTCACATCAACCTTTTTTCCAGCCAGATGTACGAGGACCGGCAACGAGGCTGGGAATCGAGACCGGGTGTCTGGGATGTTGCTCGGATAGTATGCGACAAGAGCGCAAAGTCGGCCGGCGTGGATAGGTTTGAGGTAATAGTCAAGGCAATAATTGGCAGCGTCCCCGAACGCTTTGGAAGGTCAGAAGCCATTTCGCTATATTCCACTCCATGAGCACATACCGATCACAGCGTAGTTCTCGCCTACGCCCAGTCCGTCCTTGACTGACTTCAACTGAGACTCGTATTCCTTTCCACCTCCATTATAGGGTATATAGAGAACATCAAATCCTTCATCTTGCCAGCTTTGAATTATCTCCGTGTCGAATTCTGCCGTTTCAGAAGTGATGCACAGCCGCGCATTGTTGGAGCCGTTGTTGTAGAGGAACCCGTTGCTCGCGCCAGGCGCGCTGATCGATATGGTGGCCATTTTCTTTATTTACTTCTGTGCGCGGTCGACAGGATGACCACTGCAACTGTCGAGTCTCTCTGGTTGTTGGCGCAGGACAATAATCAAGAATAAAATTCAAGGCGCTCAAGCGAATATCAGTGGGTGTCTCAAATAAGAGAATCCGGGCCAGCCTTGCCAGTTACGTCACTGCCTTCTCCGCCAACGTCATCGCAGCCACAATTCATGGAACTTTTAATTTATTCTTTAATTTAGTTGTGGATATTGTATTGGATAATAATACTTGCTATTGGTCCCTAGGTAGCAGGATAGCTCATTGATTATCGAATGAAATGCTAGCCTAACAAGCTGTTTGCTACCGCACGTACTTGTTGCCGATCGTGAATTAAGCTATCTGTCAGTTCAACGTTTTTTTCGGGAGTATTTGCCTGATCTACAGACTGATGAACATCCGTCGAAGGGATAGGTTCAGATTCAATTGTGTATACAGGCCCAATAATATATTGTGTCTGCATTGAACTATGTTAGACATCCTCTTGCTGCTCCTCTGGTTCACCTCCAAAGAGCTTTATAGAATTTGTGGTGTTACAATTAGTACACAGAGTCCTATATTTCATATACTGATACTGTGAATGATATAAGACTCTATCACATCCCATATCATCTGAGTACAATAAACGTGCCACAAGCTAACTACCCCTGTCTTGTTGGGGTAGAAAGTAAGCGGAGCTTCCACCACAAGCGTCCTTCTTCTTGGCATCCGCAAATGCCCTTTGGTATCGCGTGGTCCTCCTGCTCAGCAAATTGTGCAATGTCGCTTTTGCATCTTATCTCATCTCGCAATATCAACTACAATGGTCTAGAGTCACCCACCTCTCTTGTCCCCGTGAAAGATCAATGGTGTAGGAATCTGCGTACAAACACTCGAGCGGGAAGTGGATGGGTATGTTGTTCTGCTACATGATTGATAGACCATTGTGCTCCTTTGTATAGCTCAGGTGGTGGCCACTGTCCTCGCATGCTGTTCGCGTCTAGAAATGCATTTGTTAGGCTTTGTGGCATTTAGGCCTATCCTGATCGCTGAACAAGATGAGTCGAATGGTACGAGCGCGAGATTTTGATCCCGGTGGAAGATGAAGAGAGGAAATTTGAAGATATCTGGACTTTGTGCTGAGCGCTCGCATTGCAATGATGGTCATTTGGAAATTGTGTCATGGTACTTAGCGCGAATAACCTCAATAGCATAGCGAATCATGACCTTGAGAACGTCCATCAAGTCAATAGCCTTTCCCTTTCTGGCTTGCATCCAGACCAGACCACCTAACTATCTTGCATTTCCTATGCATCCTAAACGTGGGGCTTGCATATCGTCCGATCTATACCCCTCCCCTCACATTGTGTGGAGAAGGTGGTCCGTTCATGTGTTCTAGCTCTTAGGTGGCTTTCATTCTGGTTTCCTTGTCCACTTGGTGCGTCTGGCCAGATAGTTGCCTCCAGAGTAGCAGGATCAAATCCAAAAATTAGAGTTACTTGCGTCGTGTTCAGCGGGCGGCCTGTCTCTTTTATACTCAACTGTCTCCTTGCTACAGGATTCTTTAGCGGGACCTTGCTGATGGTACCCAATATCATGTTGTACAGTTTTCACTCTGGGCGACGTGGCTAGCTCTTTCAACTCCAGAGACACGACGAGACGAGTCCCGTCCCACATGACTGGTATTCTTGCGGAGCTACACGAGAAAAAAAAAAGCCACTCTGCTACAGAATGAGGCAGTAGATCCCTGCGTCAAGCTGCCAAGGGCCAAGCAGCTCCCATTCCCCGCATTTATGCCCCTTCCCTCCCCAGATCGTCGTGGCGAGTATCCGAGCCCCATCTTCTTGTCCAAACAACCCCAAATAACCCAGCAACATCGATGCAGGCAGAGCCATCGATTGTGGGGACTATTAACACGTCCCCTCCCCGTCGGGAACTTGGCTCTGCATCTCCTGCAACTCACTACTGTATTTTGCCAATCACCCGAGGCATCTGCCCACTTCCTGTCGGCTACTGTAGACTGAATCAGCTGTGCCGTGGTGTGAGCGTCCCGAGCGTAATACCAGTAATCTAGTGATATCATGGATGTATGGTTGTCACGGCTGCGTCTACATATAGCTGACACCTTGCGGGTGGAATAAGTAGTCGGTTGAACCATTTCCAAAGACATTCACCCTATTATCAGTTCTAGTCTATCACCATTTTTTTTTTCATCTATAGGAGGAAATGTCTGTCCCAGATGACAAACCACCCTCCGTGGACCGCATCGAGGACATTGCTCAGCACACACCCAGCAGTAGTCAGGAAGATGAAGAGTTCACACTCGAAGAACAAAAGGCAATTATCCGCCGGGTGGATCGTCGGTTGGTCACCATGACGGGTCTGGCATACTGCATCTCGCTGATGGACCGTACCAACCTGAGCATGGCCGCCATCGCTGGGTAAGACAGCTCCATGCGTGTTGGGGCTGCTGATGGGATTGTTGACCACTCTGAACGCGATAGTATGATTGAGGATTTGAAGCTCGATGTGGACAATCGCTATGTTAGTACCTGTGGAATTTTATGAGCGGGGTCTTCCACGGCTGACAGTGAACCAGTCCATCGTCGTCCTCATGTTCTTCGTGCCGTACGTTATCTTCCAGCCGCCGATGACAATTCTCATCCGCAAAATTGGGCCGAGGATCTTTTTGTCAACCATCATTATATCTTGGGCTGTCATTATGATTGTAATAAACCTTTCACAGTGGGTTATCGAGATTGTGCTGACGAGGTCGTCTATAGGGAACGGGGTTTGTGAAGAACTTTGGTCAACTGGTTGGCCTGCGCGTGCTTCTCGGTGTCTTAGAGGCAGGATATTTCCCCGGTTGCGTTTACCTGTTATCTTGCTGGTATACTCGATGTAGGTGATAGAGTTCTAAATTGAAGAAACATGCTCTGACACAGTCCCGGCAGATGATGTGCAGAAGCGGTTCTCTGTTTTCTATCTGATTGGGTGTGTCGCGGGGTCACTGTCCGGTATTCTTGCGTTCGGCCTGATGCAACTGAGCGGTGCTCATGGGCTGAATGGATGGTCTTGGATCCTGATCCTAGAGGGCGTGGTGCGCATGGTTGACCTTGACGGTGGAAAGAAATCCATCCCACTAACTATGGAATAGATCACGGGTGTCATTGGGATGGTATGCTTCGTCTTCCTGGTCGACTTTCCGGACCGAGCAGCCAAGTCCTGGCGGTTCCTGAATGAGAAGGAGAGCGCATTCATTATCCGCCGCATCAACCAGGACCGTCGAGACGGTGACTTGGAGGCGTTCTCACTCGGCAAGTTTTTGAAACCGTCCTTAGACCCCAAGATCTGGGGGTTTGCTATGATCTTCTTGTGCGTAAGAACTTCTCTCCGATCGATCCATCGCAGCTGAACATTCTATAGTTGTCTCACAACGGTCACCTACGCAATCGCCTACTTCCTGCCTATCATCCTCCGTGACGGCATGGGGTTTGGCGTGGGGGAGTCTGAATGTCTCGTGGCGCCGCCGTATGGTCTGGCGGGCATCCTCATGTATGCCACTGCCTGGGTCGGCGACAAATACCGCATCCGGGGCGCCATCCTCATAGTCAACGCCCTCATCTGTATCATCGGACTACCGCTGATGGGGTTCGCCAAGGGCAATGCCACGCGCTACGCGGGCGTGTTCCTCACCGTCGCGGGCGCGAATGCCAACATTCCCGCCTGCATGGCGTACCAGGCCAACAATGTGCGCGGACAATGGACCCGAGCCTTTTCCAGCGCCACGCTGGTTGGCTTCGGCGGGATTGGGGGCATTGTGAGTAGTCTGGTATTTCGCGATCAGGACGCTCCGGAGTATCGGCCGGGCATGTGGGCAGCCATAGCGTAGGTGTTTCCGCCTGGATTGCAAGCGGTGCTAATTGGGAAGCATAGGTGTAACATCCTCATCATTCTGATAGTCCTGGTGCTGAGTGTGTGGTTTCGGCATTGTAACCGGCAGGCTGATCAAGGAAAGCGGGTCATTGAGGGCTCTCCGGACTTTCGCTATACCATTTGACATGGTGGCATCGGTGGTGTATCGTTCGAGGTGCACCGAGACATCCATGGATGGGAACAATCCCATGCATCGACCTCTTCACCCGACAGTTATTCCCAACTGGACTCAATAGTGAATACCATTGTCCTAGTCATCTAACGAGTAGTGGAGAAAGTAACTCTGGTTTCCCTTGAACGGCCGCTTTCCCACGGGAAAGTGCTCCGTCGGCGTATTCAGTACCGTATGGTGACACCATTACGCAGCGTTCATTCGTCCGATAACGCTGCTATCTGGTTTTCCGATACCGTTGCCCGCGCCCCGAGGTCAAACGAAAAAGAGGAACCAAGATTGGAACGAAGACAAGAAAAAAAGAAAAAGAGCTGCAAATCATAAATGGAATCTTTCTTCTTTTCATTCCTCTCGTTATCTTGTCTCCTTGAGCTGTGTTGAGTGCCCTCCTGGCTGCCGCTCTCTTCCTCCGACCTCATCCTAGCTCCTCTCCCAGCATGGCGGCATCCTGGTTTGCCCTGCGCGGTGGCCGCCAGCTCGTGCTGCGGTCGCGTCTGCGCGCCGCCCCTTCCCCGGTCTCGCTGCGGACGGCATCGCTGTCGCCCTTCAACGCCTGCCGCCGCTGCCTGCACAACTCCTCGCAGCAACAGCCGTCTCCCTCGACTCGCCGAGGAGTGTACACTAGCACTGTCGCCGACCATGGCGACCCCCACCCCCAGGATATCTTCCAGCCCCTCGACACCTTCCCCCGCCGCCATATTGGTCCGTCTCCCGATGCGGCCGGCGAGATGCTGGCCGTCCTGGACCCTCCGGCGGCTTCGCTGGACGAATTCGTCAAGCAAGTCCTGCCGGCGGACGTGATGTCTAAGAAGGACCTGAAGGTCACCCAGCCCCACGCCGATATCAGCCTGTACCGTTCCCCCGTGCAAGGTGGCCTGGGCGAAACCGATATGCTCAAGCTGTTGGACACCTACCGCAAGAACATTGATGTCTCCGGCAAGACGTATATTGGCACCGGCTACTACCCGACCATCGTGCCTCCGGTCATTCTCCGCAATGTGCTCGAGAACCCGGCTTGGTACACTAGCTACACGCCCTACCAGCCGGAGATCAGCCAGGGCCGTCTGGAGTCTTTGCTGAATTTTCAGACCCTGACTGCCGATCTGACCGGTCTTCCGTTTGCCAATGCCTCGGTTCTGGATGAGGCGACCGCCGCCGCCGAGGCCATGACCATGTCCTTTGCCACCATGCCGGCCTCGAAGCAGAAGAAGGCCGAGAAGTCGTTCGTTGTTTCGCACCTGTGCCATCCGCAGACCATTGCCGTGATGAAATCGCGTGCGGAGGGCTTTGGCATCAACCTGGTGGTTGGTGACATTCTGGCGGATAACTTCAAGCTAGTCAAGGACCAGGGTGACCACCTGATTGGTGTTCTGGCTCAGTACCCCGACACCGAGGGTGGTATCTTCGATTTCCAGTCCCTGAGTGATTCTATCCACGGCCAGGGCGGTACCTTCAGCGTGGCTACGGATCTGCTGGCTTTGACTGTCCTGAAGGCACCCGGCGAGTTCGGTGCTGATATCGCGTTCGGTAGCGCCCAGCGATTGGGTGTTCCCATGGGCTTCGGTGGCCCGCACGCTGCATTCTTCGCTTGCGCCGACAAGTACAAGCGCAAGGTTCCCGGCCGTGTAGTCGGAGTTTCCAAGGACCGCCTTGGTAATCGCGCTCTCCGGCTGGCTCTGCAGACTCGCGAACAGCACATTCGTCGCGAGAAGGCTACTAGCAACATCTGCACAGCCCAGGCTCTGCTCGCCAACATGACATCCATGTATGCCATCTATCACGGTCCCACTGGTCTCAAGTCCATCGCTCAGCGCATCATGTCCATGACCACTCTGCTTCGCGAGAAGCTCGTCGCCATGGGATACAATGCTCCCGCGAGCTCCAACGCTACTGATGCCGGTGTTGTTTTTGATACCCTGGCCGTTGAACTTCCCAGTGCTGCCGAGGCCGATGCCATCATGGCCGAGGCTCGCGCTCAAAAGATCTTCCTACGTCGCTTGGGTGGCAACAAGGTTGGCCTGTCGCTCGATGAGACTGTCGGCCGGGAAGAGGTCAAGGGTGTCCTGGATGTCTTCGCTGCTCACAAGTCTCTCGCCCCTGTCGAAGTTGATGGCACTCTCGGCCTCGCATCTGTGCCGGCCAGCCTGGAGCGCACTTCGCCCTACCTGACCCATCCTGTTTTCAACACCTACCATTCCGAGACTGAGATGCTGCGGTACATCCGCCACCTCGAGTCGAAGGATCTCTCTTTGGCCCACTCCATGATCCCTCTGGGCTCTTGCACCATGAAGCTCAACGCTACCACAGAGATGATCCCTGTCTCCTGGCCGGAGTTCTCCCAGATGCATCCGTTTGCGCCTGCTGATGTGGCCAGGGGCTACACGCAGATGATCGATGATTTGGAGCAGCAGCTGGCCGACATCACCGGTATGGCCGAGGTCACTGTGCAGCCCAACTCGGGTGCGCAAGGTGAGTTCGCCGGTCTGCGCGTCATCAAAAAGTACCAGGAGGCTCAGGGCGACTCCAAGCGCAACATCTGCCTGATCCCTGTCTCCGCCCACGGCACCAACCCTGCCAGTGCCGCCATGGCCGGCATGCGGGTTGTCACGGTCAAGTGTGACACCAAGACCGGCAACCTGGATCTCGCGGACCTACAGGCCAAGTGCGAGAAGCACAAGGACGAACTGGCCGCGTTCATGGTCACCTACCCCAGTACCTTTGGTGTGTACGAGCCTGGTGTCAAGGAGGCCTGTCGACTAGTGCACGCGAACGGCGGCCAGGTCTACATGGACGGCGCCAACATGAATGCTCAGATCGGTCTTTGCTCCCCCGGCGAGATCGGCGCTGATGTGTGCCACCTGAACCTGCACAAAACCTTCTGTATCCCTCACGGTGGCGGTGGCCCTGGTGTCGGTCCTATCGGTGTGGCTGAGCACCTGCGTCCGTTCCTGCCCTCGCACCCGACCAGCGAGTATCTGCAGTCCAAGCGTGGTGACAATTCATCGCCGCCCATCAGCGCCGCTCCCTGGGGCAGTGCCAGTATCCTTCCCATCACCTTCAATTACATCAACATGATGGGTGACCGCGGACTCACACACGCCACCAAGATCACTCTGCTGAACGCCAACTACATCCTCTCGCGCCTGAAGCCCCACTACCCAATCCTGTACACCAACGACCACGGCCGCTGCGCACACGAGTTCATCCTCGACGTGCGCGGCTTCAAGGAGACCTGCGGTGTCGAGGCCATTGATATCGCCAAGCGCCTGCAGGACTACGGCTTCCACGCCCCAACCATGTCCTGGCCCGTCGCCAACACGTTGATGATCGAGCCCACCGAGTCCGAGAACAAGGATGAGCTCGACCGTTTCTGTGACGCGTTGATCTCCATCCGCCACGAGATCGCCCAGGTTGAGCGTGGCGAGCAGCCCAAGGAGGGCAACGTGCTCAAGATGGCGCCGCACACCCAGCGCGATTTGCTGTCGACCGAGTGGGACCGTCCGTACACGCGCGAGACCGCGGCGTACCCCTTGCCTTTGCTGCTGGAGAAGAAGTTCTGGCCGTCGGTGACGCGGGTTGATGATGGTATGTTCCTATCCCCTTCCTTTTCTTCTGGCTACCTGTGCTAACGTTTTTTTCCGTAGCCTTCGGTGACCAGAACCTGTTCTGCACTTGCGGCCCTGTCGAGGACACTGTATAGAGAAAGATCTACGATACCCACGCTGTTAATTCTGTGTATACGCGATTCAACATTTCTTATTTTTGATGATGACGATGGTTATTAGTTTTGATTAGAATAAAGGATTCAACATTATTTTCCATTGCCATCCATATCTTTCCAGTGCTATTAATACCACCTCGACGGTTTGTCGTTAGGGTTTAGAAGCCGCCGCCCAAGGGCTTATCAGGCCTCTTATCAGCCCGCGTACAGGATGTGACGGGTACCATTCCTTATCGTAGCGTAGTCCGAGTATAATACAGTAACACACTGTTCCATCGGAGACGGCCGATCCCCGAGACCAGGCACAATCAATCACCTTCGCCCTGTTGATCCCACGTCCTTCCTCCCCAAAAACCTAGCAGAGCCGACGTTCAAATCAAGAAGGAACAGCCTGGACACTCCGCACATCGATATTGCTCTGTCCGTCGACATTCTCGTCCGCCCCTCGCGCTCGGGAAAGAGCATGAGAGCGGCAGAGAAGACATATATTGACCTGTCCGACTGCCCGGAAGAGAAACCAATCCTTCTGTCATTATTGCATGCCTGTCGCTAGTGGACCCTGATCTGCAGCTGCATCTAGACGCATCCTTCTAGACTTGTTCTATATCCACTTCTTACATGATGGCTGCATCACCTTACGACTTCACGGTTTACCGTGGCACGTTCATTCAATTGTCGCGCAACCCTGCAGCCGGCCAGAAACCCGTGCTGCTGAGAAACACCGGTGCGTTGTGGGTTTCTGCTGCTGATGGCCGCATTGCCGACTTCGATTGGCAGGCAACAGACGACAATGCCTTTCGGCGATTGATGGAGAAGCAAGGCTGGGTGGATGTGGACTCTCAAGTCAATGGCCATTCGGGCCAACAGACCAAAGTGAAAATTGTGACTGCCAGCGATGACCTGAATGAGTTCTTCTTCCCGGGTTTCATCGACACGCACATCCATGCGCCTCAATACCCCAACGCCGGGTTATTCGGCTCCTCTACTCTTCTCGACTGGCTGGAATCATACACGTTCCCGGTCGAGTCGGGGTTCGGGTCTCAATCCGACCACAAGGACGGCAAATTCAGTCCCAGAGATGCACCGGTTTCTGCCCAGCGCGTCTACGATCAAGTCGTTGCGCGCACGCTCTCCCACGGCACGACCTGCGCCTCATACTTTGCAACCGTGCATGTCCCCGCTACTAACGCTTTGGCTGCGCTGTGTTATACTCGCGGCCAGCGCGCTTTCATCGGCAGAGTATGCATGGACAATCCGGATTTCTGCCCGGCCTACTACAAGGATCTCTCCGCTGCAGACTCTCTATCCGCGACGAAGTCTACGATCGAGTACATCCACACCCTTGACCCCAAGGGCAGTCTCATCAAGCCAATTGTGACCCCGCGCTTCGTGCCTACCTGCACGCGACCCGCTCTCGAGGACCTGGGCAAGCTCGCTGCGGCGTATAGCCCACCACTGCACATCCAGACTCACATCTCCGAAAACAAGAACGAAGTTGCTCTCGTCAAGGAACTATTCCCTGAGTGTGTAAGCTACGCGGCTGTCTACGACGAATATAAGCTTCTCACGCCGCGGACAATTCTCGCGCACGCAGTCCATCTCACACCAGACGAGCGCGCTCTGGTTCGTCAGCGGGACGCTAAGATCTCGCACTGTCCCGCCTCCAACTCGGCCCTTGGATCAGGCATCGCTCCTGTTCGCGCCTATATCGACGAAGGTGTGACTGTTGGCCTTGGGACGGACGTGAGTGGGGGCTACAGCCCCAGTATCCTGGAGGCAGCCCGACAGGCCTGTCTTGCCTCGAGGCTGTTGGGTCATACGGCCGATTTTCAAGCAGAGACATGTACAAACTCGCACCCCAAGTCGGATGGGAGAGAAAAACTGTCTATTGAAGAAAGTTTGTACCTTGCTACGCGCGGCGGCGCAGCCGTCGTTGACATGGCGAATGATATTGGCGGCTTTGAAAAGGGCATGATATGGGACACGCAGCTGATTCAACTAGGTAGCGTGAAGGAGGCTGATCGGAGCCCGCTCGACTCCGCTGTGGAGAGTAGCCATGGAACTGGTCAGAGCCTTGTGCAGCCTGGTCCGATGGGTAATGTCGATCTCTTTGGCAAGGAGACTTGGGAGGAGAAGATCCAAAAGTGGGTTTGGAGCGGAGATGATCGCAACGTGAGATCTGTCTGGGTTGGGGGGAGGTTGGTGCATTCCCGGGGTTGATATTGATTTTCAGCGACTTTTCGTCTCGCCCTGTTCAGATTTCGAAGAAAGATATACATCATTATAGAACAATTGGACTGTTTGGAAGTTCATTCTATCATATCATATCAGTAATAGTGGACTGGAAGCTCACACAGTGAAGCCAGGACTGAAAAAGAAGGTGATGAAGCCATGGTTCGCGCATGAGGAAAATCCGGCCAAGAACCATCGCTGCAGCCTAGTTTGCGAAGGCACCCACTCGGAACGCGTTTAATTAAGAGCAGTAATTTTGTTGGAATTGTTGTCTCACGCTGGGCGCTGCACATTTCCGGCCGGCTAAACGCATTCCAATCAATCCTGATCGCCGCACTCAGCCGCCATCCCTTGATGGCGCCGAAGATTCCAGGAATGGCGAAACCCCTGTTTACTGATTCACCGATAACACTTATCTGGTTCGTGTTGTGGATCGGTTTAATTGCGGGATCTAGAAAGCTGGCAGAAAATGCAGAAGAACAATATCAATGGCGTTCCATTGTTCTGTTTGTCAGATAATAGTAAATTAATCTCCGCCTCGAACATGCAATTAGACAAGCGAGAACACATAGGCACGAAACATACTTCTGGTTTCGGAAGCCTGTTTGTTCAACTCCCCGTTCCGGAAAGAGTAAACATCAACAAAACATTCTCAGTCTCATGAAAACTACGGCTTTGAATTGACTGTAAATGATGTTGTCCTAAATTCCCCGACCATGGTCCATAATTGTCATCTAGATGGCTGCCTGTGCAACCAAAGGCCGACGGCGACCGACGGGCAGAAACCAATGGTGTGTAAAACGATCTCACAAAAATGGTTCGAGGTGCCTCTTCTCTGCAGACCCTGGTGAGGTGTTACATCGAACGCCAGAGCCACGCGCAGAGATTCTAGGCGTAGACCCACCGGTGCCGCACGCAATGGATCTGTCTCGGATGTGCCTGGCAGGCCCAAGTGGCCCGATTAGGATCGTCGAACCCACTCGGGGTGCCCGCAGCAGCTTCACGAATGCAAACATTCATAGTATTGTCCCCGATTGTTCTCGGAACCGCGGTGAATGCCTTGCCCATCTTGTGATGTGTTTATATACGGCATGTTCTCGTCCATGATGATCGTCTGGAAATCATCTCGACTTCAGCCATGCATTCCTCGTTCATCAGTCTGGCGACTCTGACTCTGGCGGTGTTGTCGGGCACAGTGGCCGGCCTGGGGTTGTCTGCCGCTTCGTTTAGCAAGGACTTGTCGCTTGCTTCTCAGTTGGGTATTAGCCCTGATCTTTTTATGAAATATGGAAACCGTGAACGGGTGCATCTGCCCATGTTTATGGGTCGGACAAAGGCCGCGGTTGCTACGGAATGGACGACGGTGAATTTAATTAGGGTACAGAGGTTGAACAACTATTCTGATGCCATTGCAGATTCCCATTGACCACGAGGACGAGTCTGTCGGCACCTACCAGAACCGTTACTGGGTCAGCGAGCACTACTATCAGCCGGGAGGACCGATCTTCGTGTACGATGTAGGCGAAGCAAGTGCTGAGAACTCGGCGATGGCATATCTGGCTGCCAACAAGACCTCGTTTTTCTCGGAGATTTTGGAGGAATTCAATGGCATGGGCATCGTCTGGGAACATCGGTCTGCTCACCTGGCCGCTGTTCAGATATCTGGGCTAACACAGCAGTAGATACTATGGAGAATCTCTGCCATTCCCTATTAGCAACAGCACTCCGCCTGAGCACTTCAAATACCTGACCACCGAGCAAGCTCTGGCGGATATCCCATACTTTGCCCAGAACTTCACTCGCAACGGCCAGCAGCTGTCGCCGGACACAACGCCTTGGGTCATGGTCGGAGGCTCTTACTCAGGTATTCGATCAGCCTTCACGCGTGACCAATACCCGGATACTATCTTCGCTTCCTATGCTTCCTCAGCGCCAGTGGAGGCTCGTATTGACATGAGTATCTATTTCGACCAGGTCTATGCTGGAATGCTTGGGTACGGACACGAGAACTGCGCCAATGACATCAAAGCCGCGCTGAAGTACATCGATGAAGAGCTATCCAGGGATGAGACGTCGGCTGCAAACATCAAGACGATCTTCTTCGGAGCCGGGGCCGAGGAGAACAACAATGGCGACTTCAGTGCAGCGCTGGCAGGCATCTACGGCTATTGGCAAGCCTACGGCATGGGTGGCGGCGAGGGCAGTCTGGGCTCTTTTTGCGAATGGCTAGAAACCGATCCAGATACCAACAGTATCGCCGGACCAGAAGGGTTTGCATCTAGCCGAGGCAATGAGTACGTTGCAATGCGGTATGCCTCGTGGCCGGTCTTCACTAAGCTGATCAACTTCAACTACAACACAAATTGTGACGGGCTGAACACGACACAGCCGCTGTCGTGTGTACTGAACCCGCCTTCCACCACTCCGGATGATATCAGTTGGACTTGGCAGTTCTGCTCCGAGTGGGGATACTTCCAGAGCGATAACCTCGGTCCTCACTCTCTGCTGTCCCAGTACCAGTCGCTGGAGTACTGGTTGTACACCTGTCACCGCCAGTTCCCGGACGGCATTGCGTCTGGTCTTCTCCCAAAACAGCCCCAGACGGATGCGTTGAACAAGCGGACTGGCGGCTGGACGATCCGCCCGTCCAATGTGTACTGGAGCGGCGGCCAATTCGACCCGTGGCGGACCCTGTCTCCCCTCGCCACGGAAAGTTGGGCCCCACAGGGCGTTACATTCTCCACGGATATTCCTCAGTGCAATGTGAAGACGGGTGAGGACACTCTGTTTGGGTATATCATGCCTAACGCGGAGCACTGCTTTGACTTTGACCCCAACTTTGAGCCGGGCAATGCGTCGCGCAGTCTGTTCTACCGAGCCTTGGGGGAATGGCTACCCTGTTTTGAGCCCCGCACCAAGAGCCACGGAGACGGGAATGCATAGTCGGGGAACTGGAGCAGTGGGTGGGTATGGGGGTTGAAGAGAGCCTGAGTCCGTCAGTCAGCAGTCGGAGTTCGGGGGGATTCTTCAATACATATTTGTGCATAGTTTGTTTGTAGCTAAACCCGATTCAGACCAGCTTGCGAGCTGTCTCACGTGCGCTACCGAGGCCTTTGATCCACTCCCCGCTTGCCGCATCATCTGCAATGACGATATGTAACAAACAATGATATATAGTTCGGACGCCTAGGGACAGTCCGGGGTCGAGGTTACACACATCTGGTATCACCTCACCATGTTGGCCACGCCCCTTGTCGCCCTGGTCGCCGCCTTGTACGCGACCTTCCTGACCATCAACTATTTTGTCCAATTATATCATCACCGCCGGAATGCGAAAGCCCTGCACTGCAAGCCTTCCACCCCCGGCGACACCTCATTATGGGGGATTCCGGCCTTTCTCCGCCTCACCAAAGCCGTGCGTGAGAAGCGCTGGATCGAGCATGTCGCGTCCCAGTACGCCGTCTACGGTTACACGTTCCACCTGCGCTTCCTCTCGCGGAGTATGCTCTCAACCATTGAGCCGGAGAATGTCAAGGCAATTCTAGCGACTCAGTTCCAGGATTTTAGCTTGGGGACTCGCCACGAGCAGTTCTATCCCTTCCTCGGAGACGGCATTTTTACGCTCGATGGTGCCGGGTGGACGCATGCTCGTGGACTGCTGCGACCGCAGTTTACAAGAGATCAAGTCGCAGATCTAGCCCTTCTGGACGACCACATTACCAACCTCATTGATCTGATCCCCAAAGATCGGAGCAGCTTCGACATCCAGCGCCTGTTCTTCCTGTTGACCCTCGACTCGGCCACTCACTTCCTATTCGGTGAATCGGTTGGCTGCATGTCTCCGCCGGGCCAGACCACTAGTGTTCTGGAGAAATACTCTGTCGGCAATGCCGCAGGTTTTGCGGAGGCTTTCAATACCGCGCAAGATTGGCTCTCCGCCCGCACGCGCGCTCAAAGTCTGTACTGGGTCGTCAACCCCAAAGAGTTTCGCGATGCTGTTCACAAAGTGCACGAGGTCGTCGACCACTATGTCAACATCGCCCTTGAATCCAAGCGTCACCCGGAATCGAAGGATCCCAATGGTCGCTACATTTTCCTCGAGGCGCTGGCTGCACAGACCGACAACCCAAAGATGCTCCGCGACAACATGCTCAATATCCTGCTTGCCGGTCGCGATACCACCGCCAGCTTGCTGAGCTCTGTTTTCTTCTATCTGGCACGCCACCCGAACGTCTGGAGTCGTCTCCGCCGCGAGATTGTTGATATGTTCGGTGATAGCAAGAACCCTCGGGAAATCACTCAGACGAAGCTGAAGGATATTCCCTATCTGCGATATGTACTGAACGAAACTCTCCGTCTCCAACCTCCCGTGCCCGCCAACTTCCGCGTCGCAACCAAGGATACCTCCCTTCCCGTCGGAGGTGGGCCTGACCAGCGGTCTCCCATTTATATCAAGAAGGGAACCATGGTCATGTATAATGTCTACGCGATGCACCGCCGCACCGACTTCTGGGGCGCCGACGCGCGCCTCTTCCGGCCAGAGCGCTGGGAGGAGAACGCTAAGCATGGATGGGAGTATTTGCCCTTCAACGGCGGGCCACGCATCTGCCTTGGTCAGCAATACGCCCTCACAGAAGCCAGTTACACAGTGGTCCGCCTCATGCAGCACTTTGACTCCCTTGAAAATGCGGATCCGCACCCCCGCCAGGAACCTATCAAGCAATCGAATTTGACGATGATGCATGATTTGGGTGTGCCCGTCAAGTTATATGCGTCGGATGAGATTTAGATCATGAAAATTTGTATTCGGTCTCTGGCCATTATGTGTTTATGGAATTGCAAATAGCAGAAGTTCAGCGAATGAAATGTTTTTATAATGTTATTTCGTATCTCGCATTTATCCTTCACGCAGCGAATCCATAGCTTCCCAGCATGGCATATATATTCCACGGATCAATTTTCATTTGGGACTCCAATAGCTTTACCAAGACCGACGAGTTGTGAAGACCAAAGTGGGCGTGAATATGACGCAGTTGCTGCATTATCCAAGCTCTTTGCTTCAGAGAAGCCCATCTTGATCGTCCAGCAACATAGAGAGGGAAAAGAAGCCGCTGGCAGTCAAGAGTTTGGGTTGGTGAATGCTGCTGAGGTCTTGTGGAGAATTGACATTGGCAGCGCACGTATTGCGGAATACTGGCACATATGTCATCGATTAATGATGTGATTGCACGGATAGCAGGCTCCTCGAAAAGTCGACTGTTAATACCATCTTGTTTCTGATAACTTTCTAGAAGAAATTCATTCAGAAGAATTCGGACTAGCCGTAGAGCATTCACCATTTGGGTGACGTGGCGATCTCGGTAGAATAGCAGCCGACTGGGGATCTCGAGAGACATGTCTAGAACGTGTACCTCGGGCTCCCAACCCTTTGGCATATTCTGGGACAGATCCAAAAGTCTCTGGTCAATATCTTGGGCGACGAAAATGTACTTCGGTATAGTCCAAACTGATTTTTGGAGTGCCTCGCGAAAGGCTGCATATTCGATCATAATAGTAGCATGCTTCCATTTGGGGTCTTCAAGATTCATCTGTCGAGTAAGGTGTGCGCGCACTTCAATCAGCTGCTGCGGTACAGCAGTCGCGCTCGTCACACACGAGATAATGCAGTTGGTAACAAGCCGAGACAGAATGCGTAAGGACGGATAGTCTCGGAAATAATCTAGGCCCAAAGCCTGGATCAGGGCCAGCGACCCATCAATATGGCTGCGCCAAAACTCCACTTTACTGGGACCAGAATGAGTGATCTTTTCAAAGAGATCTAATAGCATAGTGCCCGTTAGCATGCTGTGCTTGGATGCTGCACCTGAAGATGGCAGAAGCGCCTTATTCATTAAACGCAGTGCAGTCGAGTATTGTGACCTGGCCCGACCCAAGATTGACGGTGAGTGCTGTAGGTGGGCCAGATATGCTAGGCTCACAGCATCCAGACTGGAAAGTAGATAGGATGGGGTAGTGACGGAGACGGGCGCGAGGAAATCCCAGCCGCGTAGGACGGGCGCGACGTAGTGGGCGAGGAATGCGTCGCGCGCTTGTGTCTCGATCGGCTGCTGCAGCGACCGAGGCAGAAAAACCCTGTGCTGGACGGATTTGGTTTCATCGTGGACGCGAAGCTGCTGCGTATCGCGATAGCCATGACAGACAACTTTGGCCCGGCGACATGGGCTACAAGCCTCTGGGCGGAAATCGCACTGTTCCAATGTTCAACTACTTCTGTTCTGTAAAAAAAAAAAAAAAAAGAGAGAGGGTCTGCTCTTACCTTTAAGCGCCGGATTCGACATCTCTCGCACGCTTTCGATGGCTTTCCGCGAAACACCATGGGCTTGCAACCGAGAGAGAGAGATCATCGGAGTCTGGTGATGCGATAGCTTGCTAACTAACGTTAACGTGATGGCCGACTATTATTAAGTGGTCCGGGGTTGCCACACGTTAAACCATTTTGGGATACCATTTCGACGCTTAGTGGGGTGCACAGGCAATGCGTATCATCCATTGGCTGATACCTAGCCTGCCCTGTTCTTCGCTATAGAGCTGCTAACAGCATGGAGTTAAGACATCTGGGATGGAGTGTAGAAATATTTGCTTCGTTCATTGCAATACAGAGAACAAAATTAAAACACAACTACTCCTATACCACATTTCACCTAAAATCAAAACAGTTGTCATTCCAGTACAAGACGTCCTGCTCATCAGAGCCACCGCAGATATCGGACGAGAGGAAAGAACGCGCTATAGGTATGCCTCTAGACCAGTTTATTGAGACAGCATGTAAGAGGATGGTGTCCGGCCAAGACCAGAACATCATTGGCGCCATGGGTCCAGCAGACACGGTTGATAAAAGGCGAACTGTATTCCGTAACTTGTCTAAATTTGTTCGAAGCCAACCGTAAATTCGAAGATTCCTGAGTAGACCCAAATGGATCGTTGGAACATATTCAAATTGATTTCACGGGCCATATCTGGATAGGATGGTAGCGCACAATGACGATTCACCAGGCATTTTTGCGCTCGTGACTCGAGAAGTATTGGGCCGGATAGCCACCGCCAATATTTACGAGTCGGAATACAATTTTTGGCCCACAGTAGTAATTGGTTAAAATTATTCGAATCCAAGCCTTCTTCAACGCCGTTCTTCACCAACAGCCACACCGGCCCCACTAACTAATTACTGTGCAGCGTTTATACAACATGCAGGGGCCAAAAGTAGCTCCGCCAATCATTTGAATATTAACTCGACGTTTTGTGCCAGCCATGGAAGTCGACAAAGCCATGCCTATGTGCGGGGAACGCCAGCACTGTAAGTCCCTTGTTTCTGAGAAAGGCCGGCAAACCGGCGCTTTACTCCGTCAAGCTTTAAGCCACAACCATGACTTGTCCCAGTCAAGATGACACATGCTACATATGGCTTAGGTTGCCGTATAGCACTATGTACTAACTAGCAGTCCGACTTGTGAGTTGAATTGACACTCAGTAAAGCAACTCGGAGATTATGTTTTGCTAAGAATTGGGAGCTGCATAGGGGCAGACCCACTTACACCTTTTGCCAAGCAACCATTTTTGGTATTTTGCCAACAATCGCCATGTGACAAGATTTAGGAGATAGTGAGCCACAACCTCGGGACGAGGATTTTCACAACCCTTACCTAGTACTATTGTCTCTATGGTTCGAGCGTCGGCCACGAGAGGGTTGTCGATTGCCACTAGCCTCAAGCAGGAATCGGGATCGAATATCCTGCTCAACAGTCTTCCATACAAGATGGGGGCGGGTGGAGAAATCCCACGAGGTGGAGCGCTGCTTTGTTAACCGGACACCTCCTTTTCCAGGGACGGGAAAGGTTAGAACTGTAACTCCCCTCCTATCCAGTGACTGCGCGTGCTGTGTCCCGCCGCTCCGGTTAGTTCCTTCCGAGCGCGCCTCAAGAACGCTGCTCTAACTTGTTGGTGTCTAGTTCGCTATGAAGTCATGCTAGCGACCCTAAGTAACAAATACCACCCTTCACTATTATTATTAACAATTTTACTAACCGTTATTATTGATTTGACTTTCATTATTCTTTTTCTTGCCTACTTTTCCTCGTTTCGACTGGCAAATATTCCCAGACTAGAATGTAATTCGCCCTGCATCTCTTCTCCACGCCATCCCCGCCATGGCTGCTCTGACGCCAGCCTATCTGGCACAGAACGACTCAGGGGGTACCTTCCCTGCGGTGATCATAATGACCGTGCTCGCCTTCGTCGTCGTGCTTTTGCGCGTCGCATCAAGGGTCTACGCCAAGGTTAATTTCTGGTGGGATGACTGGACTATTTTTGCAGCCATGGTATGATTGCCTTTGTCGCTATCGCATCGCAATTGGGCGGAGGCTTATATTTCATGGGTTTGACTAACATTTGCCGAACCAGGTCTGCGAGCTTTCACTCAGCATCGGCATCCTCTACGCAGACAAATACCTGGATGCGGGCCACCATATCCAAGCCCTTACTCCGTGGCAGCGCACCGAAACTGCCAAGGTAAACTCCAATTAGTTTCAATTGGTAACAAAAGCTAATTATCTATTCATGTTTTAGAACCTCATTGCCTTCCAACAAGTCTACTTTCTTACACAGACGGTCACGAAAGTCTCAGTACTACTCCTATACTACCGTGTGTTTAGCGTCCATCCCCGGTTCCGCATTGCCGCATATATTGCTGGCGGTATCGTGATTGCCTGGTGGATATCATGCTTCTTTGCGACTATGTTCACCTGCATTCCGCTTAAGGCACTCTGGGACACGTCGATAAAGAACAAGACTTGCATCGACATGCGCAAATTCGGAATTGCAAATGGTAGCTTCAACATGATAACGGATATCATGGTTGTTGCGCTCAGCGTGCCGATGGTCTGGTCATTACAACTCTCGCGGAGAAAAAAGATTCTGATCTCGGGTGCCTTCGGCATGGGTACTTTGTATGATTCTTCTTGTTTTTGTTTGATATATACCTGCTAACCTTTATCATACAGTGTTTGTGTCATCTCTGTTGTCCGCCTCAGCTGCTTCCCCGGATTTGACATGTCGGATCCCAGTTATGGCGTCGCTCGCGTCTCCCTATGGACCAGCGTCGAGTCCTGTTGTTCTATTATCGCTGCCTGCCTTCCGACCCTGGGACCACTCATAATTTCGGTCTTCCGCTTGCAAAATTCGCAATACAACAAGGAATCAACATCCTCAGGCAGTCAACCGAACAGAAAACGCAGAGACATTCCCATACCTGATCTAGACGGCCCGACTACGCACTTTAGAGGGACTGGTTCATTGAACCTAGCTGGTCGGCCACGGATCCGTGACTCCCTAAGTCCAGAAGGAAAATTCTATCGTTTGGATAATGAGAATGATGACTCTGTTGCATTACGGGATTTGTCTCCGGAAGGATCAAGAGCATGAGTTACAGATATATACCCAGTTAGGAGGCATGGACTCGGCGTTATTTTGTGCATTGGTAAATTTATTCTGGTACAACGGAATGTTTCAGATTGCTTTATGGGACTGTCTATGCTTTACAGACAAATTGTATAATAGTTGTAGAGCAATTGCTTTCATGGCATGGCTTTCATCTTCGAAAAACACGTATGAATGTCGCGCATCCCCACTAAGATGCTGCTGCCCCGCACCCCTAGGGTTCTGCAACTCGTCAAAGGTTGAAAAACTGCGAAAACCACTTCATGCAAAATAGGTTCTCTTCAGTGGCACCTGCCTCGAATTTGAAAATCATATAAGTCTATTTGAAAGGCGAATCTATACTGGGAACCACTGAAACCGAATGTGACAACCTTAAACGCCCATGTTAAATTATAGCTCGAAGCCGTCGGTTTTGGGCCAGACGGGAGGCTATTAAAAGCACGCCGCCTAGTATTAATGACACCCCTGAATACAAAGACAGCGAAAGGTAACTGTATTTTCCGGCAAGTGCACCGCTTATAGGAACACCAGCCATGGCCCTGAGGAACGCAGATTAGTTTAGTTTGGTTAGTAGTCAAATAGGAAAGACATGACATACGACAGTGCTGTGGAACCGACAACGCTCCCAATTGCCAAACCAATTGTATCGGGAGTCGCTATCTGGGCGGCACAAGCTTGCTGAAGTGAAAGAATGGCCTATCTCTTTTTGTCAGCATTTTGAATTGAGATAGAGGGAATGAAATCGTCTCACCCCTGACGAAAATCCATATGCGGCTGACCAGATTACCAAACCAGCCACAGAAGACACCTGTGTCCAACACAGTGCAACGATTCCAGAAGATAGCGATGCCACAATGCAGCAATTGAACTTGCCGTACTTGTCGGCCAGAATGCCCGGGAGGATGCGACCGAAGAAGGAAGCGCCGTTCATGATCGAAACCGTGTAGAATGATAGACTTTGGGAAAATCCTCTGTGCACTGCATACGATGTGGTGTAGAAGAATGGGGAAAACATGCCAAAGTATGTGATAAACATGGCCAGACACAACAGTTGTAGGGGCCGTTGCTTGAATAGCTTCAATGCCTCTGCCTTATGATCTGGTTTAGGACCCTTCTCCTCTGTCTTGGGTTCGACGCTTCCAAGACCTGTTCCTTGCTCCATGCAATTACTTTCTGGTTTAGCAGGAGGCCTCGCTGAAATGCAAGAGAGCAGCAAGCACGGGAGCATTATAAACCCAACGATTCGCATGGTCCACGGAAAGCCGATGCGAGGGTTGTGGAGTAGTTTGTCAATGGCAATCGGCCATACCACCCCGCCCAGCGATGATCCGGCAATGACAATTCCCATGGCTGCGGCACGTTTGCGCTTGATATACTGCCCTACCAGAGCCAGCATGGGCCAGGTCACCAGCGCCATGCTAATTCCCAGGAGAATACCTTGAGCGAGCAGAAATTGGTAGAATTCTTTGCAAAGAGAAGTCATCATGACTGCGAACACGGTGCCAATTGCTCCTATATACAGCATAATCTGACAACCTCGTGATTTCTAGTAAGCTTTTGCTCATTGTAGATATTGAGCGACTTACCCCCGGACCGAAAATATCAAGCATAGCTCCAGACGCGACCGAAATCGCAAATAAGAAAAATATAGATATAGCTCCTATCCAAGCAATAGTTGATGATGATTTGTGAGCAAGTTGGACTGTCGCATAGTACTCTTCAAAGATTCCGAACGAGTTCAAAAAGCCCACTGTGCAAAAGAGACTTGTGAAAGCTCCGAAGATGACAAGCCATGCTCGTGACCTAAGATAACGTGCTTTCAGCTTATAATTATAATAATATTGTCATGATTACCGACAATACGTACGTATATTCGCTCGGCAATTTGTCTTCGGTCGACATTTTGATGTATTTAGTTGTTCGATGATGAAACAAGCAATCACGCCGCAATATTATGGACAGGGCTCTTCAGTCCGTTGATAGGTGTTTCTAATATCGGCAAAGTTGAATGTAGCGTATGATGATCCATATTTATATTCGAATGAATGTAAACAAAAAAAGCTGTCCGTCTCCGAGTCTTACGGAGACTCCGAAGTATTCTGGCTACGTAGTACATGAGACCCACTTTAACAGGTTAAGCCAATCACAGATGACTGGCCGGAGTATCCGCGGACCGTCCGGGCACTTATCACTTCCCGTGATTGCAGGCTCAGGAATGCTCTCCTTACGACTGGGAGATTCAGTTCGGTTCTTTGACGTGCGCTCTTTCTCTGGCCACACATCTTGAAAACTCTCGAGAATTCCCATGTTATCTGCAGAGAATCATGAAACGAAAATCAAGAGCCGATATCCCTTCGCCAGCAGTTCCTAAAAGACAGTCTAGACAGGACCCGGTCTCTTGCGAATCATGTCGGAAGAAAAAGTTGAAATGTGACCGGCAACTTCCGTGTAGTAGCTGCTCAGCGCGTGGGCTAGCCTGCAGCTATGAACCACGGGTAACGATGCCTATCGTCAAGCCTAGGGTGCAGGGGACTAGGCCTTCTCAAAACAATAATGAGATGTCTCTGCCACCTCAGACAAACCAAGATTCCGCTTCCCAGATTCAGGCTGGAAATGAACCCCTGATTACTGCAGATTGGCTTGAGAATATTGTCATGAGCCACCGTGTACCGACTGCTCTCCCACCGACTTTAAGAGAAGAATTTTCTCAACAACGTCATATTGACAATCGCCTTCAATCACAACGGCGCAACGGAATAACCAGTAGTTTACTAGCAATTATTCACAGTGGTCACCTTGCGTCTCGCGAAAAGCCGTCTACCATTCACTTGCCCTCTTATTTGCCGCCAAAGACGGAGACGATCAGTCTGTTCCGATACTACTGCAATTTTCTTGATTATCTATACCATTTGATAATCCCTGCTCGTGTGGAACGATCTATCGAGAACATCTACGAAAAGGTATCTCGTAATGAGTCAATCGATTTGAATCACTTAGCTCTGATATTCAGCATCATTTCCACATCCACTTTCTTCCAGCTGTTGACCGAAGCCTCTGAATATGCAGAAGTTTGCGGTCAAGAGCTTGCTTTTTTGACTGGTGCTGCATTAATACAAAGCAATCATATTGCAAATCCGACTGTCGAGGGTCTGCAAGCAACAATGATCCTTGGCCATCATTTACCCAGTATGAGCTCAAACCCGTCTGTCAGTGGCTTGTTTTTGCATGGATCATTGGTCAGCCAGGCAAAAAGCCTTGGATTGCATCTTTTGGACACTCCTCGGGCTATTCAAGAACGTGGAATAACTGGATTCGACAAAGTGGACGTTGAACTAAAGCGACGACTGTGGTGGGACCTAGTATCATATGAATGGTATGTTTCCCGAACAGAAACTATTACTTTTCACCTAATACAGGCACTATAGGTTGCTAGGTTTTCTTAGTGGGCCCCAGGAGTGGACATACACTATCCATATGCATCACATGAACGTTCGAGAGCCATTGAATCTCGACGATGATGATCTCGAGCAAAACGACAACGGAATGCCTCTCTGCACGCCAACTTCCATGTCCTACACCCTTCAAAGACTAAAGCTAGCTGTTATATGCCGTCAAATTGTGGATGAGACGGCATTCGAACATTTCCACGGGCAAGATGTACCCTACGACAAAATCCTTGACCTTGATCGCAGAATCCAGCAAGCATACGCTGAAGTTCCCAACTTTTTCCGTTTTGATCAGTCATCCCGACGCGAATTTATTTCCTTCTATCGCGAGCGGCCGACTATTGCCTATCAAAGGGCTCTGCTGCAACAAGGGTATCATTCTCGGCTCTGTCGTTTGCACCGCCATTACTTTGTTCGAGGTTCAAAAGACCCCAGATATTCCTATTCGCATGTCGTGTGTCTTCAGTCTGCGCGAAAAGTGCTGGAGGTAAAGCGGATTATGGATGAAGAAGAGCCTCAATTTACCCCACATAGCTCAGTAGTGTGGTCAGTCATGCATCATGTTTTCATGGCTGCCGTTATTCTGCTGATAGATGTGTGCTTCAACTGGGATGATATCCTAGCCGAAAAAAGAAAGCAAGAAGTGCTTGACGCTTGTCGAACGCTAAACCGAGCTCAAAAGTCTTCTTCTATTGCGAAGGAAGGAATCAATGCCATGATGGCCATTCTACAAAGGCATTGGAAGCTGCAAAAGCGACCACTAGCTGGTGCTTTTCAATCTGAGCCTTCACCGATTCCGGTTCAGACTGCTCCTATTTCAAAACAACAACAGGCGACACTTTCAGGATCCAGGAAAGAAGTTTCAGATCAACCGGTTCAGAATGATTACTCGCAGCCAATTCTGGGTGTTGGAGTAGGTTCTGAGGCAATTTCAATGCATCTTGAGGATATTTGGTCTGAGATGTTGGAAGAAAGTGCTCAGGTTGAACTGGATACACCCGATTGGACAGATCTTTTGACCGAGTTGACCAACGCAACTTTGCCATGTGAATGAGTCGTTATATGGTTTTTTGTATAGACATCCTTCGAAGCCCCACTACCTGTCATGGCGCGTTGCTTTTAATCAAAATAGGCCCAAGCTTTCATAGTCAGACAATGGAAAATTACCACTTAACAATTGAAAATATGGCTTGTCTTACCATTTATCGATCTACAGATAGAAGTTCCAATTCTGACACCCAAAGTATCGCGGACCTTATCAAAAATGGAGAAGCCACGCGTATTAAGGTGTTCACAAACTGGCGGATGCTTTGGGATGGACTGATAAACTGGGAAGCTCTGTAGAATGAGGTTCTGGTGGCCAAATCCAATGAGTCCAAGTTTGACATTGGCACAAGCCTGCATGAAAGCATCGAAAAGACGGCAAGTCAGATGAAGCATAGAATTAAAACCACGTATGGACACAAGTGCATGGTGGAGAATCATCTTGGGAACAAGCTTAATATCTTGGACAAGGCACGTCGCTAAAGACTTTCGATGTACTCACTGTCAGACCCTAATATGAGAATTAGTTGGTAGACAACCAAGTGTGTTATTATTATTGGTTGAGTTGCAAGTAATTATTCCATAATGTCGTCACGAAAATCATTCGAAGTATTTCACAGAGTTTTGAGGTGATGCCATCATGAGGTGACTTCTGGTCCGATACCGAGAAAGAGAGCAAGAATATTTTATATATATTCACTTGAATCTTATCAGCCCACACGTGTCTATCTATAACTCTCATAGATTCCAAATGCCATTTCGGTCGATCCACAATGCCCCCCCACAAGGACAACGACCTCCCTTACATCCACCGCTATATCACCACCCACAGTACCGACGGCGAAGCAGTGTTTGTCTCCCATTCCCAAATTCCCGATTATATCCCATCCAAGCCTGCTGGAGAAGATGGCGAGATCGCCCTCCTCTACGCAACAACTAGTGTTCCCGTATCAATCGATGATGAAGCCGATGTAGCTATGTACGATGAATTTCTTCACCAGCCACCTGGGCTTACCACGGGCCAGGGAACAGTATTTCGGCTGATCGATCTCCGTCCGGGAAAGGTGACGCCAATGCATCGAACCGTGAGTCTGGACTACGGTGTTGTACTGGAAGGGGAGGTCGATTTGATTCTGGATTCTGGTTCAGTTCGGCACCTTCACCGAGGAGATGTCAGTGTTCAAAGAGGGACAGCTCATGCCTTTCGGAATAGCAGTGACACGGAGTGGTGTCGTCTACTATTTGTTTTTCTGCCAATTCAGCAACTTACTATCAAAGGCAAACCTATGGAGACAGAGGTTTACGATGAACCTTATGAGAAGTCAGGAAGTGAAGGGGGTAGGCAAGGGCAGTGAAACGGTTGTTGCATCAACCGATGTCTTAAATTGCAATTCAGATGTAATTAGACCTTTGTACCTTCGTGCCATTCATATGCGAACATTTGATTCATTCTTGGATTGTCACGTCCGCCTTAGTCTTGTCTGGTAGATTGAACGGTATCGGTCAGCAAACCATCAAAATATGAAGGAAATACTTACAAAATGCCACATGATCCTTGATAGTCTGAGCTTTCACATACGGGTCAGCGTAATACCATGCAGCATCCTTAATTTCTTTGTCTGCAAGCCCATTCTATCAGCCCAATGATGCCCAAGGGTGGTTCTCTATGGCGAGAGTGTGAACCAGCAACAAATGAAGGGCAGCAAAAGCTCGGGGTTTGTCATTTTCCCGAATTACTAATTGCATTCGCACTAAAGTTTATGTGTATACAATCTTGTTATTTTAACTGTACCAGCGTTTCTCTCACCCTGAATTTTCGGGTCTTACTTGCTCGCTTACTGCATGTGGTGGCGGACATTGTCCGGTCAGCAGGGGTTGGTGCGGGGCATGTAAGACCAGGCAGAGCCAAGATCGAAATCGATGGAAGACTGCATTGCAGCAACCTATTTAAGAGACTATCTGCAGACCGCTATTTGGTAATTTACAATTGCAGAATCACATACAAGCAGCTTCTCTGGACCTTTAGTGGCATTGTCTAACAACGCATACTCGGGATGTCAGCAGCTAATTCCCTCCAGCTGGGTATTGTTGCTCTTGAGGATATTCCTGCTATAACTGAGTTATGGTATACTGCATTCACTGATCCTGGAATGCGTCATCTGTTTCCTGATACCTCGAGTGTGCGACAATGGTGGGATGATGCCAATCGGCATGACCTCCTTCACAAGCCATTCCAGAAATACCTTAAGGTTGTCGACCCAGAATTAGTTGACAAAGATGGTCGGTCTAAACTGGTCGCCTATGCCAAATGGGATATGGCCGTTGACTTCCAACAACGCGGTAGTCGGTTTCCTCCGTGGCATGCTGAGATGCCTGGACAAGACTGCGATGCTTTCTTTACAGGATTGGATAGGGGGAGGGCAAGGATTATGGGGGATAAGAATCATATTTGTATGATATCCGCCTAGTCTTTTAATCCTTGATCATGCTGATAAGCTTCGGTGTCCAGATCTAGACATGCTAGCCACTCATCCTGACTACAGAAGACGCGGGGCTGCCTCATTGCTTGTCGGTTGGGGATGCAAGATTGCAGATCAAAGGGGTCTAGAAGCGTATGTGGATGCCAGTAAGGATGGTGCTCCTCTGTATGAGAAATTCGGCTTTGTGGATCGCAGTGATCCTACCGCGACGATTGAGGGAGTCACTTCAATGGTTCGGTCTTTGGAATGAACGAAATACATTCTTCTCATATTCTCTATTTTGCAGTTCATTTTATATCTAAATTTTGAAGACATCTATTTCCTACGAGGATATGGAACTCAGACTGCTTACGAATATTTTTAACAGATTCTTTGATGAACCCGTCGAGGCGAGCCTCAAGGGCCAGTAATATATAGAGTACCACACCCAATAATTGCCTGTAGTATCACGTCTTTCCTTAGAGTAAATAATCAATTATCCTATCCCAAGCCCTCTGGTTGAAATGGCGTCTATGTTGCAGAACCTGCTGGTGACATGTTTACGGATGGCATCAAGGGGGGCTTGCACACATTCAATTTTCTAGATCAGTTTACTCTCGATGATTGATTCCCTCATCATATTCATATCTATGCTATAACCATACTAATACAGGCCAGCCATTCATATTTAGTCTTCAGATCTACACTTTCAAAGCGGTGCATCATAAAGCAGCAGATTCGGCGCAAGATACTTAATTCAAAGGGAAAATATATTGTACTGAGAAGGCATCACTATGTAAACAAATACTCAAATACATTGTGGAACGAATGTTCTCATCCAAACTATCTCTCGCTCAGTTGAGAGGAAGGGCTTGACGCCGCTGGTGCATAGTCCCAGCCGAGCCAGCAACTGCTGCCGCAGCGCGCCGGTTCATGGCCCGCTTGGTGCTGCCCGAGTTTGACTGAGACTGCTGGTTCTGACCAATGATAGCCCACTCGGCAACAGTTGCACCAGTACCATTCTTAGCCTTCACATCCACCGGGGAAAGAGCCTGGTTGCCCACAATGAGCAATGAAGCATAGCGAGCGGCGGGCACTGGAGATGACAGAGTCACATTGGTCGTGTTGCCGATTGGAATGGCAACTGTATCAATGTTTGTGGTGTCTGCCGTGTAAGGGTTGGACTGCTTGATTTCCGACAGAGAGGCGACGACACTGTAGTCGGAACTGTTGGTGGAGGACGCATAGACCGAGGCAAGGTCCTGGATGGTCTTGTTGTGGAAGATCACGGTAGCATTGACTGGAGGTGCCTGTGCCCAGTCAAAGAAAAAGCCCGAGACCATACTGCCAACCTCAACCCCAGGGAGTGGAACGGTGACAGAGCTCATGTTTACCGCAAATGAAGGCTGCCATTTGGTAGAGGAGGCACCATCCACCACTGAGATGGGAAATTGGCCTGGCTCAAATGAATCAGATGACTGGACAGGCTGGCATTGCACAAGGTTGCCGGCAACCGTGTTCTGTGATCCGATCTGTCTATTGGGAATGACGACAGATCCTATCACTGGTAGCTGGTAGACAGTTGTCCTTGTCTCCGCTCCAGACTGAACCTGGATGGTCTGGTTGGCGAAGCGCTGATCGGCAGTATCCAGAGGCGAAGTTGTGGTAGAACGGCTGATGGTAGTATGCGTATAGTTCGACCAAGCTGAAATGGGCCATCCACGCCAGTAGAAAGTCCGATAGCTCAAATAAGGGATCTGCGGTGGCAGGTTGGGGTCGACATGGAGGAAGTCGTCGGGTAGCAAACGCAATCCAAGGTAGCCAAATACGCCGACCTGGTTGGCACCGCCATGACCAGTCAGGAAAGGATAAGCCGGGTGGGTACCGCCATTGAGAGTAGCATCATCGATTAGCTGCTCTGAGAGTTGGAAGAACGGCGCACGAGCATACGGCTTGTACGAGTACTGAGCATACGTGTAAGCGGAACATCCGGAAGGTGACACCTCGCTGGCGACGATCGAGAAGATAGCCCATGTCATGGCCGGTCCATCAGGCGACTGCTTGTTGGCATACTACTCAGTGCGTAAGTACATATCCAGCTCGAAAGGAGAAATCATGCAGTACTCACATAGTCCAAATCATTCAGTGAGTCTTGAATGGTGTAGTTAGAGCTATAATCTAGGGGATAAGTGTTCAGAACAACGTCGGCCTGCTTGACAAGGGCACTCCCGTTCATTGTCGTAAACTCGAGGGTAACGCCGTTCTCGCGGATCAGAAGGACATCAGGAGCCATTTGGTTCCATGTCTCGTTCTGAGAAAGCCCAAATTGTTGGCGGAAGGCATTGGCGTGCATCAGCGTCTCGGCAATTAGCGGCATGGTATATCCACCCGCATCGACTTGGTTTGCATACTCGTCAGGGTCTGTCATGTTCTTCAAAGTCCAAGAAGAACCGTTTTGCACCAACAGGTCGCCGTACAGAGTGGCGACCGAGTCGTAGATAGGGAAAAGTGTCTCCTTGAAGCCTTGTGTATCACCGCTGGCCACCCATTGATTGACGAACGAAATGCCAATGTCACCGTTCAAGTGGTACTCGTAGTCCCAGCATGGACCGGTGGCCGTGCAGTTGCCAAAACGTGCGCTTGTCCAGGGAAACGCGGCTGCATTTGGAGAGAAGGTGGTATGATTCTGGGAGCCAGCGAAAGAAGTTTTGATATTGGCCTTCGCCTGCTCATACTTGGCCACGCGATAGTTGGTAATTCGCTGTGCCGACTGTGGGTGGGAGGTAGCAATGCCGGGCTGCATCCAAACATCGGCATCCCAAAAGACTTGTCCCCCGTATGAGTCGGAGGTTAGACCACCCACAGAGATACTATTTTCATTGATTGGAGCACCTGAAGCTGCTTTGATTGCATTCTGTCCCGCGGTATTTTGCAAAAGGTAGTAGGTGTTGGCGACAGCGATGATTGCAGAGTCAATGATGTTGCTATCTGCAGGCAATGAACCATTTCCAGGAAACGAGTAGCGGTCAACCGAGTCTTCGGGCATGATATTTGCCCACTCAGCGATGTGTGAGCGCAGCGATTTGGAATATCCATTGGTCAGAGCCGTGCGTGAAGCTTGCTTAGCCGTTTGCTTAGGGTCAGCAAAGGCATCCGTGGACGCAGCACCAACATACTTGGTGATGCGCACCGCCTGCCCGGGGAGAACTTCACAGGAACAGATTCCGCAATGGATGATGCGTTCTGATTAACATATGGTTTGTCATTGACAAGCTTGCGAGATGTCAAGTCCACCCCAGAGGATGCAGTAGTGAGGTTGGCGTAGACATAGGCAGTGACGTTGTTAATTCCATTCGGTCGCACCGCAGAGAAGATAGCGCCATCGTCCTGACCAGACTCGACAAAGTCGGTGCGAACAGCAGCGAAGCCATCTAGTACATTCACAATCTCGCCCTCGGCATGCGTGGATGGGATAATTTCCATATCCACCACAGCCTGGTTGACGTACAGCTTGTTGGCAAACAGACGGTATGTGATCTGATAGGAGCCATTGTTGCCTTTTGGTGTCCACTGGTAAGACCAGAGCAAAACACCCGCTTTGAAGTCATAAGTAGATCGGAAGTTAGAGATGGCACTGCTGTCCACCATCGCGTCCAGGTAATTGTCACCACCCAGATCCAAAATGATCCCGCTCCAGTGCGGAATGCCGCTGATGACACTGTCGCCTCCGTACTGGTACAGCCAGGGGAAATTGGAGCCATTGGTTGTAGGTTGCGAATCCCAGAAGCCAGCGATTGTCGCAAAGGTCTGGCGTCTGGAGTACAAAGGCCAGCCGTTGATCACGTCGCCGTCTTCCGGAGTATCAAGTTCAAAGAAGGGACCAGCGCTCGCAACGTTGATACCCAAATACCCATTAGCCACAGAACCTCTGGCCTGGAAAATACCCTGTTGGATATTCGTGGTCGTGAGAAGCCAGTGCTCTTCGTTCCAGGTGACTCCGGGGAAGTCGGTTTGGTACACATTCTGGCTCGAGTTGGCTACCGAATCGGTGTGTCGACGGAAAGCCTGGCGAACGCGATTATTTGCTGGGGAAGACCCTTCGACAGAAGCTCCCAGCGACAGAAGCAAGGGCAAGATTGCCCGGGTCAGTGACTGATTCAAGGACGTCAGTCAGTCCATTTCTTCGCGCTGCGGGGGTAATTTACTTACTTTGGACCGCATCTTGCCGCTTGTTGTTTGGGTAAAATCTGGGGAAGAAACAGAAAGTCGCGTTCCGCGCCCGGGGCACACAAAATATTTAATTATGCCGATCCAGCCATGGTCGGACTGTGGGGAATAATAATCGTCGTCCAAGCTTAGATGCTTTTTCGGCGGCGAAATACGAGCTGCCCGTCAGGGAAGGTGGGTAATGGCGTAGGGGGCTGTCTGTGGCTGGTCCCCGTTTAATCCTGTGTGGGGAACCCGGTCAATCCCAATGGCAAGCCGATGTTTTCCGGCAAACTGACCGGCTGTGCGCCGGGCAGCCTCGTCATCGACTCTGGAGAGTTTGGCAGCGGCGAAAAGGTGGAACCTAGTTAATCCCCGACAATTGTCCGGCAATGTTAATACTTAGTTCCACAAAGTCTGCTTTGATTATTTGACTAAATGAACGTACATAACGAACTAACCCTAAGATGCATACATATTAAAGGTCTGGGTTCAGGGGCCAAATCTTGAGTTACATCCCTCAAGCACCACTCTTCTCCGGCTCCAGATCCTCCTCCAACTTGGCCTGCTGAAACTTCCTCAGCGGCACTCGGGCCTCAAACAGCCGATCCACTTCCTCCAACGAGCGCCCCTTCATCTCGGGAACCATGAAGTACGCCACCACTGACGAAACGATCGTGATGCTGCCGTAAATAAATCCAACCTTGGGTCCCAGGTCGGCATACGGCGCGTCCAACAGATACGGGAGAGTGAACGACACCACGAAAGTGGTGAGCACCGAAATCGACACCGCAAGATCGCTCGTTTTTTCCTTGACGCGACTGTTGGCCACTTCGCCGAGGATAATGTAGGATCTGTTTTAGTTGCGTCGCGTTAGATTTGAGCTCATGTATAGGCGACATAAAAGGACGTACACGGTCGCCCATGACAGAGCATACGATGCCCCATACATCATCAGAGATGCCACCATTGTCCGTTTGGCATTAGGCCCAGGGTTCTTCAGCGTGCCCATTCCTCCTACCAGGAGCAGGAAGAATCCCATCGCGGTGCCGCCCGTCAAAATTATCATCCTGTATCAGTGGCATGGACGATTAGCGCTTGGGTTTTTACACTCAACCAGTATGATAGAAACTCACCGTCTTCCCACCTGGTCCACGAAAAGCAACGTGATCACGCTGCATACGACACTAATCACCGTCTGAATTACGCTCAATAAAAATGGGTCACTGATATTTTGCTGTTTGTAGAAGACAACGCCATACTGAGAGATGAAGGCCTGGCCAGTGATCTGTTGGCAGAACATCACCAGAACAGCGATCGCGGTACGGATCTATATATTTGCCTTGAATCAGTTCACCGTGGGAATCGCTAGTTCGACGTCGACGTACCCGATTCTTCTTGTCGAACACTTCTTTCCACGACCCTTTGCCCTGATTTGCACTTGAGTGCTGTAGGTATTCGATCTCAAGCGAGATCTCTTCGCTTGTCGCACTTTTTGGTCGAAGGGTCTTCAGAAACCGCTCTGCCTCGTCATATCTGCCTTTAGAAACTAGCCTTTGTTGATAATAATGTCAATATAATTGTTTAGTACGCTTCTCAAAAATCATTACTCACCATCTCGGCGATTCTGGCATGAATGGCAACAGCGCCAGAATACAGACGGGCACAATAAATTGGAGTCCTAAAACCGCAGTCAGTATCATCAGTTTCCGTAAGCTTCTAAACGCGTACCAATAGGTATTTGCCATGAAGAGTTCGAGGTTATTTTCTCCGTTCCCAAATTAACCAGCGACGCAATAAGCTGGCCCAGGATGATCTGGAACTGTACTGTAGATGAGATCAGTCCTCTCAGCACTGGTGGTGAACATTCTGCTTGGTAGATAGGTGTCACCACGATGCAGAAACCCGTCATGCCGAAGTTGATGATGCGGCCGAGGGTGAACTGGGCTGCGGTGGTTGCCGATGTTTGCAGAGTGACTCCTCTTGTAAGAGTCAGCGCCAAATCCTCAAGGAGTTTATAGGAAATAACATACACAAGAGAAACACATGCCATAACGGCAACCGCACTTCTCCGTCCCCATCTCTCTGTGATAATGCCACAGGCCAAAGCTCCCTGTGGGAATTGTCAACGGCCTATTCGTAAACTAAGTTGAGGGTTCAGACAATCAATTTTCCAATGAAAGGAGTCGAATTCATCACCGAGGCCAAGTAACCCGGAATCACATAATCCTGAGTTGCTTTGTCGTATGAACCGAAACGACGAATAAACGCTATCTATACTTTAGCAAGCCATTCTCATGCAGCAACGAAACTAGCGTAGCGTACGATCCATGGCCTGAACCCCAGAAAAAGTCCCTAAAATCACATACGTCAGCTAGGTTCCCTTATATGAGGCGAGGTATAGTTATACATACCAACATCATAGCCGAAATTCAGTGCTGCCAGGGAAAGGTAACTGCAAAATCGGTATCAGCAAAACAACACCACAGGCGCTTGGGGAGAAGTACAAAGTCAGAAAAGCCGTCACTGGTGTAAACCATGACAAGCGCTCCTTCAAGGAGGTTCCGTCTTGCGCTTTTACTACCATTTTGATATAAAGCTGAGGGTCTTGGGGCAAAGTGCTCATACACAAAATCCTAGCCCCTTCGCCCGGGAGATCATATTGGGCTTATATACCACCACTCCTGAAAGGCTGATGGTGCAATACCTCTTTCGGATGAGCATACTTCAAGGTCTCCACTGCCCTTTGAGACCCATATCCTATTGATCAATTCAAAATCTGGGGTAGACTGGCTAAATGGAATTTCGCGAAAGCCGGGCGAGAGGCGAAGCCGAGCCCCGAGAACGACCTGCCGAATGCCGAGCCCCGGCGGGTCTTCTGTTGTGCGCACCCCAGCTTATCACACCTTAGAACAAAGTGGGCGGTGGGGGGGGGGCTCAGGAAATGTATGTTTTAGGTGTAAAAAGGGAGCTGGGGGAAGGATTTTGTTCCTTCATCCTATGTACCAGGTCCTCATTTTCCTTTGTCTCTATTTCCTGGACAGACCTCAACAATGGCATCCCGACCCAATTTCCTCATTATCGTCGCTGACGACCTCGGGTTCAGCGATTGCAGCTGTTTCGGTTCCGAAATCAACACGCCTAATATCGATTCTCTCGCCCAAGCTGCAGGGGGTCTACGATTCACGTCATTCCATGTTGCGGCGGCATGCTCGCCCACGCGCGCTATGCTGATGACGGGCACGGATCACCACTTGACCGGACTCGGACAGCTGTCAGAGCTCGTGCGAAACTCTCCTGCTCACCAAGGTGCCCCTGGTCATGAAGGATACCTGACAGATAAAGTGGTTGCCGTGCCCGAGCTGCTGCGTGAGGGCGGGTATCACACTGTGATGTCGGGCAAATGGCACCTTGGTCTCAAGAAAGAATATGGTCCGCATATGCGCGGGTTTGAGCGGTCATTTGCTCTGCTGCCAGGCTGTGCTAATCACTACGGTATGTCTGACTAAATGACTATTGGGGGAAGAAGAAAGTAATTGTGTTTGTAGGATATGAGCCACAGTACGAAAATATCGCGGAAGAGCCCCCTCGCTTCTTTGAGACAGCAGTAACAGCATTGCATATGGAGGATTCGATGTACATCAATAAATTGCCAGACGACTTCTATTCATCAGATTACTATGCCTCCAAGATGATCGACTTTCTGTCACAACGGTCTGAGGGTGACAAGTCCAAGCCATTCTTCGCCTATCTGCCCTTCTCTGCGCCACATTGGCCCCTGCAGGCTCCGAAAGAGAACATGGACAAGTACCGGGGTATTTATGAAGATGGACCGGAATCATTGCGACTGCGCCGATTGCAGAAACTCAAGGATCTAGGTATGGTAGCGCAGGACGTGGTGCCTCATGAAATTGTCACGGTCCCCGGGGAGCCCGATGAGTGGAAGAACCTGACTGCCGATGAACAGGCGAAGTCTGCTCGATCCATGGAGGCTTTTGCAGGTATGGTCAGCCGCATGGATGACAACATCGGGCGGGTTCTGGAATATCTGAAGAACACGGGCGAATACGACAACACAGTCATCTGCTTTATGTCAGACAATGGCGCAGAAGGCGCTAGCTATGAAGCACAAGCTATTGTTGGTGATGACATTGTGGCCCACATTAACCGGTACTACGACAATTCGCTGGAGAATATCGGCCGAGGCAACTCCTTTGTCTGGTATGGAAGTCGTTGGGCGCAAGCGGCAACGGCTCCTTCGCGGCTGTACAAGATGTTTTCGACGGAGGGTGGTTGCCGAGTTCCTTTGGTTGTGAAGCCGGTCGCCAACCAGAACCCCGGCGGTCGCATTGTTGACTCGTTCTGTACGGTCATGGACATTGTTCCCACTATCCTCGAGTATGCCGGACTACAGCATCCGGGGAGCACATACAAGGGAAGATCAATTGCTCCTGTGCGAGGAGTCAGCTGGAAGCCATTTTTGGATGCAATGGCAAGTGGCGGGTCGCAAACCAATGGCGATATGCTGGCCATCCATGACGAAGATCATGTCACGGGCTGGGAAATCGCGGGGAGCGGTGCGTTGCGAAAGGGTCGCTATAAGATCACATATGTGCCGCTGCCTCGGGGCCCTCAGAGGTGGGAGCTATTTGACATCATTTCTGATCCCGGTGAAACAAATGACCTCAGCCAAAAGGCGCCGGAGCTGGTCAGCGAGATGCTCAGACTGTGGAATATCTACGCTGAGGAAGTTGGCGTAGTCGGCCTGGCAGGGGAGTTGAAAGAGGGCAAACACCCTATCACAAGTGTTCCGGACGAGTTTGAAGATACTGGTCGCTGGATCCGATTCATTGGCAAAAGCGATGTCCCTATACAATACGCAGACAAGATTCCGCATTAGATAGGAACTAGTTACAATCAGTCAACTGTTAGATTTCTATCCTAAGAGTAGCCAAAGTTCCACGGATCCCAAGTAAGGTAATTCGAGAAATCATCCGCCATTTGTAGATAGGAGTCCACATCCGGCAGCAGCTGATCCTCTACTGAAGGCATCCCTTCCAGATCGAAAGGCAATTCCTCCATTTGAGCAGAAGTGTGAGGATTATTCTGCTGTACTCGATTATCGCCATTACCTGCATCAGGCCAGTAACTTGGGCGGGATAAAGCTGACGCGATACTAGTGTCCATCCTCTGTGGCCATGAAATCTCCTTCCAAGTCATACGATAAAGGGCCAAAGGGTGTAGGTGGTGCGTTTCTGGTGGAGCATCATCGCTGCTTTGAGATCTAGAACCAATATTAATGGGGCTGCTATCATTGCGTGCTTGTTGTGGACACTCACCTCATTTTGTTTCGTGACAGCCACTCACCGGCTAAATCCGAAAATCCGAAATCTTGGAGTAATTTCGCGAGTGAGGATACCTGACAGAAGCAGTTAGACGGACTGCAAGACAAAAAAAAGGACTGTAGGCTTACCAAAACAACCCTCTTCTTATCCCAGTGGGTAATAATGTCCAGGGCAGTTAGATTGATACCCAAGTTCTGGGTGACAGCAGTCTTGTCCTCCTTTGCACAGGTTCGAGCATATACAATCTGGATCTTGGAAGATTCATAGGCACAAATTGCGCATATTGGATCACCAAATCCTTTGGTCCCTCGGCTCAACGCATTCTGGAGAATTGCTGTGATCCTTTGAGCGTAGTACGCGCACTGACTCTGCAGGGTTCGCACGCTATCGGGCCTCTGCTCTGTAAGGATTGCGGACAAAGGAAATCGATATCCTGGGAGAGTGACTCGGTACAGATCGCAGAAGCACTGGTTGTACAGTAGATGGAGCGAATAGAAGGACGAGAGTTGATTGTTTTCCTCATTGACATATGCGTTGATCTCGTTGAGATGCAAGTGTCTGGGGAAGCTTTCACCACATTTTTCAAGTTGGGTAATGAGCTGGGTAAAATCAGAGAGCACGCTAGGGTCGGAACGTCGAATCAGGCTGTGTCTTGCGGTTAGCATGCGAATTTCTGGCACAAGATGCTGAACTCACCGCAGAACCTGTTTCCGGAAATACACGACATGGACAATATAAGCCTCAAGACACATGTTGGTTGACCGAGTAAGTGCATCGATGTAATCGCTCCCTTCTTGAAGGGTCCCTGTTTCAAGCTCTGTTTGCAGTATAAAATCTCTAATCGAGCATGGTAGACGTGTCTGTGGTAATGAAGGCCAGTTGGAGATCAAGTCAACTCCGGAACTGATATGCACATCCAGGATATAACAAGACCAAAGCAGTCTGCGCCTTGCCTCTTTCTCTGCGGTCAGTAATGTCTTCGGGATTCCCGTCAAGCTCTGGTCAGTAGCTTCAGAGTCGAGTCTCAGCAGCTGGGCTAAGCGTGAACAGGTACCCGCAATCATAAACGCCGTACTCTCTTGATCAAACTGCATATGCCATTCGCATAAGAGAACCAATGCCTGTGTACACGTGGGTTAGCCATGTCTCTAGGACTGGGGCTTTTCTTGTTTTCAACTCACCATCAAATTGGAGATACTCGGATTACCTAGCTTGAGAAAAGCAAGTTCCTGAGCTTTGGTTGCCCATGATAAACTGAGTCGTTCGTTCTCCACCTGTGAAGAAGAGTCCAAATGTCTAGGTGGCAATAACGGTCAGAAGGGAAAAGCGCCAGACGATTAGAAAGACACACCGAGCTCCAAAGGCACAGATAATACACATCAACGCCTGGCCAAATTCCTGTTCTGCCGCACCCCGGTCCAATGACTGAATAAAAGATGGCTTGTGGATAAAACTCAGGCAGCGGAGAGGGTGGACATGCACGAAATAAGACTCGACAAGTTCTCTTAGATGAACCGGGTCATCGGGGAGACTTGAAGGAGACTCCCTAAATCAGATGTATGAGAAGGAATTCTAGGGTCGCAGGAACGACACACAAACCGTTGTCGGTCATCGCTTTGAGACTCCTGGACGGGCAGTTCCTCCGTGCCTTCTTGGTCGACGCGCCGTCGCTTGCCCCGTTCACTGGAATAATTACAAGACAGAGATTTCAATGTACACCTTTGACAACTGGGTTTGCCGCGGGAGCACCGCATTTTGGCAACCTGGCATTCGTGGCAGGCGCCCTGCACCCGTCGCCGCCGCCCCGCACGCTGAAAGGCATTCTCGACGATCGCGTGCAGGTCCTGATGCGTCATCTTTTCATCTGATAGCCCCGGACAGCTCAAGCCCAAGCGATTGCATTGGGGACAAGGTCCAGATGGGTGGTCGCATCTTACCTGCATTCATGATTAGGGGTCTGGCTGGGAGAAGGCGAGATGAGATACTCACTTTGCGTGCTTTGCAGATGAGACAGCCTAACCTGGTCAATTTACATGTCCTGGGGCGTGGGAGAGAGTGCCTACCGGGCCGGGATTTATTTGTTGCAGGCATCGCTGCTGTCCCGAGTGTAGATGAGAAGGTCCGTTCGGGCCGGAGAGAAAGCAAAAGCGGAGTACGAAACGCTCCCGGAGCAAACGACATCCGCTAGATAATATGGATACATTATTAAGTAACTACAAGGCTAGAGGATTTAGATACATTTATTCAATTGTTTATGTTGAATATTCTTTCCCGGCTGGAAGAAGCTTGCTGAGATTGGGCTGGTCACTGACCCAGAGAGAATTATGGTACTTCAGTCGAACAGACGCTCGCAGAAGGAGCTAGTTAGAAGAGGCGAGAGGGCCAGGTTCCACCTCATGGGAGGGCTTATGTTTCCTCCATTTCGGGTTAATCCCATGATATCGCACTTTGTTGGGTCATCTCGATTGGGGCGGCCCTTGGACCCCAGTATTACCCGCGGATGAATTGGTCCTGCAATTCAGATCGTCAATGTCGTCACTATCATTGGCTGCTTCACCCTTCATCCTCATCGCCATCTTCCACTTCAGATGCATTATGGTGACCATTCGGCATGCTCGACGGGGGTGCGGTCTCGCGCTGGACAGCAACAGTCGGTGGTCGGCCCTGCTGCGCAGCTATGGCTCTCTCACCCACAAACTTGTCACCAGGCCACTCTTCCTTGCACACGGGACACTTTTCTGCTTGCTGCATTCGAAAGAAGTTCCGCATGCAGTGGTCGTGCAGACGACCTGGGCAATCAAGGTCGCCACAGCGTTGGCCCTAGCAGTCGGTGGTTAGACTATGTCTGCTCTTTCACGAAGAAGAATAATGCCTTACCACAGTGATGATTTCTTTGCACGCAGCGCAATTCTTAATCCGCGTGACATCGTCATTGTACGTCAAGACCAACCAGCCACGCAGCTCCATCAACGCCCGCGGAGTGAGGGTAAACAACCCCTTGCGGCTCTTCTCGAACCAGCCTTCATCGACCAGCTGCCTCATAACGTTCTCTGCTTGTGTCATGCTCAGTGGTTGTGCAGTTCCCCCCTGGTTCGCCTGCGCGCCACCGACATTCGTAGACCGCCGCCGACTAGTATCACCTGAAGTTTTGGCCTGTTGGATAGCCTGTATGCTTGAAATGGCCATTCCTTCACACCGCCGGGTGTTATTTGTATCGAACATGTAGTCCAGAATCCTCTTGACGAAGGCAATCTCGTCGGCGGAGCGAGTTGTCGCAAGTTGCGTTAGAGCATCGCTGGTTGTATTAACAAGCGCGTAGAACCGCTCCGGCGTTGGGTCGGTGGTACCCTGTGGATTTGCTTGAGAGGCTTGATGTAGGGAGCTGCGGATTTCTAGGTCAAAGGGGGATATTGCCGAGTTGGCGGCGGAAATGAAGGAGGAGAGGTGTTCGGTGGTGACATCGTCGGGCTCGATTGGACGACCCTCTGTGCAAAATGGTCGAGTCAGCAACTGATATTCACCTTATAGAGTCGGAGAAATGTACCGTGCAGTGACATAATGGCTGCCAGGACCGGCTGGACTTCTGGCAAGGTCATGGATGAGCGCGCCATGAAGGCCTGGATGAAGGCGCGGTTGGCATCGTTGTACTCGACATTGTCCATGATGCAGAGCAAGTTGCTCTGAAGCTGGGTCTAATGCGATTCAAGACCGGGAAGGGCAGATCCTGCGCGCTGGGTAGAAAATGTGTCGTGGTGTTCGAGGCAGTGGGGGACGCGAAGTTCGCGTTTTGGCGTGGAAAAGTACAAAGTGGATGCCAAGACTCACTTCGAACATCAACATCTACACGATCACGCGGGACCAACTAAGGCAATGAAGTCTCCTATAATTGCTTGCGGGTCTGATATCATCATAATACAAATGTCAATCAACGGCACCAGAGGATAGAACCGAGAAACCCCGACCTAGACGCTCCCGCCGCGCAAAGGAAAGTAGAATCGAATCACCCAGTGTCTTCGCCCAACGCCGAGAATGAAACAAAAAAAGGAATAGACAAACTCTAGAAAGTTCCTGACCAGGGGCACCCGCTAATACATCCGCCGGGTCGGCTCTGGACTCGGGCTCCGAGTAACGCTTCGTGCATCACGGCCCCGTTCCTTCAACCATTTCTTCGTCGATAGTCGCATGTCCCGGTCGAGCTCCGGGCCAGGGTCTTTGCGGTGGATGAAGTTGCAGAACCCGCCGCGCACACAACCTTCGCCGCTATTCAGACGACAGCACGCCTCTCGGAAATCCGTCACGGGTGAGAGCTCGCAATATATGGGCCGGGCGGCGTACCAGCGCGAGTTCAGTGCATCGCAGGCTTTCTGCGCGTCTTCTTCGTATTTGAACCGTGCGTAGACGTTGCCGATCAAGTCTGTAGACAAGAGTACACGTTAGCGCAAACGCCACCAGGGGCGGAGGGGAACAGAAGCTTCCACTTACGATCATTGTTATTGTCGCACACGACAAGTTCCTCGAGTTCGCCATACTTGCACATCTCGCACCAGACGTCCTCGTAGAAAGCGTCGAAGTGGTTTTGGAGCTGGCTCGGGTTCATCTTGTTCTTGGGGTCATAGGCGGGGTTCTGGTACATGTTGGGCATCAGGACGGTCTGCGAGTATGACGGCTTGACGTGTTTCCGGGAGCAGCGGTCGCCGTGGCGGCATGCGCCAATCTTATAGTAGAAGGAGCAGTTGACCTTGTCCTGCTCGGTACCGAAGATGGAGGCGAGATAGTTGGCCATGGCGGGTGGTGGTGGGTGGTCGGACGGTGAGGGTCGATGATCAGGAGATGGGAATGACGAGAAGGAATAGGGAGTGGCGGCGGTTGGTTGTGAAGAAGTGAAGAGGCAAAGGCAGAGAACGACAGCTCGACTCGGGACTGCCGATGCCTGAAGTTTCTGGAAGCTCCGCGGCGCTGACTAAAGGCGATGGAACAACCTTCATCCGATCTATGCTCGAGGGAAGCCAAGTGCAGTGCAAGAAGAGAAATGAACAAGGTGATGGAGTATCACCGGTATAATCTAGCCCACGGGCTTGTCTGTCCTGTTTGGGATTGTTAGTTGAAGGTGGGAAAGTGTCAACAGTTAGTTGCGTGACCTATATGCAAAATATGTATATATTTCGAGAACGACACGACGTTTGCTACTCAGTCCAATGATTTCCTCGCCCCAATAGGGATTTCATCACTATTCAACAATCCTAACAGATATGCTATGTATGCTGTATTTACCTACAATTACAGACAACACCGTTGTATGACGTGGATTTGAAATGAGAAGTGCCACCCCACGACTGACTAAGCCCCGCACTGAGAAGAACATTCTCCTTACAACGCTCCCGGGAAGACGATAAACAAATCAGGTGTGGAAGTAAGTCTGTTGATCCTGTGTATATTTTGTGTGTGAGTTTTGCCAGATACCCCGGGTCAGACATGGAGAACGCCGGGCCTGTACTATAACCCATCCCTAACCTGCGATGCAGGATATCACCAATGGCAGCCAAGACCATCATCGTCACAGGAGCCTCAAGAGGCATCGGTCTGGCCATAGCCAAGTACCTGCTCTCCGCCCCGCAATCCCACAATGTGGTGGTCGTCGCCCGCAGCGTGGAACCTCTACAGAAGCTAAAGGAGCAGTACCGCAAGCAGGTCGAGGTCCTGAACGGCGACCTGGCAGATTTCTCTCTGGCCCAAAAGGCTGTCGACTTGGCCCTCCAGTCCTTCGGCCAGCTGGATGGCATGGTTCTCAACCACGGCATCCTGGGCCAGGTGGGCAAGCTCGCCGACACGGAGGTGCAGCAGTGGCAGGAAGGCTTTAATATCAATTTCATCAGTCTCGTCGCCTTTGTGAGTATTTGGTCCAATTTGCTCCATATGAAGAATCTAGTTGTTGATCTCTCCTTCTAGACTAAAGCAGCTCTCCCAGCTCTGCGCCAGTCCAAAGGAAAAATCATCTTTACCTCGTCTGGCGCTGCGGTCAATGCCTACAGGGGTTGGGCTATCTATGCTGCCACCAAGGCGGCAATGAACAACTTTGCCATGAGCCTGGGCTCAGAGGAACCCGACGTGACGTCGGTGTCCATTCGACCTGGCATGGTAGACACCGAGATGCAACGGGCGTTGCGAGAGGACCATGCCACCACTCTGGATAACGAGATGCACTCCAAGTTTACGACGGTCCACAAGGACGGAAAGCTTCTCCAGCCCGAGCAGCCGGGCCATGTCATGGCCAAGTTGGTGCTGGATGCACCCATGGACCTCAGCGGGCGCTTTCTATCGTATGTCATAACCTATGAGTACCGGTGAACTTTACTGATTTTACTGACACGCCTACAGATGGAATGACAAGGAGCTCGAGACATTTCAGGCATAAATAAGGGTGATATATTCTGGATCTAGCAAAGGTCTCCCAGGGTCGCACTGTACAGCAAATTAGCATCAATTGCCAGAGAAGGATCAATGCCAAATTTCAACATGAGAATAGTGTGTTATCAATCAGCCGAAAGATGAAAAGCATTACATTTTAGAAGCATTAGGTGCAGTGCACCTTCATACTTAGCATGGAATGTAGGTTGATCATCATTGAATAGGGGAAAAGGGAGGGAGATGGAAAAAAGTCTTCGCATACCTGTTAGTATTACTATGGGGAATTGAAGAGCATCTGAGACTGATTTCCTAGAATTCTTCTCATAGTCAGCAAGGAGCAACACCAGAGGAGTCAAAATGCACAGCAGATGGAAAGCAAAATTATCAGTTCGTCCGTTTGGCTAGGACAGGTAACGTCACCATAGTATGTATGATAGGGGCGACAACAAGGTTCATCATGGTAAAATGAGGGTAGAAGGAGTAGAATGGGAGAACATACCTTGAGTAATTATTAGTGTTGAGGTGATGTTTTCATGAAAAAAAAAAGGTGAGTGGGAAGAGAAGAAGAGGAAAGAAGAAAAAAGGAAAAACCCTGATAAAGTGGATGAGGGCGGTGTCATTCTGCCGTGACATAGTTAGTGAACCAATCCACCGGCGGACGCGAACAAAAGACAGACACGCCAACTATCCATCATCATGTCCGATCGAGAGTTCAGCTGTAAGTCGGATCTCAGCGCTTGCCATGACCCGTGTGCGCGGCATTCTACTGACATGCCTTGATTTTATCCACAGCAAACGACGACCTGTCGCTTCCCAAAGGTACGCCTGGAAACCCAGTCTTATTCTCTTCTTGATTCTTTCGAGTATGGTTCACTAACGGTTTTCTCTCCAGCGACGGTTCAAAAGATCATCACCGAGATCCTACCCCCATCATCTGGGCAAACCTTCGCCAAGGATGCGCGCGACCTGCTGATGGAATGCTGCGTTGAGTTCATCACTCTGATCTCCTCCGAGGCCAACGACATCAGCGAGAAGGAGGCGAAGAAGACGATTGCCTGCGAGCACGTGGAGAAAGCATTGCGAGATCTGGGGTTTGGGGATTATATTCCCAGCGTGCTTGCTATCGCGGAGGAGCACCGCGAGCAGCTCAAGGTAGGTTTTTGGCCCCGGATGTGCGCTGGATGGTGTGGCTGACCTGCCGACTAGTCCCGCGAAAAGAAGCAGAGCAAGATGGAGCAAAGCGGACTGTCTGAGGAGGAACTGATGCGGCAGCAGCAGGAATTGTTCCGGTCGGCGACGGAGAAGTACAACGCGGGGCCTGAATAAAGACGATGAGGATGGTTGTCTCTTGCTGGTCATAGAGAAAAGGGGCGCTTTGCATTTGGGCTGGAGTCTTTCTTTCTTTTTTTCTTAGGTTTCTCTTTTGATGTGGACTCGATCTACTAATAATGACACGATGCGTATGAGTATATCCAGATGTAGTGTGGTGTTAACTGGTCCAGGATGAGTAAATCCATTCACCGCCCAGCCTCCCCTTCGTCTGGTTCAATCCATGTCCGACGGAGCTTTTGCGCCCTTCCCATCTTCCCGCCTCAAGGATGCCGCCCTTCAAGGATGAGCATATTCTGGTGCGTGTGGATTGTTCACCTGTCCTTTCCTCAAACATCGCTGACCCTCTCTCTAGTTGATTGCGCCAGGTTCACAGATGACCCTGGCGCAGCTCGGTCTACCCGAAACGTTCACGCCCGCGCGATTCCGTTTCCCCACGCGCATGTTCCCTGCCGAGCAGAAGGGTGAATACGAGCCATATCGGATCCGTGAGAGGCGCCAGGAGGTCAAGATCAGCAATGGCACGGACAGGCTCAAGGAGGACGTGGAGATGAAAGACGCCGAGCCTACTGCGCAAGAAGGCACGGCCAATGGCGAGCCGAGCGACAAGCCCGCGACCACTGAAGGGGCAGAGCAGAGTGAAGGTGCCGGCGAGACTGAAAATAAAGAAGAGCCCAAGACCGTCGAAGAGATCCTCTATGAGGAAGACGTGACGTCCGACCAAGGCGCCATTTATCCCATCGAGAACGGGCGCATCGTCGACTGGCCCTGTTTCTTTGCGCATTTGACACATATTTATAATACCCTGAGCCCGCCTTTCCATACCCCCATCATGCTCATCGCCCAACCTGTCTGGTCCGCCCGGGATCGCGAGGCCATCACCCAATTCGTCTTTGAGAAGTTCAAGGCCCCCGCCTTCAGTCTCATGGACTCTGCACTCGCCGTTTGCTATGGCTACGGCACCTCCACTGCAACTATCATCGATGTTGGAAAGGGCAAGGTGGACGTGACTGCCGTAACGGACTTTGCAGTCAACGAACACGGAAGAGGAATCGCGCTGGAAGGTTGTGGAGGAGATGCCATGACTGACCGGCTCGTGGAGCTCCTTGGTTCCAAGGGGTTCACAAGGGAAATGTGCGAGCAACTCAAACGGAGCAACATCACCGAGATTCTCCCTCCGGGAACCCCGATCCCTGGCGATGCAGCCACTGCTCGACAGGGCGCCAATCCAGCTGTAGCTGCATCGACAGGAGCAGATGGCACAACTGATTCCGTTCCTCGGGGCCCCGGGGAGGGCACTCAAACTGGGACCGAAGATAATAATGCGGAGGACGATGAAGGCGTGTTAGATGTCGCAGCCATTGTCAGTGGTAATACCACCGAATATCTTGCCAATATGGAGAAAGAGAAGGCCACAAACAAAAAGGGCGCGGTGGAGCCGAAGCAAGCTCGCTTGCCAAATTCCAAGAAGGAGAAAGCGTCCTTCCAGTTTGAAGAGTTCGTCCCATTGGAGGGAGATGATGCGGTGGTCAATGGTTCCCGACGCTACATCCGGCATTCGAGGGAAGTTGAAGTGAGCGTCGAGCGCTTCCTGACTGCGACACCTCGGCAGCAATCTGAAGACCGTCTGACGAGCGGCATCCTGGAGGACATTGCAACCCAGATCCACCACACCATTCTGGCCGTCCCCGACGCCACAAAACGGAGCGAGCTGTGGGACTCCCTGATTATTGTCGGAAACGGCAGCAAAGTCAGAGGTTGGTTTGCCTTGCGTACTTCTTATGATGTCGGCTAATGTTGGAAACAGGCTTCACCCAGGCTTTGCTTGGTGTCATTACCCAAAAGTTCATGCTCTCTCCGTCTGGGACCATCTTCACATCTGAAATCCCCTCGACCTTCACCACTCCCATGCCCACCGGTGGAACGAACACACCGGCTCCGATGGGCCAACCGGGACCCATGTATCACCCTGCCGCGCATGGTGTCAACCCGCTCCTGGTGGCAGCAACCCACAACAATCCGGGAATGCCCCAGATGACCCCGGGCACCCCATCGATGGATCTATCACATCACCGCTCGACTGGCCACTCCCAGACGCCAAACTCTGTCAAGACCCTCAAGCCTCCCGAATATTTCCCCGACTTTAAGGACCAGGGCAACAGCAACGCTCCTGGCGCTAGCGGCAATGCGGGCGGCGCAGCTGGTGGACCGGGAGCATCCCAGGGGGGTCGAGGCATGGAGGAGGCCGTGTTCCTTGGCGCTCAGATGGCTGCCAAAGTCTTCTTTGTCCTCGACCAGGGTCTCAGCAAAGGCTACATGAGTCGTGTGGAGTACAACGAGAATGGACCATCGGCAATCCACGAATTCGTCCTGTAACGTGGTGGCAACCTCTCTTCAATGATTAAACGCACAAACTGACTGTTTTCTCTTCATCTCTTGGAAAAGGCGAAGTTGGCTTATGCGTGAAAGAACTTGTTTTATGTGTTGCTGTTTTGTACTGTATGCTATGGATGCCCACTCTAGAAAAGCACAGTAGCTGTGTCGGTAGGCAGGATCCGGGGAGTTTGGCCAAATTTCTTCGCAGCTATCTTCAATCTCAGAATCTATACGAGTTTCAATTTCATCCCACTGCTTCGCATTAATTCACTCTTCTGCCTGGAGATTGAATCCGAGTCTTTATCACATCACGTGACTATGCTGACATGATCCATTTGATCTCTCCGCCCAACTGTCGATCTTGAACTCATTCCCGAACTCTTCAACGCCACATCCTCTTTCACCTCAATCAAGCTACGTTCCTCTGTCAAAATGCCCCGCGCTGAGATAGGAAGTACAAAAGATCTGGGCAATAAGATCAAATCCAAGGGATTAGGTCGACTGCGCTGGTACTGCCAAGCCTGGTGAGCCTCTCATGCCAACTCTTTTCCCCGGTCTTGCTAACACCTCTCTAGTGAACGTCAAATGGTCAGTCTCTCATGCTTTATCCTGTCCTCGGTCTAGCTAACGCCCATCTAGAGAGACGAGAATGGCTTCAAGTGTCATGTTCAAAGCGAAAGCCATGTCAGACAAATGTTGCTCATCGGCGAAAACTCTGGGAAGGCAATCCGGGAGTTTTCAAACGAATTCAAAAAGAACTTTATCGACTTGCTGCGGACGACCCACGGGGAAAAACAGGTCCACATAAACCATTTCTATCAACAAGTCATTGCAGAAAAAACAGTCAGTTTTTACGGTCTATATTGGGTACCATATGCTAACTTTTTTTTCTAGCACGTGCACATGAACAGTACCGAGTGGAAATCACTATCCCAGTTCGCCGCGTACCTCGGGAGGGAGGGGATTTGTCGGGTCGAGGAGACAGAGAAAGGACTATTCGTATCATGGATCGATAACAGCCCTGAGACTATGCGGAAGCGCGAAGCAATCATGAAAAAGGAGCGACAGGATAAGGGTGATGAAGAGAGGGAACAGAAGTTGATCCAGGAGCAAATCGAGCGGGCTCAGCGCAATGCGGAGAAGACTGAAGACGAGGATCCGGAAGCGAAATTATTGCAGCGCAAGGAAGGAGAGAAAGTGAAGTTGAATATTGGGTTTGGGTCTAAGCCAGCCATCGACAAGCTCCCCTCGCCACCGACGACGAATTCCCCCGAGTCCAAGGATGATACCGAAGCGGATATGTCCAGCACGGATCCTCCTGCGCCTACTTCCCAGGCTCCTGTGAAACTATCGATGTCACTTGGTGCTCAGAAGCCGAAAAACGTCTTTGCTTCAGCGAAGAAGAACCCACTGGCAGGAAAGAAAGGTTCTGTTTTGGCTGCTCCCAAGAAGATGTCGGAGCAGGAGAGAATTATGAAGGCCGAGATGGAGGCCATGGAGCGGAAACGGCCTCGTCCGGATTCTAAATTTACCAATCCCAAGCGGCCAAAGATCTCGTGAAAATAACCAGTCTCACGAATAGAATCTTCTCCAACCAACCCCTCCGCAGTGAGCTCGGGCCGCGAGCGAGCGATCTCAACCAGAATTGTCTCTTTCAACCTCCGTGTCTGATTTGACGACTTGGTCTGCTTCGTTCAAGGAAGTCTCAGAGGATCCGACAGTCACAGGCGCTCCAGCCCAGTGTTAATATTCCTTTTGGCTTGATTTTTTTCTACCTACTAGAGACTGGATAGATACATCATGCATATGACCTCAAGGAGAACGTACTAGTTGCATTTTTCACCTGCCATGCATGTGATTAGGGAGATTAACTAGAAACGATTATTTGTATTTCCATGGTTGTTGTACCTAGTCCAGAAAGAGAATAAATACATGGCGTCCAGTTACGTGGCTGCGATGACATCACCCAACCCAGACCACTTTTTCCCTCCATCCCTCCTCCCTCTTTGCTTTTTCTCGGATTGGTTTTGGTAAAGTGTGTCCCCTTGGTTTTCTGCCCATGGCGAAATTCAGCCACTTGCCTCGGGCGGCATCAGGGCCGTTGAGATGCCCCTACAAGGTGAGATGTCTCTCTTTCACTGAGCGTGCGGGGGACAGTGTGTGAGCAAGCAGCTATATACTAAGATTCTCTTAGGGCTCTGCGCTCCTCGCAAACGCTCAGTTCAACAAAGGTTCTGCCTTTCCCACTAAAGAGCGTGATGCATTTAAGCTACACGGCCTACTCCCGCCAAATATCCAGACCCTGGATGAGCAGGTTCGGCGCGCATACGAGCAATACAGCAGTCGGCCCGACGAATTATCAAAAAATACGTTCATGGCGAGCATGAAGACCCAGAATGAAGTACTTTTCTACAAGGTGAGCTTGTCTCGTCTTTTTCAGATACATATGATTAAATGGTAGTTTAGCTTCTGCAAACCCATCTCAAAGAGATGTTCAGTGTGATCTATACACCGACTGAAGGTGACGCTATTCAAAATTACTCGCGATTGTTTCGAAAGCCGGAGGGATGCTTTTTGAACATCAAGGATCAGGATCGAATCGAGGAAAGTTTGGCCCAATTCGAGAGGACGGAGGATGTTGACTATATTGTGGTCAGCGATGGAGAAGAGGTAATTGATGAATCTGAAGGTAGATGGAGCATGCTCACTATCAATTGCAGATCCTGGGCATTGGAGATCAGGGTGTCGGTGCCATTCTGATCTCGGTCGCCAAGCTAGTGCTTACAACCATCTGCGCTGGAGTTCATCCTTCACGACAGCTTCCAGTGGTGCTGGATTGCGGAACAGATGTGAGATACATCCCACAATACTATTATTAACAACTCAGCTGATGATATCATAGAACGCGGAGCTTCTGAATGACGACTTATACCTGGGACTCCGTCACCGCAGGGTCCGCGGGCCGGAGTACGACGACTTCGTGGAAAAATTTGTAAAGGCTGCCCGACAGCGCTTTCCTAAGGCGCTGATTCATTTGTACGTCGAATACCTCGTCGACCTCGCTTAAGAATATGTCTAATGATATCAGCGAGGATTTTGGGCTGGATAACGCAAAGAGAATCCTTGACAAATTCCATTCACGGATTCCCTGCTTCAACGATGACATTCAGGGCACCGGATGTGTCACGCTTGCAGCCATGATGGCAGGATTATACGTAAGCAAGGTCAAAATGGAAGATGTCCGCGTCGTGATCTTTGGTGCCGGCACAGCGGGAACTGGAATCGCGGACCAAATTGCCGACGCCATTGCAACAGAAACTCACAAGTCTAAGACGGATGCTTTCAACCAGATATGGTACGCAATTTTTCGAGCATTTGGTGACTGGCACTGACCATATTTAGGTGCATCGATAAACCTGGACTGCTCGTTAAATCGCTTGGAGAAAAGCTAACCCCAGCCCAACAGCCATTTGCACGCGAGGACCGCGAGTGGCCTGAAGGCCAAGGGCTTGATCTTCTGTCAGTGGTGAAGCATGTCAAGCCCCATGTGCTGATTGGAACTTCCACGAAGCCGAAAGCATTCACACAGGACGTCGTCCAAGAAATGGCTAAGCATGTAGAACGTCCAATTGTGTTTCCACTGAGCAATCCAACACGACTACATGAGGCAAAACCCGAAGACATCTACGAGTGGACCGAAGGTCGAGCTCTGGTCGCCACAGGCAGTCCATTCCCTCCGGTGGAATACCAGGGCGTCAAACACGAGATCGGTAAGGGCCCTCATCCTTTTAGAGAACACTTTATAATTCGATTATTCCTTTTCTTGCGATAGCGGAGTGCAACAACTCCACTTGCTTTCCAGGAATTGGTCTTGGAGCTGTTTTGTCACGGTGCCGCATATTATCCAAAAAGATGCTTGTGGCCGCTGTGAAGGCACTGAAGGAAAAGTCACCCGCTCTTCAAGACCCCAATCGACCGTTGTTGCCCGACGTTGAGGATGTGCGCGAGATCAGTGTCGACATCGCCGCGGCTGTGATCAAGTGCGCCGTGGATGAGGGTCTTGCCCAGGAGGATGGAATTCCAACAAATGAGGCAGATTTGAAGGAATGGATCCGGGTACAAATGTGGGATGCTGCCTATCGGCCTCTGGTTAATGTATAAGAATCGGTCGCGGTGGTTGGTATTTGTGAAGTCGGAGTGCTTCAGCAGCAACGTATGGAGGAATTTACATTTGATAATGTAGTCAGATTTCCTGTCCTAAACAGCTGTCAATTCCTTTCTGCTAGTTAGTCCAAGCACATCTCAGGCCTATCTATTATTGTCTGATCGGACACGGTCTCTCATCGGCCTTTAACATCGGAGTCTCCAAAATCCGATGCCCCGCGTCGATCGGATGATCCCTACTTGCATCGTGCCAATCACGTCTGTGCTACTTGTACAATGTGTTGTGCAAAAAGTGGGTCACGGACTAATCGGCATTCGGACAACAGCGAGTGCGAGAAATGCACGAGGCTGCTGCCTCTCGTCCCTACAGAGAATTTAAGTATAAGAAGAGGATGGTCTTCCACGATGGATCCGGATGATTCATCCGAAGACACAGGCTTAAAACACGATGATCAAGCCAACTATTGAAGCAGTGGTTCACAACCCTTCAGTAGTCCTCTACGGGGTGCTGGGACTAATCATTCTAGTATGTGAAGCCTTTTCTAGGTTCATATGGACCTATAATTAGCTAAGTTGGATTTAAAATATCAGAAATTTTTGTTCCAAGGAATCACAAATCCTCTTGCGAGTATACCGGGTCCCGAGATCTCGAAGTGGACAGACGCGGTCTATTGGTATTACTGGCTCCGCGGCGAGATCCTGCCCTATATCCATTCGCTTCACTTGCAGTATGGTGGGTGCTTATAGAATTTGAACTTGGGGAAATATTTCGCTCATATTTCCTGTCTTCTTTAGGGCCTATCGTTCGAATCAACACATTCCAGGTCGACATCAACGATTATCATAACGCGAAAGAAATCCACAAAACCAACACTCCGTTTGTGAAAGGAGACCTGTATCGCCGGTTCATTGCGAACAACATCGAGAACATCTTCTCCACCGCCAATCAGCAATTCCATGCTAGTCGTCGTCGACTGCTAGCAACGGCCATGTCGGACTCGTCGCTAACGCGCCATGAACCCTTGGTCCATATGCGAGCCAGCATGGCTGTTGATGGAATCATGAGAGAACTCAAGACACGGGGCGTGTCCGATGTTTTCAAGTGGTGGTTATTCCTTGCGACTGATGTCATCGGCGAGCTGAGCTTTGGGGAGTCGTTCCAAATGCTAGAGGCGGGTGAGGTAGGGAAGCAAAAGAAGTTTAACTGCACCAGCTACTAACAGGTCCTTAGAAAAACCAATATTCTATGGATCTAGAACAGATCTCGGCCATCCAGCCCTTCCGAGTGGTCTTCCCTAATCTGATCAAGATGGGACGCTATCTGCCTATCCCGTTTTTCAACAAAGTTGCTGCATCCGGAAAGAGACTCGCTATGTATCCTAGGAAATGCATTGAGCGATATAAAAAGATTCTCGCGGAGCACCCGGAAAACGCAAAGCTTACTCTGTTTACGAAGGTGTTTGACACTGAAAAGAGTTGTATGACCGAGACAGATATCCAGAACGAAGCTCAGGGTTACATTATCGCTGGTAGTGATACTACCGCAGTTTCCCTCACGTATCTCACTTACGCCGTCTGTCGTGATACCCGCATCCGGGACAAACTCGTAGCTGAGTTGGAGAAACTCCCAAAAGAGTATACGGACAAGGACCTCCGAAATCTTCCATATCTCAACCATGTGATTGACGAAACGCTGCGTTTATACTCTGCTGCTCCTGGTGCATTGCCAAGAATTGTCCCACCAGAAGGTGCTCAATTCAATGGATACTATATCAAGGGTGGATTGACGGTGTCGACCAGTGCTTACTGTCTTCATCGTGTTTCTGGGGTTTACCCTGATCCAGAAAGGCAGGCCGCTTTCTTCCTCTCAAATCTACTATTCTAAGTTACTAATTGAAAAAAAAATGCAGCTTTACACCTGAAAGATGGGAAAATACTACAAAAGCAATGAAGGAATCGTGGATGCCATTCGGGGGTGGATCACGCAGTAAGCCATCCATGCTGCCCGAGAAAGAGCCTATCAGATTGGTAACATTCATGTCAGTTTGTATCGGCATGCACCTTGCTCGAATGGAATTACGCCTGGCCACGACCCTCTTTTTCCGTGCCTTCCCTCAGGCCTACATTTCCACAAAAGAAGGAATGACGGAAGATGACATGCACATCAAAGCAGCCTTCTTGATGGGCCCGCAAGGCCACCGTTGCCTTATTGAGGCATGATTCTAGTTCTTTGTACTTAATAAACCGTACTGCGATTTCTGAGAAATTTTAGCAATGAAACAGTCCATCAAACTGTTTACAATTCTCCCGGGAGATGACATAATTGCTTCCTCTTGTCCTTGATAATCCAATTCATGCGGACGACAGAAAAGGTGGAGACGACCTTCGTTCCCAATTCCGGGGACCAACAGCCACCCCGAATCAAGAGTTCCAGGCAAACCCCACGCCGATACCTGACTCAATCTCGCCGCTGATTCTGATCGCACACCTCGCTTACAGCTCTCTCTCGCCGGCTAGGCCATCCAGTCTGCCGATCTCCAAGTCCACCACCATAAATTCGGCGGCGACGACGAAGATAACGATCATCAGGCTAGACTAGATGAGTGCTGGAGTCTGTCTTTCTTTTGTGCTTCTCTTCTGTAGCGATCGTAATTGCACTTATCTTGAGAAACATATCATTCTTGTAGGCTTAGAAACTTGACTATCTCACTGCTCTTTTTCTCTGATACATCTGAAAGCTGAGGCTCATACCCAAAAGTGGCCAGCCCTGAAGCGACAAGTGATGCTGCAAACCTGAAAGAGGCCAACACCAATGGATTATCCAGCAATGATCTGTGCAGCAATGATCTGTGCAGCAGTATACTGAATGCTACGGTCCTCTGACAAAGGTCAATACTGCCGAGTTCCGTCTCCCTCCCTTTGAGGGGAGAGTTCCAACCCGATCTTTACCGTCCTGTTGAGAACCGGAAGTTCGCTAAGAGGTGTCAAAATGATGCATTTACTAAGGTGCTTTGGGGTGGCTCACTCGCTTGTGGATTACGTTAGGGTGAAGTCACCTAGCCCGGCCCATATCAAGGGGCCCTCCCTCGACTTTCTCTTGTTCTTTCGCTCTTTATTTCCTTCTTTGCTCCCTACCCAAATTTCCCTCGAGACCCTAGACAATGAAAATTTGGGAGAATGCTGAGCCAAGATTTTGCTTTCGCAACTAGAATGAATACATAGTCAGCGGTGGAGATCTCAGATGCAAATTTAACACTGCATTATGCTACAAATATCTGAAATTTGATATGAGTAAATGTTAAATAAAGATCCAATCCATCCCCCATCCATGAATATCGCCGATCCACGGGCCAGAATATCCTCTTTGATCGTGTCGAGCCCACAAATCCGTAAGCACATTCAATGCATTTTTCACATTCTGACAACGCCAAATAGTCCAAAGGTGCTCAAACACTTGAATAATTGCCACCCTTTGGGATTCCTGCCGCGCTTCCGCTCCAATAACAAATGCAGGCCATACCAAGCACTTAAAATGAGCATCCTCATGACAGAGAGATCGGATATGTAAAATGATTGAATCAATTGAAACCGCGATGGGTATTCCAACAGAATTCCTTTCACATAGCTCATGCATAACCTGATACATGTAAATAGCAACGGCTTCCTTATACGCACTTGCAAAATGATATCTGGGCTTCATGAGACTAGGGCTTTCACTTGCAATTGCCCATTTCATCGGCGAAAAATCCTCGAAGGTAGACAAAAGGTGTGTTTTGAAACCAGAAGTTACTGGCTGGGATCCTGTAATGTTGTTGAGAAGGGAAATGACGTAGAGAAGCTCTGCTGGGCATCCGGCCCATGATTGGCCATCGGAGAGTTTCATGATTTGAATTGTAGGGGTCGTAGAAAACAAGGGATGATAAGATTGTTTGGTTCTCACAAAAGTCGTGCCTAGAACTTGAAAACTGTGATAGTTAGGACAAGGCAGCAAAGCAGGGTTTTTGAAAAAAGAGACGCATACGTTGCATACGTCATTTCAAAATGCTCATAAAGGCTTAGAGAACCGAAGCCCTGCATTTTCGTATTCTGTTTTTTTGAAGAGCAGTTCCTTTTCTGCACAACTCCCTTCAGTGCATCCAAGTGATATCTCCATGAATCTATTCCAGATTCCATCAAGTCCTGCCACACTAATAACAGGATTGAAGCAATTGTGCCATCGAAATTGCAAAAGTCAGAATTTAGTAATTCTTTTTGCATATGTCTCAAAGCATGTTGCTTATGCATCAAAGCGTCGTATATGGCAGATGGTTGTTCCGACGTGGTCGTCGCGCGTTCTAGAACAGTACCATTTTCGATGTATAGTAGCTGCTGAAATTTGATGTAACGGCCATCAATTTTTCGCTGGGCTTGGTGCAAGGCTGCGATCGATAAGATCGTATGAAGGAGCGCCGAGCTTGATGGAATAAGCCGCATAAATTCCCTGAAAGAGTTGGCTGAATTGGAGTCGTAGAGGACGCTCTCCATGGAGCAATGTTGATCAACTGAAGTTCAAGTCAGCAATTCCTATGAGAGATCCTCACTATTTCACGTACAATATTTAATATAACGCCGATCTGTTGGGGATAAGTCTTGAAGAACCGGGTCTAAAAGCAACATTGCAATCGGAGCAGTTGCTCCATCAGTAATTGGTAAAGACTTTCCCGTCAGCTTGCCTCGACTAGCCACGCCATTGGTCCATCTCAAGGGCTTTACTTCGCTGTATCCTTGGCAATATTCACCCGAGAAGGAACACTTATGGCATCTGGGAAGTCGTCGATCACATTTCACGCGGCGGCGGCGACACGTCCAACATGAAGTAGATGACGGGGCTGCGCTGATTTCTTTCATAGATTTCAATTTCCAAAAAAAACTTTGTCACGAAAGCCAGGAAAGTACTCATGGGAGGGAGAAATTCTTGTCGAAATTCTAGTCTTAAAGATTCTTTAACTTAGAGAAACGACGCTTCGGAAAGCCAAATCCCCTATTCTCTTTTAGGAAGCCAAGAAGCGGTCGGCCATCGCCAAGAACGATGATTGGTGTATATTATATTCCAGTGACGACCTTGCCCACTCACTCTGGAATGACAAATCGGGAATCATTCCTTGAAGATTGGCCTGATGCATATACGTTATGAAGATCGGACTCTGTTCGCCGACCTTGGCTGCCCTTGAAAGACTAGCGCGATTACCCTCAATTATGTAGCTCTTCCCCCTTTGATATACTTGCTGATTAATAGTCCCAGGGTATGATGGTATGTGGTTTGCGTGACACGTTCGTGGCGAGATTTATAGATGTAGCATTCTCGACCCCCTATCGTGAACAATCACAGCCATGGGTACAATACAATTGAGATTGGAGTCCCCATCACAGCATGATATATACTTCAACTTGATAGGAGACAGTTATCCTCGACCTATCCCTGCAACAGTAGTGCTCACAAGTCACACTGAGACAGAATTGGCTGGCCTGAGTCGGCTCCGAATCTGTCTTGTTCGTGTGTTGTCGAGCACAGATCGAGAAGACATACATGGCAGTGTCAGTTTCCTGAGTCGGTTAAACCGCTGGCTCTCGGCAAGTTCAAAATCAAGTGTCCCCAACACTACGCGAATCTGCTCAATTATTGAAGAATTGACGCTGCATGTGCCCCTTCTCGGCGGTGATAGCCAAATCGGTTACTCTCTAGAGGGAGGAAAAATCTACAAGATTCCCTTCTATATGCCCATCTCAGCCAACATACCTGGCACGTCAGCCACGAACTTGGGGCACATATCATATTTCCTCGTCGCTTCTATGAGCACAGCGAATGGGACAATCTCTAGTACGAGTCAGGAGATCACCTTTTCCCGTCGAATCATACCCGAGCGCCATTCAATTCAGCACACTCGCACGTATCCAAAGTCATCTCTAGTCACCAAGATTATTCTTACACAGGATATCGCTTCTATTACGAGGTTAAACATTTCTCTCAACGTGAAAGTGTTCGTCCGACCGCCTACGCCTGCCGTTCGCTCTACCGAATACACGTGTATGGCAGTCCGCGGAATTCGATGGCGCGTAGAAGAAGTTACCAAACTCTTCAATCGGCCCGAATGTCAAGACAGAAGCTCTCCGGAATATCACCCAGTCGAAGACCGATCGTCCGTACGTGAAATATCCAACGGATTCCAAAAAGGGTACTGGACAATACAACAAAACCTCACCACAACGGAACATTTGCCACGGCATATGGATTCCTCTATTGAAATTCCGCTTGAGATAGCGTTCTTTAGGGCCATAGCTCCAACATCTGAAGTTGATTTGGGCTGCTACAATTCTTTCTTCAACCCAGCGGATTCATTACCAACTACTCTCCAAGAATGCTTTTTTCTACGACACAAGAACAGATGATGCTCACTGTTGAACATCGACTGAAACTCGATATCTTGACAACTGAGGATACATTCAGCGTCTACAATCATTACTTGGTAGACCGTAAACCGCCACGGACTGCATTAAATGCATCTTTTCCTCTTCAAATTATTGACAAAGCCGATGGCGACATAGACGAGGTGTTAAGTCAAAGCAATCCACCGCGCTATGAAGAAGTCCCTGTGTCACCTCCCAACTATGAGCACTATCTGTAACAACTGCATGAAATTGACTCTCTTTGTGACTCCTGTAATGCGTAAGACCGGCTCTATTAAATAAGTATGTGAGGTCTTGTGTCAGTAGCGAAGCTAAATTGGTGATGTAGGCTCCCTCGAGGCTCCTCAAACATGCCGATAAATGGCTTGAAATTGGCTTCATTCGGTTTGATAATCCTTAATGTTATTAGCCAGGTGTCTCAGATGCTTCTAATATACTAATCTTTTCTGGAACTTGAATCTGATATTGACTCACTCCTTATCACCTATAGTTGTTCGACTCTGAAAGTGACAATAAATCAGTTCTTATTGGGACATAAGCACCATAACAAGACCCCTGGTGGATAGTCCCCGGGTTCTGAGCAACCCCGGCGCACACAATCTCTTCGCCTGCCCAGAAAGCTAGCGATGCCACAATGTGTTCCTCGATGTGTCAAACCGAGAGCCCAGAAATATCGATTCACTAAGCTGAGCTGTAAGGTATCTTCGATGGTTTCCAAGTTCCCAGAGATAATATGATGAGTCCCAGATGGCAAGCAGCCTGAAAGGGACTTCGTTTTAACACTATCACTCTTGCTGTCCACTTCATTGTGCTGTTCGATTCTAGCTGCCTTGCTAGAATGATTTTGAGGAGCCCATTTTTCAGTCGGCGTTTCGTATACTCCAAATCGTCGTCCTCGTCTTCCACTTTCTCTCCCGGGACACCTTCGACATGTTCATGGCTGGGCACGTGTCATCAGTGGGATAGTAGTCTGGCTGGTCACACTCAATTCACAAACCTGTGTGGTATCACAGGAACGGCAAGAAGAGGCACTAAAAGCGACGCCTTCTGGCTGAGGAGGCATTCGTGGAGCTTTTCGAGAGGAGCAGTAGTCTCCTTGCGATCTAGAGAAATGGTCTGCCAATTCTGGTCCATCTTGGGATCCTGTCCGGAGCCTGTGCGTCTTGGGCAATCTCGCTGCTCTGGAGTGAATGGGAAGCGGGAAAGGGAGATGAGCAGTCGACGTCAAAAGTACGCACAGTCCATTCGTACTTTACCCACCAAAAACTAGTATTCCAAGGCTGCTCACTTCTTTCTTTCTCATGAACACCAGGAGAAGTATGTGTGGTGCCAAAAGGTATTTGATGGTCTAGGGCACCTCGGCGTGGGGTTGGCTTAATCCCTCAAATATTCGACCAGGCTCAGTTTGACTAACAAGAGTGGCCAAACGGTGGAGTTATCATGAGTGTCATAAAATTCTGTTTATAAATAGAATCATCCATCTTTTGTACTGTTCAATATCTAACAGAGGCTTCCATCACTGCAGGACTGATCACACTTGTAAGTGCCGATCCAATCATCAGACCCGTACACATCCAATCCCATCAACCACCCATTCAGAACCTGATGCAAGTAATCCAGGTTCTGGGGCTCACCATTGGCCTGGCCTTCTGACGAGCAAGGGTAATCTTGAGTAAGACCCTTGTTGCCATTCAGCCCACTGCCCGCCGTGAACCAGCCATTATACGCGCCAAAGGCCTGAATGGCATTCCCGCCAGCCGCGTTGATCTGCGATCTAAGATAATTTGTACCCGCATCCACGTTATCCTGAGTCGAGTTGGTGCATATGTGGTTGGGATAGTTGGCGCAAGAGACCTGCATGAGACCTGGAGTCGGCCCACCAGCATGCGCGTTGCATGAAGATTCCTGCATCGCGATCACGGCCAAGATGACAGGGTCAACACTGTACTTGAGTCCTGCGCTCTGGAAGAACTTATCATATTGTGCACACCGCGCTCCAGTACCATTATAGAAATCCTGGAGCGAGATATGATAGATGTCTTCCAGAGTCATGAAGGGAGGGTTCCAGCCATCGCCCTTGATTCCAGTATTCAGCCAATCCTCGGATCTGGAGACTCAATTAGCGTTTGAATTTTAGGTTATTTGCTTTAAAACATGTTGCTCATACCCATTGGGACCGGTGCTTTCCGTCACGTCGGTGGTTGCGCCTTGGGCTTTGGGGTTTATGCCTACACCAGGGTTGGCAGATTGGGCACTGGATGTGGCTGCAAGGGCCACGGCAACGATAATACCAACTTTGAAGACGACCATTTCGGAAGTTAGTGGGGAATTATTTCTGATGCAGAAATGTGATTTGAACTTACAGGCCGGGGCATGGTGAGCCTTTAAATCCACTCACATGGTCAATCTTGCTAGTCCAAAATGAAAAAGTAAGCTAATAGCCCAACCTCATTGTTTTTCAGACGAATTTCTACATCTAGTAACTGCTGTCATGCAAAAAGGCGTGAGGGGCGAAGAACGTGAAGAACCATTTTCTCGATTAGGAAGCATTTTAACTAGGGCTTTCCCCGCAAGGTACGACGATCTTGTTACAGCCAGAGTCCCTGTTACAGCAGTACCATCCCAAGAAATTTTCATTGGCCCAGTTATTCATGGGGTTGTTTATATTGCAACCATGACCGGGGAGCAGCTCCAGTAGATGATGGTTGAAGGCCACTGATTGGCGATTTGATGCAAGGCGAAGCTACTAGTGTTTGGGCTAAAAGTTAAAGGCGCAATGTCTGTCGATCAAATCTCTCGGTCTACAACAGTAACGAAGCGGCGAGTCTAGAGGCAAGATGCTCCTAAGAGATTATTTTTGCCGAATAATTCATCCAGGATTACGGAACTGATGCATTTTTTCTTCTTGGCGGGTGGCAAGGGTCAGTCACTGTCCACACAACGACGTCAGGAACAAGGAATAGTGACAAATATGACAAGACAAATAACCAATACTGATATCCTTTATATTCCAACTTTCTATAATATCAAACCTCGTTTTAGTAGTGGCATCAACTCATAGAGCCGTCAGACGGAGAGGTGGTGTACAGTCTAGCGAAAAAGAGCGGAAAATAAATTTGCGCTGCTGTTGTTTCGAATAGGGAATGAAAGTCACTCGCTTCCAAACGTGCTAAGCTGAGACGCAGAGTGTATCAGCAATTGAGAATCAAAAACGTCGGACTGGGCACCAAGGTTTGCTGTGTATAGCAGCACGTTTGTTGAAAGTGGGTATCTACATTGGAAAGGAAATCGCGCTACATGAAGATTATTTCGTTTTGAATGTTTAATGATTCAAAATCTTCATTCTGATAATTCCTCTTGTGTTTTCTTGTCAACAATAGCAGAAAAAATATTGTATGAATATCATTTATCAATGTCGACTGGGATTTCAAGTACAGCTCATATGTGCGAGGTCCAATTATAGTGATGCCTCAGCGCAAAAGATGGGCAAACTTGGCTCCCACCACAGGTTTTGATTTCTATAATACTTCCATCTCAGTTCTCCTGGCGCCTAGACTACAGTCGCCAACGCCTCGGTGGGACCATGCGGAGGCCAAGTCTACGAGTCACCCCCACCGAGGGAGACCAAGACCATTGACAAGATAAGGGCTGTCGGGGAGCTTCTAATAAATCGACAAGACCGCTAATAATGTGTGCGACACACAGAGGCTCACACCAGCCCACCACCGGGCGGACTACCTATCTTGGTATCCACGGCCTTTGTCTAGAACTTTGTAGCAAGCTAGCGATACTTTATTCTTCGTTCCGAACTGTTTCTATTTGTAAGTGTCGCCAAGCGCTAGGGCCACGACACGGGTCCAGGCACAATCAAACCGTCCATGGGTCCTTTGTCTTTACTGATTCGTCGAGAGGCGACCTTGCCCTGCCAAGAATCGGAATTGTATTCTGATTGGTGGCTATTGACGACACTTACCCACTTTTCTTTACTACAAGGCCAATAGCATTGCTTTTTCCCCAACTGGTCCTGGACCGCCTCTAGGTCAACCATGGAACGGCAGCCAATTTCACCCCCTTTTGTGTGTTTTTTTTGTGTGTGAGTTTGCTTTGTGTGTGAACTCCAGTCAAAGAACATTGAGTGCCGGGGAGCACAGTCCGGGCATAAATAGTCAAGACTCAGCTGCTCGGTGGCCATGAACGCAGGGAAAAACTGATTTTAAAAAAAAAAGAAGAAGACAAAGACTGATTATATCGCCAGCCCCATCGCAGCCAAGCACGACCCCACTGCTGTGTCTGCTTTGATCAAAATTTGAGTTCCGGTCAACCTCCGTGGCCATCAAAGGACCGCATTGTAAACGGTCACTTGTGGTTTCTTTCAGCCCAGCCATCGACCGCGCCTCTAACGTCACAAAGCCCCAGTTCGGCTGCCAACCGTCGAGTCCTGCCGAACTGAAATGCTTTCAAGTGGGATCTTGGGTCCATCCTGTGCCTCTGGACCGCCGCCGGGCCCACATGATGACAGGGCGGCGCTGCCAATGATGAACTGCCCATCTAGAATTGCATTTTGCTCACCCAGGGCCAATCACGCCTCTCACCGTTGTAATTCTCGCGCCAATCCTTGGGACAACTGCCTCCCCTTATGAAGCCTCCAATGGCACATCTACAGCCACGCCTCCAACCGCGGTGTCGGCCCTTCTGGACCCAAGGGCGTCCCCTTCTACTTTCTGGCGCCGACGGTGCTGTCCCTCTCTATCCGCCGCTCTTGACCCAAGGATGGAATGTCCAGGCACCAGGCACCGTGGAAAGCGACTGGGTCATATCCTCGTGTCTTCGTCAGCGAGGCAATGGTGGTGGGCCGGCAGATTCTGTTCTCTCCGTCCAAAAGGTATTTATTTCTTCGATTGGTCTGCCTTTGGTTTCTCTTGTTCAACCACACTCTCTTTGACAACAAGTCAGTCACTCTTTACACTCATTTTTTCAATTCCTTCAAGACACTCTTTCTTTTAGGGCTTCACCCATCCACTCTCTCTTCTATTACACACTCACTTTCGGGTCAATCCTTTCCAAAATGCAATTCTCCAAGTCTCTTCTGCTGCTGGCAGCCATCACCACCGGCACCCTCGCTGCTCCTAAGGGCTTCGAGCGCCGCCAGGCCAGCGCTACTGCCTCTGCCACGCCATCTTCCTCATCTTCTGCTGCTGGTGGCTCGTGGTCCTCGACCCCCTCGAGTGGCCAGTACTCAACTTCGGGCTTCGGCGGCCAGACTAGCTCTTCCGGCAGTGGCGTGAGCTACGCCGGTAACGTCGGCAACCCCTACGGCAGCAATATCATCCAGGTGTCCGAGTCGGACGCCAGCCAGTACCAGTACGTTGCTCAGTTCAACGGCCCTAGCTCTGGCACCTGGACCGTCGCCATCTGGAACAAGATCGGCCCCGACGGCCAGATGGACGGCTGGTTCGGCAATGCCGTGCAGACCTTTACCATTTCCTCTGGCGAGACCACGTACGTTGCCTTCGATTCCGACTCCCAGGGTGGCTGGGCTGCCGCCTCCGGCTCTTCCATCCCCACTGACTCCAATGGTGGCTACGCCTCCACCTGGGGTGAGTTCGACTTCGGCTCTACTGGCAACAGCGGCTGGTCTGGCTTCGACGTCTCTGCCATCGCTGCCCAGAATGCCGGCCTCGAGGTTCAGGGCATGCAGATCTGCGACATCCTCTCCAACACCTGCTCCTCCATGACTGAGAACGCTGCCTCCGTCGACAACGCCTACACTACTGCCCAGACTGATGTCGGTGGCATCGGTGGCAACATCTCTGGCGGCGCTGTCCGTCTCGCCGTCACCCTCGACTACAGCGGCTAAGCGGTTTTCTTTCCCTTTAACATGAAAAAAGATTGTACTGTGGATGTTTGACCCCAGCTGGTATGGATTTTGTTTCGATTTGAATATATATCCTTGAGACTAGGCTGGTCCTTTCGCGGGTCGATTCTCATTTCTTGCCTTTGGATCTTTATATATACCAATGTCGTTCGCTTTTTAAAGAGAATATATCCTCTTTTTTCTTGGGAGTATTGTCTCAAAATTGATACAGGCTACTTAAATAGACTTGCAATATCCAAACTTTCAAATATGGCGCTTCATGACCGCATCGCATACGCAATCATTACGATAAGAGGCAATGCACTTCAAGTAGTTCCAAGGTTAATTCCATTGGCCTGAACCTGAGACGATCATGAAGTAAGCCGACTAATGTTTCCATTCCAGGAGATATCTCGACATTTATCATAATGCTCAATTGCCAGATTCATCAATGACAGTTTCGTATTTGCTGATGGAAAAATGAAGATTTATTGCGAAGGGGCATATTACTTCTGCCGGGGGCTGACCAGACCATATAAATCCAGAGGCTTGATGCTGAACGCACCGTTGGAGTGCAAATCATATTTCGGATCTGCCAGCTCGAACGAGACCTCCTTAAGAATACTGGCAAGGGTGAAGAACGACCACCGCCACGCCCAGAGCTTGCCGATGCACTCGCGCTTGCCGTTACCGAAGCCCTTCTTTGCTCCGGCGGGGAGCTTGTCCCACTTCTCGCCGAGGACACGCTCAGGCTTGAACGCTTCGGGGTCTTCAAAAACGGCTGGGTCGCGGTTCACAGAATTGAGGACGGCAATCATAGCCTGGTCGTGGGGTATCTGGTACTCACCACCCGCGAGGAGTATGGGGCTCTTGTCCTTTGAGGGAATAGGCTCGATGTTGAAGCCGGGTGCTGTAGCAGAGAGACGGATCGACTCGCGCAGGATGGCTTCGACGTAGTTTAGCTTCTCGAGGTGAGCCAGGTCGATCTTGTTGTTCGGTCCAACCACCGAATCGATCTCCTCGCAGGCCTTGGTAACGCAGGACGGGTTCTGCATGAGGTAGTACAGAGCGTAGGATACGAGGTTCGGTGCCGTCGCAGCGCCGATGAAAACGGTAACAATCTCATCGATCACCTGTGAGTCCTCAAGTTTCTTTCCGCTCTCGGGATCCGTGCCATTTATTAGTGAACCCAGCAAGTACTTGCTAGTAATCTCCGGGTTTTTTTTCCCGGTCTTCACAACCTCGGCCGCGAAACCGCGCATGATCTTTGTGTCCTTCTCAAAGCGGCGCTGGTACACCAGCCAGTTTAAAAGTTTGGGTCGAGTAGGCCGCTTCATCGCCTCCATGGTGGCACCGTCCATGGCCTTGAGCAGGGGAGGTTCCTGACCTTCCAAGACATTGATTCGCTGGCCGAAGAAACACTGCATGCAGGACGCCATGAGCATCCGGTCCAAGTCGTTTGTGAGCAAAACCTTCTTCTTGTTTCCCGAGGACCACTTTTTCGTCAAGTCCGAAATCACATCTGCCATATCGTTGAACAGACCGTCGGTCGCGGACTGCGTGAGGTGCGGCATCATGATCCGGTGTGCGATGCCCCAGCTCTTTTCATCATCGTATGCGGTGAACAGACTGTCGTGTACGGAGTATCGGATTTCCACCACGGGTCCGGTCACGCACTTGCGGAATCGCTTCTGGTCGCAGATCTCTTCAAGAAGGGCCACGCTACCGACAAAGACGATTTGCGTGCCCAGGGCGTTGATTTTGAAGATAGGGCCTGTCCGATTAATCGATTGAGCCAAAGATGGTACGAAATTGCCACTTACCATATTGCTTGGCCAACTTGTTTAGCGAATTCCATGTTTCATTGGGGTTGACATCGAACACATTGCCCAGAAGCGGGACACCAGGCGGCTGTGGGATTTCACTGGGCATAATGTGGATATGGGAGACTTTTTTGCTCTAGAATACAGACTGGGGGAGCAAAGACAACCCAATCGATGTAGTAAACTGCAAGTAGCCAGGGAGGAAAGGGGGCGGGCAGGCCAGCTTAAAGCGCCGGCAGCTTTTCACCGATCTTCAGCTGGCAGGCTGACCCGATCGGCCACAGATCGTGACAGCCTCGTTGATTGGGGGACGAGCGGATCTGGCGCTCGGCTGGGCTCCATCGTTCATCGACAGGTTCGGCCTAGCTAAAGAGATCGGCGCGATTGTGGTGTAATAGCGCAGACTGGCGGGCGCTGATCTAGCCGGGATTGGCAGACCATCAGACTATCCGAGGGCCCATCTGCAGCCATCTGGAGACACTACGGGCTGTAGTACAACCACTGAGACAATAGGGTTCCTCACAATTGTCAGCCGTCAGATTCTGCAGAGCTAGGCCTCGGGTTGCACGAGGGATAGCTCTCCACGGCTCAAACGAGTCCTGACCGCTCACATTCACACCACGTTGGCCCGATGGGGGTAATTCGATTTATCAGCATCAACCCGTCAAGGCGTGTGTGGGCTGTCGACTATGAGCTCGGACTCGGTGGGTCCGGTGGTTGCTAGGAAACTGACATCATGGTGATATGTGCCGGCGGAGGCGAATCATAATGTCCATTCGTAGCTCATCTTATGCCGCCTGCAAGGATTTCATCGTCATGGCGCAGCCATACCCATACCCACCTATCCCCGCCGATTGTGTGGACCGACAAGGGACGCTGCCGGTGGGTTCTAGCCACTCGCCGCGGGAGTCGAGTCTGGTGTCAAGTCGGTTTATAAAAGTAGCGTATGTAGCAAAATAAATCAGTGCTCACTCTCCGTCCTGATCTGCAGAAGCGACCTCCGACGAGTGATGCGCCATAGAAGAGGCGGCCGCCAGAGCTCTGCAAGAGGGCTTTGTGACGCTGAGCAATCAACGCCTGCATCGCACGCACCACCGCTCGCCGACGCCGTGTCCCTTTATGTTCAAGACGACCAAGACGACTGGCAACAAACTCTGGGTGTCGATTTCCGGATTCATGATCGTCTTATTCAGAATCGCAAGGATATCGAAGCGTCGTGGTTGGAGGGATATGTGCCCTCGTTTGGCTTCCTGCGACTGGGATATGATGTCGCCGTGCATTATTCCACCAAGACAGTGGTGAGGAGCGGCAATCCCGTTCGCAAGGAGTTGCTGTGCTCACACACGGATTCATTGATGTGAAGACGCCCCAAGAGAAGACAGTGCACAAGGTTTCAGGATGGGAAGCCCGGTTGAAGTCCATCTTGTGCAGGTCCGCATCGATGAATGTGAAAGACGTGGTGAAGATGAAATCCACCGAGAACTCGCCCCTAGGTAAAAGCGTGTGGCTCGTCGAGGAGCCGAAAGAGGTATGACTATCGAGCATGACACCTCGGTCGTCACCAGCGACCGGCTGCCCAAAGGGTCGAATCCCCCAGGGGCAGCGAGATTTGTCGGCTGGGGTGACTATCGCGACGGCCTGGAAGGTCATTTTGCTTTCGCCATGGCCCTCAATGCTGTCAGCGAACAGCCCCAGGAGGAGAATCGACGAGACCCATTTGGCACTTTGCAGAAGGCCTTTGTTGAAAGGACCGAGTATCTATGGGATCGCAAAGCGCGTACCCAGTCCTTCGCCCTTCTCTGGCGGGCCATGTTCGACGACACCGACATGGAAGGCCTGTCGGGCTCGGTGCTCTGTATGGGCCAACCCACGGATTCCACTTGTCGTGCGGTCGTCTTCAAACATTTTGAGACGCCGATCTGTCCATAGCACTTCTGGGTGGCGGACGTGGCGTCAGCTCGGGGGGGTTAGTCCCTGGTCGTGTATTAAGGGAGGTTTTCTGCTCCCGCCAGACATCCGGCGGAATGCTGAGATCGGGTGTGAGACCGATGCATCGTCACCGGTCCCATCAGAGGGCCAAATGTGGGACATAGAGTATGTCCAATTAATACAAATTTTATCCGCCTAGCATCTGAGCAGCCGGGCGGTATATATATAGCGAAAACTGCATAACGTTGCTACTTTTCTAATTAGGCCGTATCCATATCTTCAATAAAGATGTCGCCCTGTTCTTCTGAACTCACTCTCTGACTGTTTATATCATTGAAGCCATGATCGGCGGGTTTAATAATGTCTCCTCCTATCATCAACGGATTGTATAGGAAGGCGACGTTTCGTACATCGTGAATCCGTTCTTTATCTTGGACACATAATTTTGGGTAGCAGGGACGGTCGTTAAACCCCGAGGTCGTAAATCTAAGAATGCCCAACAATTTAAGGGCGGAACTAACTACTGTAATCATCGGCTAGTCAAAATTAGGAAATGCCGTGAGGGCCCGAACTTTGACAATAATAACTCTTGTGAAGTCGTCGTCGTCGTCTCCACCGGTAGATAAGTAAGCTTTTGCTCTAGTTTCATTTAAATCCCGCGTTCCTTTCCCTTCATTCTCCCCATCATTATTGCCCACCATGACCGAGCACAATATGGTCGCCAAAATCCTAGGCGAATTGGGCCTGGTCACCATGTGGCAGTCGTCGCGCGACATCAAGCTGCTGTGTGCCCAGCGTTTCGTGCGCATGTTTGCCTACTTCGGCTCCACGCTGATTCTAGTTTCATATTTGTCGGCCATGGGCAATTCGGACGACCGCATCGGCCTCTTCATGACGCTGACCCTGGCCGGTGATGTCGTGATCAGTTTTTTCCTCACCCTCTGTGCCGATGCCATGGGTCGCCGCGCGGTTTTGTCGCTCGGCTCCATCCTCATGGCCGGCAGCGGGGTTGTTTTTGCACGATTCAATAATTACTGGGTACTGTTGGCGGCCGCGGTCCTTGGTGTGATCAGTCCCAGGTATGTATTGTCATTGACTATTTTTTCCTTGGTGGTTGACTAATGGCTGATGCCTGGCAGTGGAGGTGAAATTGGCCCCTTCCGCGCCATCGAGGAGTCCACGCTGGCGCATCTCACGCCGGAGGAGCATCTGAGCGATGTTTTCGCCTGGTACTCCCTCATCGGCACCGCAGGCTCGGCCTTGGGCAGTTTGATCTGCGGATGGATCCTGACTTCGCTTCAGTCGATCCACGGTTGGGAATTTATTCCTGCGTGTCGCGCCTTCTTTCTGGTCTACGCGGGCATCGGCGTGGTCAAGCTCCTTCTGACCCTGACCCTGAGTCACAAAGTGGAAGCAGCGCCGAAAGCAAAGAACCAAGAGGCGCAGGCCCAGACACCAGACCAGGGACAGGAGAATTCGGAAACCCGACCGTTGCTGGCTGACCAGAGCCAGTCTGATCAAGCCCCACCGAAAAAGAAGAAGCTCTTCCAATCGATTGAGAAAGACCTCTTGTCGCTCGTGATCCGGCTGTTTATCCTGTTCGGGCTGGATGCCTTCGCGTCCGGTTTGGCAACGCAGTAAGTGGAAACACTACAATACGTTTTTCCTGCTTGCTAATAAGGGCTAGGTCCTGGATGACAAGCTTCTTCAAGCGCAAGTTCTCCCTGCCCGAGGGCGAGCTTGGAACCATCTTCTCCATCAGCAGTCTCATCTCGGCGGCGTCCATGCTGGTCGCATCTTCCATTGCCAAGCGCATCGGCAATGTCAAGGTACGATAGTTGACTGCCCTTAAAAACCTTTGATTCTAATTCACTACAGACCATGGTCTTTACGCACCTGCCATCGGCAGTCTGTCTATCTCTCATCTCGGTGATGCCCTCACTGCCGCTGGCACTGACCTTCCTGATTCTGCGAGCATGCTCACAAAGCATGGATGTGGCCCCGCGGTCCGCATTCCTGGCCGCCGCGCTGCCCGCGGACAAGCGCACGGCGATCATGGGCGCCGTGAATGTTGTCAAAACACTCAGTCAGACCATGGGGCCGTTGATCACGGGCGTTCTGGCACGCAACCAGCTCTTCGGTGTCTCGTTCATTATCGCGGGTTGTTTGAAGGTGATCTATGACCTGGGGATGCTCTTTAGCTTTGCGGGCAAAGAGGCCGCGAAGCGCAAGCCGACGGAGCAGGATGAGGAACAGGAAGGACGGTAGGACCCTGTTGGTTTTTGGGTCCAAAATAGAAACCGAAGGATTCGTTACCCTCTGACATTTTCCAATGGTTCGAGCCACCCACGTAAGCACGTTATGTTTGGGATAGTTAGGCAGACGCTTTTTAGAGTTTAGGGGCCAGTATGTATAAGCCAAACGAAGCTTTGTGGCCGCGCTGGGCGATGTTCTCCAGGCCATGGCTTCCACTCATGTCTTCATTCCCCTAGAGCGCATCTCGGAAGAGCCGGGGTCAATGGAGATGAACCCGGTGCCGCTCTGGACGAAGCAGCCGCGCTCCTCGTGGTGGAAATGCTCCCATGAGCGCTGCAACTCCCGACCCTGGTCGACCAGAGCGCTCTTCTGTCGAGCAGTGCTGCGACCGCTATGTGCTCTGGTGTTCTTTCTGTATGTTATTTCCCTTGTGAGAAGGTCAGAAAACTCATCTTCAGCAGCGGCCTCCTCAAGATCTTAGCCCTAAGTTGGCACGGCCTCGTCTTTCTCTTCCCCGTCCTCGACGCTCACCTGGAGCCCTTGTTTCTTTCGTACGACACATCCATATTCCCGCATTGGTCGACTCACGGCGTGATCCCTGTACCCTGTCACTCCCACAATGACTACTGGCGTCGCGTACCGCTACAATCCGCTCTCGCCGCTGGTTGTATCAGTGTCGAGACTGATGTCTGGCTGTCCGACGATGAACTATTGGTCGGCCATACCCAGTACACGCTCTCGTCAGAGCAGACTTTGCGCAAACTGTATCTCGAGCCACTAAGGCGGATGCTCTACAAACACAATGCGATGGCCGAAAATGTTACCCGGAGTACGAGTACCGATGACATCGCGGGTGTGTTTACAACGGATCCTGCCCAGACCCTCTTGCTTCTGGTCGATGTCAAAGACAATGGCGAGAAGACCTGGTCTCATCTGGTAAAGCAGCTAGAACCGTTGCGACAAGACGGGTTTCTTAGCTATGTAAATGGCTCAGACCTGATTCAGCGGCCTATCACTGTTGTCGTAACGGGCAACGCATCATTCAACCATGTTTTAGAGAACACTCCGAGAGATGTCTTCTATGATGCTCCCCTCGATGAGTTGAGCACTGCACTGGATTCTCCACCAGCTCAATCGAGTGCAGCTTCTCGCTCCAAAATCGCCCCCGGGGTTCCTTACACCCCTCTCAACAGTTACTACGCCTCAGCGGACTTCCGCGAAACAATAGGCTCCGTCGCGCTCAATCGTTTCTCACAAGGCCAGCTCGTGCGACTCCGCAGGCAGGTGAAGGCGGCGCACGACCTTGGACTGAAGGTACGGTACTGGGGCACGCCTAACTGGCCTCGTGGCCTGCGGAATCACGTTTGGCAAGTCCTTGTGCAGGAGGGCGTCGATGTGATTAGTACGGATGATCTCAAGGATGCTACCAGTCAGGATTGGAGGAAGCATCGTGGATGGTGGGGTTGAAATTTTTTTGAAATTTTTTTTTTCGCTTTTGGAATTTGAGCTTGGGGTCTGGCGCCGGCGCTTGTTATACATAGTTCCATGTCAAATCTCCTTTTCGACACCTACCTACACTTACACCACAGCAATAATTGATGGTAGATAGGAATAGATGTATATGAACAAATTCTCGTTCGGCACCGTCCGACAATGTCAAGTCCCCACGCGGCAGGTGGTAAAAAATCCGGGCCCCACCCAGCTCCCCGGAAGGCTTTCTTCAGAATTTTTCTTGGCTTAGCCGGGATGGCATTGTTGCATACATTTCTGCAGAAGCCTAGTCTCTGAAACATCGGTGCTATTGGCTAATGCTGGCATAATTCTATCACTTTATTCATTCGGGCTGCCATTCGCCAAAAATCCGGACTTAAAGAAGAACTGGAGAAAGTTTGCCCAGCATGAGTGACGAAGAATCAAATGGAGCCGAGGAATTCCTCAAAGAGGATGCGGACAGAAAGTACTTGGAGCCTTTTGGCAATGAGGAGACAGCAGAGGTCAAGTACCGGACTATGAAGTGGTGGTGAGTGGCCAGCTCCTGGTTGACCGAAATATTGTCAAGGCTAATCATGGATAATAAGGCACTGTGGAATGCGTGAGCTCTAAGAATCACCTGCCATTGAACCCCTGAATTCTAACAAAAATCACAGTCATGATCGCAGAGAATGTCTCGGTGGGAATCCTTTCTCTACCCTCTGCAGTGGCCACCCTTGGAATGGCTCCGTATGTATCTTTCTCCTCTTTGAAGGCACATTGATTAACATTTCAATACAGCGCTGCAATCATGATTTTGTTCATCTCAGCTCTTTCATGGTACACTGGCTATGCGATTGGCCAATTCAAACTCCGCCATCCCGAGATTCACAGCATGGGCGATGCTGGCGAGCTCTTGATGGGCCGTTTTGGCCGCGAATTGCTGGGTCTCGGCCAGCTACTGTTGCTGATCTTTCTCTGCGCAAGCAACATCTTGATGTTTAACATTTTGATGAATGTACTGACAAATCACGGCACCTGCACATTGGTCTTTGGTGTCGTTGGACTGGTCATTTGCTTCCTAGGCGCCTTGCCACGTACAATGGATAAAGTCTACTGGATGTCTGTTGTTTGTGAGTGCAGCCTTCAAAAGTCCTCATCTGATAATGCAGTCTGACTGACCTGCATTCAGCATTCTTGAGCGTTTTCGTTGCGACGGTGGTAACCATGATCGCTGCGGGTGTCGAGACAAAAGGTCATATTCCGCTCCAAGCCACAACGACAGTCGGCTTCCGTGAGGGCTTTCTGTCGGTGACCAACATCATTTTCGCTTACCGTAAGTTGAAATACTCTGTACTATTGCCAAGTGGACCAAGTTAATCTGATCTTCTAGTCGCCCATGTTGCGTACTTTGGCTTCATGTCCGAGACGGAAGACCCCCGCACCTTCAACAAGTCGCTTGCAATGCTTCAAATTGTCGACACAGTCCTGTACTTGATTAGCGCACTGATAATCTATCGCTACGTGGGACCCGATGTCCAGTCGCCTGCCATCTTATCTCTGAGTCCCTTGATGAGCAAGATCGCCTGGGGTCTAGCCATCCCGACGGTGAGTCCTTGACCAATAATCTGCATCTCCCCGGCCCATTAATTGAATAAGTACAGACCATCCTCTCCGGTGTCGTTTTGGGTCATGTCGCGTGTAAATACATCTACGTGCGCCTTTTCCGCGGCTCCGACAAAATGCACAGCCGAAGTTTCCTATCAATTGGGTCCTGGGTTGCGATTTGTCTCGCAGTCTGGGTCGTCTCTTGGGTCGTTGCGGAATCGATCCCTGTTTTTAATGACCTTCTGAGTCTCATTGTATGTCTCGAGATACGTTGTACCCCGACTTGAAACGCTGGCTAATGTAGAGATTACCCACAGAGTGCACTATTCGGAAGCTGGTTCAGCTGTATGTTCGAGACCCCTTTCGATGTATAAACTAATGCTGACTTGAACTGAATAGTCGGACTTCCTGCCATCTTTTGGTTACATATGAACCAAGGCCAATACTTTCGGAACATCAGGAAGACTATTTTGACGATATGGAATATTCTGATCTTAGCCATTGCCTGTGCTATTGTGAGTCTCTTATTGCTTGTCTATTTTCCACCCCAGTTCATGACTGACTTTTCTAGTGCGGATTGGGTCTATACGTGTCGGGAGTCGCGATTCACAACGACTCCGGTTCCCAGAGTTGGTCTTGTGCTAATGATGTGTAATGATTGGAAAGCATCACACCTTGCAGGAAGAGGGCTTGTAATTTTTTTAGATCGTTACCGGGATACAGCCAGCCCTCGATTCGTACTCAGGTAACATAAAAGATAGAACATAGAAGAGAGAACATAGAAGATAGACATAGAAGAGAGTCAACAACGGTACATTCAAATACAACGCTTACCATTGCTTGTCACTTGCTTCGTGCTGCTCTATACCGAAACATAGTTCACGGTCTCCTTTTCCTGGTCATTATAGTTCTTGTTTCTCTCGGCCTTATAGGACCATGATGAACTCTGGGTTGCGATCATCGTTATACCCTGCATATTGATCATACTTCCCGTTCTTCTTGTCACGGTTGACCTTCATACAGTAGAGCACGTTGAATAAAATCCTGTTAATATCAATTGTCAGTAGACGATCTATTGAGAAAGTTGCAGCAAAACATACATGAACCAAGCAAATACCAACAGTCCCAGAATAATCGTATGGCCCCTGTGGAATAGTGGGGCGTCTTTAGTTGGATAGTTGAATGCTGTGATAGAAGAGGGAGTCAGAACATCTGATCACGTTTCTGGAAAGGAATACGCATACTCGCAACAAACCCGCCGCAGTTCGCAATCGCCAGCTGCAGCGCCGATGTGGTAGCCCGCTTGTAGTGGCCCGCGGAGTTGTTTGCCATCCAGACCAGAATGCAGGGCACGCTGGCGTACATCCCCGTGGCCATGAGAAAAGTCATTCCATACTGAACGAGAGGTGAGTCAATATTGGCAATAACGGCATAACCGATAATGGCGATTGGGAGCGTGAAAAGCATGACGATTCCTCGGAGGCGAAGTCGATCCGAGACAATTGCGACGACAACTGCAAGCGAGTGAGTATGCCGCTGAATCTAAGTCGACTTAGAGATTCCTACCTGTGAGGACAGATGCCACGGCGTACGGAATCACAGACCACAATTGGACGTCATTGGCGTTCCCAGCAAACCCGAGATTTTCGATTATGGTCGGTAGCTGCCAAGTATTAGACATGTTCCAGAAACCTCAAGCCGGGACACATACAAACAGGCCAAATGAGTAAAGTCCGGACAAAACAGCAAAATACGCCGACGCAGAGAGCCACACTTGCGGCTCTAAGCAGCCACGCCGCACTTCGGACCACTTGAAAGCTTCTTGCTCGGCGACCAGGACCCTGTTCTGGTTAGGAAGGAATTACAATAGGTTTCTGGGCTTAGTCACCCATCCGGAGTTCGAGGACTATCCATCGATAACCTCTCCCGACCAAACTCACGCTCTTCAGCCGTCAAGAAAGAGGATGTCTCCAAGGAATTGGGAAGGAGGATGTAGCTCAACACGCCACACACAACAGTCTGTCAATGATCAGTACAAGGATTCGCCTTGATAGCACAATAGCTCACTCACCAAGAGTCCTTCTATGATGAAGATCCTATCGATAAATTAGCGAACGCTTTCACACAATCTGCTTCATTACCGCACCATCTCCAACCCTCCGCCAAGCCTCTAGGGGCAATCGCAGCCAGCCCGCGCGCAAGAAGCCCCCCAAAGGCACCGGACAGCGAGGCTGCTATATAAAACAGACCAATGCGTAGTGCGAGATCGCTCCGTTTATAGAAGGCAGACAAATATAACACCTATGCAAGCGGTTATTTTCCCATCGTGGAAATCCCTTTAGGAGACGCATACTATGCCGGGAAGCAGGCCACCCTCCGCAATACCCAACATAGCCCGCACCGCCACGAACCCGCCATAATTCCGCACAAACCCCAGGCACATCGTAATGATACCCCACGCGACTGTCAGGAATGGAAGCCAGATCTTAGGCGAAGCCTTCTTGAGCACGAGATTGCTCGGCACCTCACTAGTTTGTGTGTCAATTGTTAGCGCAAGTCGGGGAAAACAAGAAAAAAAAAGGGGGGGACAGCTCACCTGCAAATATAGAACAGGTAGTACACCGTCAAACCAATATCATATTCGTGGTCCGAGATATGGATATCGTCCTCCAGCCCGATAATCTTGGCGTTTCCCACATTCGTGCGATCGAGAAAAGAGCACAGAAAAAGGAGAGCCAGTATCGGAAGGATTCTGAAGTCGAGCTTCATCAGAAGCCGTCGCGTCAGCTTTTCCTGGTGCGCGACATCACCGAATCGCTCCAGCGGCACTGGCGCCTGCTTGGCTTCCTCCAGCTCCACTGTTCTGGATTTGCGCTCCATTGTTCAGAACTGATTTTTTGAGACAGAGGTCCTTGGGAATACAATCAGCAAGGGAGGGAATAATACAGAGTGACCAGCAGCAGGAGTGGAGGAGTTGAAGAAGCGACAAATAGTGAAAACCCCCCTAGTTATCGGCGGCCACTTCTAGAGCCCGCGCAGCTTGCCTCGGTGTGTGGTTATTGGTGCTTCCCCGCAAAACCCCGGGTTTTGTGTTGGGAATTGTCGGGGCCAGATCTGCTACCCGTGCCAAGAGGCAAAGAGAAAGTAAGAAATTGGAAGTCCGAGTAATATGACTGACTTCTAGGGAAATATTCGGAATGCAGTCTGATTCTATACGAGCTATCTTAACACGATATACATTTACTCCATGATCTCCAAGTTCTCAGCAATGCTAAACTTGGCCCCGGTCTTCTGCTGCACCTCCTCGACCTCCACCCCCGGTGCCAGTTCGGTCAGAGTGAGCTCTCCAGTGGCCCGGTTGACCTGGAAGACACACTGCGATCATCATTAGTGACTTCTTTGACAATTGGGAAATTCTCACTTACCAAGTCAGTAATGATAGTGCTGACCACATTGGCACCCGTCAACGGCAGGCTACACTCCTGGACGATCTTGGGGGAGCCGTCCTTGGCCACATGGCTGGTGGCCACGACAATCTTGGTCTTTTCCGGGTTCGATATCAGGTCCATGGCTCCACCCATTCCCTTGAACACCTTGCCGGGGATCATGTAGTTGGCCAGGTCGCCGTTGGCGCTAACTTGGAGAGCCTACGAAGCGTCCGTTAGTTCAAGAGCTTCACGCTTGGGGTAATTGACATACACCGAGTATAGACACGTCCACATGGCCACCACGGATCATACCAAATGATTCAGTGCTGTCAAATGTTGCGGCACCGGGAACAAGTGTGACGGTTTCCTTTCCAGCGTTGATGATGTCCCTGCCTCTCATGTTAGAAAATTGAAGCCAATAGCCAGACTGGAATACCTACGGATCTAATTCTTCTTCTGTGGGATATTCGCCCTTCATCTAGTTAGTGTCTGTACTCGAACCGATTCCGATAGTCATCGGCTTACCATTCCCAGGATACCATTCTCCGACTGAATCCAGACCTTGACATCCTTGGGCAAGTACGACGGTGCCAGTGTGGGAATTCCGACACCCAGATTGACATAATACCCCTGCTTGAGCTCCTTGGCCGCCCGACGCGCGATTCGGTTTCTCTCAATCAAGGCTGCGTCTTGAGTGGGCTCAGTCGCGCTGTGTTCGTTCGTGCGCAGCTTCTTAATCTCAATGTGCTTCTCGTCGGTCGCCGGCACAACACGGTCCACGAAGATGCCGGGAAGATCCACATCATTCGGGTCAATAGAACCAATGGGTACAATATTCTCAGCTTCAACAATAGTCAGGGTCGCTGCCTTGGCCATAATGGGACCGAAGGCCTTCGTTGTATACCTGACCAAGCAGGTGAATCAGCAATCATCAGCCCATTTACACTTGTGTACGTACCGGAACACGCAGTTTCCAGCCTCATCTGCCTTCCACGCCCGAATAATCGCCACATCACCCGTCAGTGCGGTCTCCATCAAGTACGATTTGCCATTGAATTCTCGCGTCTCGCGCGGCTTGCCATTTTCCAACACCTTGCCCGACTGATCCATGCGGACAGGGATTTTGCCTTCTTGGATAAATGTGCCTATGTGTGAATCAGTATGAGAACTTTATTCGCGAGATGACACGACCACTAACGGACACCAGTCGGAGTGTAGAATGCCGGGATACCCGCGCCTCCAGCCCGCAAACGCTCAGCTAAGGTGCCTTGGGGACAGAGCTCAATGGCAATATTTCCCGATAGGTACTTCTTCTCCAGTGCCTTGTTGTTCCCCAAATACGAAAGGATCAGCCGGTTCAGTTGGCCATTCTGTGACAGCGTCGAGAGGCCGCCCTTGCCCGCGGCACCGGCATTATTCGAGACCGCGGTCAGCGAGTGTAATTGATCGGCACCTCGGCGGTGCATCGCATTGATCAACGTTTCTGATTCCGGTCAGTTCTCTCTCGTGCACAATTTCCACTGACCATACCTGCCACCCCGCACAGTCCAAACCCGGAGCTGAGGATCGTGGATCCGCTCTTGATGTCGGCGACGGCGGCGTCAGCATCCTTGAACAATTTGGAGCCACCGCGTTCGACTTTTGGCGCTAGTGACGGAGCTGGTGTGGTTGTCGAGTATTTGCGGTCGCCATCGCGCGCCTTTGCTATCGGCGCAAAGGAATGCCCGCTTCGGCACCGAACGCCAAGATACAATCGAGGTCGGCAGGTGGTGATCACTCTTTGCGACAGAGATGCAGTTGAGATGCGCATGGTTGCCATATTTACGACTGGAGGCAAAAGATCATCGAAGCAAAAAGAGAAATTCCGCGATTTAATATGTTGCCATGCGCGGACGGCGGGGCCAGATCTGGGTGCCGAATGTGGGACCAGCACATTCGGCATCAAGATTTACTTGACGTCATATCACCAAGGCATAATAAATCTCCTTGCCGTATAATACAGAGTATATTCGAGGTAGGCTAGCTAGCACACTCTCAAAGACCAAAATCCGTACTGACAAAGTCAAGCCAATCCCAGCTAAGCATATTATCCATAGACACATCGGGAATAGATGCTCCAAACGCAGTACCAGCTCGATTGACCGCATCAATGATCTGACCATCTGACATAGCAGAAAACTGCAACGGCTCCGACCAAAGATCTTCGGGGGGTAATAATGAGGACTGAGCGACGGGCAATGTAGGATCATGGTTATCATCCAAGCAAGCGGGCTGGAGAACAGTTTCTGGTTGATCGAGTCGGGGTTGAGAATTGGGGTTGATTGCAGGTGCGCGTCGAATCAATTCCCTCAGAAACCTTCCATAAAGCACCGAAGCCCCATTTCGATGGCTTGGTGTGGCCCCAATCCGTTCTAGGACACCAGCTGTTTCTTCAATGAGAGTTCGAACGCTGGGTGCTAAGCTGGACCTGCTGTCGCCTGGGGTGACGCTTAGACTGAGAGCTGAGCATGCAGCAAAGGAGATCATGATGACAGTATTGTTGGGCATAGACTTGAGTCGGGATTCGCCCTGTATAGCGGCTCGGAGAACATTCAACGCGGAAGAAAGCCCGGCAGCCCGGAAAAAGCGCTTCACTTCAACGGGAGCCGTGGGGTGGTTAATGACACCGCCGTATGTGGAGAGCTGAGTATGGGTAACCAAGATCTCAACGTATGGCGGTAGCGACCGAGCTGTTTGTTGATGAGCACCATGTCTTTTGAAGGGAGCATCATACTCACATTCCCCTTCACCAATGGCTAATGCCCATGTCGCATACCACTGCTCGTAGAAGCTCTCAATGGTTTTCTTGATTCTGTATCATAATCAGCAACCATCTGGACATCAGAATGTAGAGCATACGTTTGCGCCGCCTCAGCCCCGGTGTCAACAACACGATAACTATCACAGCTCGACTTGGCTTTTCTGAATAGATCATCCAGGTCTCTTCTTAGAACAGCCATGGAATTCATGGGTCCATCGCGTAAATCTGCAACGTCGGAATCATGCCAGTGATCGCAATGCTCAATGAGTGCCGTTGGAGGCACAGTATAGCTTCTTCCGCGAGCGAGACAGACACTAAATCTGTGTTAGAGAAAAGTTATTTCGCTGATTGGGAAGAAGGCCTACCCCCTTTCCACGACAAATAAAGCAATCCAGGTCCGTTCTCGTCGTCGAAGCAATCGCCTCCCCCATTTCGAGGCCGGATCGATATCATCGAATCCATCCATATGCAATGCCCGTTTAGCGTCGATACAGTCCGCTTTTGCGAGCCGGCTCAGCAATCCCTGGTCAAAGCTCGAGGACGGTACGACAATTTTGTTCAAGGACAGATCCAAAGCCACAGTGAGTGCCATGGCGAGATATGAGCAAGTATCATCATCCCCCAGGCTATCACCGGGAGCCATCCATGGAACATGCACCATGAAAGCCAAGACAATCTCGACGGATCGATGTCGATGCGTGATCACCCGCTCTGCGAGCCATTTGCAATGTCTCGACAACCTCGTGGACAACGCAGCTGCAGATGGCAAAAACAAGGCTGATGCGGCTAAAATGGAAGTAAAGAGGAATGCAGACTGAGAGCGCACGAAAGAAGCACTGTGTATTAAAGGATCCAGGCCCCATCGCGTATGTGCCAGACTCTGATAGAAACTGCTCGAGAATCAGCGTCATCATTCCAAACACCGGGGGAGATACTTACAATGAGAACAAGGACTCTGCTTCATCAAATGTGACGAGTCCCAAATCCACAGGGTCCAGCTCCGGACCTATATCCAAACTCGCTCTCGCTTGAACAAAAAACGGCTGTGCGCTCGATTCCGCAAGCACGCCGGTGGTCTCCGGTGGCAGTGTCGGCAGCGCCACAGAAGGCAATGGTGATGTGTTGGGTACATGGTGCCTCTCTGATGGAGAGAGTTGGAGATCAGAGGCCCGCGCAAGAAGCTGCAGGGGGTTCTCTGCATCATCGAGAGTCAGACTCTCATCTGCATGGGTGTCTCGCTGGGGAGAGGGCAAATTGCGCAGATGATGAGAACTGTCGGCAAATTCACTGGCTGTGTTCTGTACTAGATGGCCCTGGACTTTATCTAGTAGCTCTTGCAAACCCGAAATCGCCCTTTGGGCATCATCGGTCCCAGGACCATCCCCAGAATCCACCCGCGGCCGCTTGATAGCCTGCTCGATTTGGTGGATGGCCTTCTCCAATCCTTTTCGTTTACTGTAAAACCATCAGCATTCATTTATTTGCCAACTACACGAGAATCATACTTCTTGACTCCCTTCTGCCGCCCTAGGTGGTGACTAGGAACAATGCAGTCGGCATTGGCGTGTCTGCATTTCTCGCAGCGCGCCTCGCCGGGCAGGCGGTTGCAGCGGATTTTGCTCCGGCGGCAGTTCAGACACGCCGCTTGCTTGCCCTGCTGCGATTGTGGTGGCCGTGCTGTATCGGCCTCCATTATAGGATGGGCGGTGTCTCCGCGGGCTCCATCCGGCCGAGGTGGATGAAAATGGGGGCTGCACTAGCAAGGGACGGGAAGAATAATCACAATAGTCAGGCCCGACAAATGACTTCGTCGGCGTACTCCCGGTTGATTCCTGTTCAACTCCGGCCTTGGGCTTTAGTGGGTAACGAGTATTGCTCGGATATCCACCAACATCATCATCACATCCCATCTAGCCTGATAATTGAATATCCCTCCCATCATTTTCGGTAGTTGGATCATGATCCTCAGTTTGCAGCTAAGCCCTGCCGGGCTAGCTCAATCGGTAGAGCGTGAGACTCTTAATCTCAAGGCTGCGGGTTCGACCCCCGCGTTCGGCTATTCCTATTCAACTTGAGATCTTTTTTTGGTTAAAATTTTTTAATGCTGGAGCATGGTTTCTCGATGCTGGGATGAAATTATTAATAGCTCTAGTCAGTTTCTTGTCCTTTGTTTCTAAGAGACAGTAGTATTGAATGGACATTTGAGTTGGTAAGTGAGAAGTCAATAATGATGGGATGGACACACAATATATAATACCAAAGCCGTCCAGCAAATAATTACTCGATCTTTTTGTATAAGGAATCTAGTTGACTCGAAGTTAGTGAAATTTGTTTCTATCCTTGATTAAGATTAAGTACACTTTTTATACTATGTTGTTGGGACAACATCGGTTCCATCTGATCTCCAGCTCCATGCCTCCCATCAACGATTATGGCATCGATCACTGGGCACGCCCAATTTCCTCGTCGGACCGAGCCCCGGACGCCTCGGGCCTCGCGGACTGGGCATGCGGCACCTCACCCATCTCAGGGCGTGTACTTTCAGACGGACCATCAGCCGATCCTGTCCGCGATGCCGCCGGTGTCTCCTGCAGCAAGGGCGGGCCAGATGTTTTGACGGCCTTTTTGCTGACACGAGCAGGAGGGCCGCCAAGCATCGGCGGATACTTGTACCGGAATCCCCACACGAAGAACAGACGCAACTTCGTCCATCCACTCATAGCATCCCACTTCTTCTTCAGCTCCGCCGACTCCGACTGCGTGCGAGCCCGGAAGCCCCTCCGCCGGAAAATGAGCAACAGGAGTGTGATGGGGAAGATGAGAAAGGCCCACATCACAGGCAGACCCCTGCGGGTCTGCCAGCCCGTCATCATGCGTCGGAAGCGGACCCAGGCCTCGATGAACCCAATGATGAGGATCAGTCCGAACCAGCCCAGGATACAGATCATCACGATCGCAAACCAGGAGATGCCCATCCCCCAGGGGTCGAAGAACCAGTTTTCTTCGTTGTAGTCTCCATCATAGCCGGAATAGTAGTATGGGTAGTCGTTCGGCGGCGTGTATTGGCAGCCCGAGTCGTAGTAGAGGCTAGTGGGCGCGTATTCGGCACTCAATGAAGCCAGGGTGCGGGTGGGAACCTGCGTGGGAGCCACCCACACCTGGTCGATGGTCCATGTCGTCGGCTGGAATGGTTGGGCATTGTCCACCGAGGTCGAGGTCGACACCGAGGTTCTGGGCAGCGCACTGCCCACCAGGGCCGGAGGAGTCACCACGGCAGAGGTGGTCGTAGTGAACTGCGTCGAGCAGCCTGCAGAGGCAGTATAGACCAGGTTGACATAGTAAACGGTGGTACGGTAGAAATTGTCCGCGGAGAGCTGAATATCATTCACTGGCACACCGGCGCCGGTGGGATACAACTGTTCGATCACAGTGACGTCTGAGGCATAGTACCCGCTACCCGTCGAAGTGATAGTCGAGAGAACATCGGGCATGACCGTCGCCGTCGGGCTGATGGATTCGATGGAGGTAATCACCTCGACCTCGGTGGACGCCCAGTAGTAGGGGTGATTGGTCATGACCACCTTTTCAAAGTCGTCCGTCACAATCCATGGCGCAGCAAGAACGACCGGAGTCCAAACGAGTGACAAGAAGCAAAACAAAAATGAGCGTGAGGGTGCCATGGTGCAACCCTAGGATGTGTCCGGGAGGAAAAAGAGAGAGCGGCGGCAGGCGTAGGCCGAACTGCCTGAGTTATAAATAAGTAACAGGATGAAAGACTTGAGCGCAGGGCCCGTCGTGATTCGCAGCGATCCATCGCCAAGGGTCCAGCCAAGCCCGCTAGCCGGAGCTGGCCTGGGGGCGTGTGTTTCGGGGCAAAAGTGCCGACGGACGAGTCACATCATCGCTTAACTAGTGAACTGGACTTGTCGCGCTCAGCCAACATATACAGATAATGATAGTAGTACGCCCTCCCACAGAAGAAACATAGCAGAGACCCCAAAAAGAAAAGACGAGAGCATAATGTCGTAAATGCGGGAGATCAGTCGCCGGCCCGTAATGCACGCAGTCTCACATCCAGTCCATCTTCGACCTCGGCGTTCTTCGCCTCCGGTTCCTTGGCTGGCTGCTCTTTGGGTACATTATCCTCCTCCAGAACCATGCGCATATCCAAGCCTGCATCATCCGCCAACTGTTCCATGAGCCGATCCACCTCGGTCTCGCCCTCTGCCCCATATTCCTGCATCGACACACCCTGAGCCACATCCTCGATCGCGCTGCTGGCGATCTTGAAGTCTTCCGACCGTGCTAGGAAGTTGTTGGCGTGCGCCACCAGGTGCTCCAAGTTAACACTCTTAGAGGCCGCGTCGAGGCCCCGCGAGGCCAGAGCGAGCGTCCGCGAGGTGTCCCGCGTGCTCTGGGCGGCTTTAAGTTCGTTGATGATCACATCGGCACGGGCGGCTTCAGATTTGAGGGTGACTTGGCGTCGCTTTTCCCGCACGGCGGAGGCGGCATGGATGCGGGCGATCTGGAACTCGCGATTCTTCATGGCCTTGTCGGCCTTGGCCTTCTCAGCTTTGAAGGTCGCCTCTGCGCGGACGGCCTCCTTCTTCAGCCGATTGGAGTGTAACTGGACGAGGCTAAAGTCAGCCAGGAAGCCGAATCGGGCAGGACAGGACAGGACGGTGGCGGGGGAAGAGGGGCAGATAGGCAACCATACACACCTTAACATTTGTGCGGGCTTCGAAGATGGGATCTTTGCGGACCATGATGATACAGGGAGGGGGGGAGGGACACAGTACAGACACCGCAGGTGTGGTAGATTGTTGATGTTGATATTGGTGTTGCGCAGTCGGGGAGGTGGAGAAGGAAGAAGAGAACATGAGTGGTGGCAACGTCACTGACCGCATTCGGTCTGGGCTCCAGACTGGGTTGCCTCGCTCTGAGGATGTCCCACCTCTTTACGAAAATAATACGATCATAATACTGGGGGGAGTTTCCAAGGTCCAAAAAAGCCAATCAATCCTGGATGCTAATCTAGACACTAATAATACAGCCAAATAAAAGCCTCACAACGGCTTGCCCGTGAGCCAAGACGCCGACGTCTCGCTCGAACGGGAACGCCAGGAACTCCGTGTACTCCGAGTCATCTTTCCGTAACTGCGTCGCCGACCCGATGTTTTTCTTCTTGTTGTTGTCTGCCTCTGTCGCGACCGGTCGAGACTATCGATCGCCCACATCATGGTCAACAACGACGCCCAGGTTGGCCGACCCTCGGGGGCATCGGTCGACCAGCCCTGCAGAGAAAACGACTCACTAACCGCTCGCTGCAATGCTCTGCCCGTCGCATCGCGAAGTGGACGCGCCAAGGCTGGGCTGCATGCGAGCAGTCTGGTGAGTAGTTTCATCCGAAAGACCGGCCGGCTCGACGCCTTCGAGGGCGACAGACTCGGGGTCGAAATCAACCATAGAATCAAAGGGAAATGCTGATAGATCTCCTCCGTCGAGAACATCAAAGGCGAGCCCGTCTTCAGGGAATGAAGAATGTGGCTCAGCGGGTGAATCACCGTTGAACAGGCGACGGAAGTCATCGTCAGAAAGAGGAGCTGCAACGTCATTTGCAGCGGGACCCTCGAGGTCAAAGAGGGGAAGCGCGCTTCCAGCTCCTTCGAGGCCAGCGACGGACACGGCAGGTCGCACAACACCGCAGCAGGATGTTGTGTCACGTCGGAGGCCTCAGCCAGAGTGGAGGGCTTGAGGGTCGGGGAGTAGTCGGTGGTGGAGGGAGTGGGGAACGGAATGCGCTCCATGGGGAGGTCGTCGCCTTCCTGCTTGAACAGGGTCGGCGTGAGGGTGGGCGAGTCCGCCACGGGGGAGCCGGCCTTGGTGGGTGTGGCGCTGCGAGATCCGCGGACCTCGGCGGAGAGCTGGGCCACCTGTTGGCTCAGGCGGTTGTTCTCGGCCTCCATCTGCGAGAGCCGCTGGAGCAGGAACTGGTTCTGTTGCTCCATCTGGATCTTCTCGGTCTCGAGCTTCTCCATCTCGAGCCTCTTGCGCTCCCGGGAGGTCTGCGCGGCGGCGCGGTTCCGCAGAACCCGCTCGATCCGGCGCTGCTCCTTTTCATCTTCCGTCTTGGCCCGTTTTCTGGTATCGTTAGTGCCTGCAGTCGATCGTCGAGTGGTGCTGTCGTACCTTGGGGGTAAGTTGGTTTTGGGGACTGGGAGCTCCTGGCCCCAGGACTTTCTCTTCTTCGTCGGCTTCTTCTCCGCCTCGTCGTCCTCGTCATCCAGCGGCTCCACCTTGGGCTCCGGCGAGCTCAGCGAGGTATCTGCTGGGGACACCGTCAAGGGCATTTGGGGAGCCGGGGTGGATGGCAGGGAGTCGAGTTCGGGGGTGAGGGATTCCATCATGGCCAGTGGGGGTGGATGGATGGGTGGAGGGAGGATAGCGTGTAGTGGTGGGATGAAAGATGAGTTCAATCACGCACGTCTACTAGAGAGTAGTCACGCCGACAAAGGCCACGTTGGCATCCTGGGGATGATACACCATAAAGAAGGAGAATGAGTCAGCCGGAGGGAGGATGGTGAACAAAGGACAACTGTCTGGATGGGGCGACCGACCCGGTTTAAGTAGAGGCCAGCGTGGTCGCAAGGGGTGGTACCACCGGTACCGGTGTGACCCACCGTACCCATAGTCCACGCCGGTGGTGACGCGACCCGGACGTAAATTACAGCATTCTCAGCTGATGGTCACATACCGGGTCGGGGGCTGAAACACAGCCCTCTTTGTTGTTGCCTCGCCCCCACATGGGGGTCTTGGGGCCATCGTGGTTATTCTTGGATTGATGCTTTTCCGCCCGGTGGATCTCGTCGTGACACGCTCTGGAGTCGATGGCCGCCGTTTTGGAGGTGATGCGATTGGATTGATTGTGGTCTTGGCCAGGGGAATGGTTGCGAGCAGAAAGGAGAGGAGGGAGGGTGGTCTCACTCTGTCTGGAACCCAGCGGTGGATTCGTTCAATCTCCCCGCCGCAACGGGCTCCCCAAAAGGCGCCCCGCCAAATGCCCGTGGCCCCCCCCTGAGTCCAGATTGGCGGAATATCTTCTGCTAATAATAATAGTACGACCGAAGTCACCAGAAGGCGAGGGAACGTGCGGATCCACCGAGGGGCAATCCGATCCTACACTACCATGCAGGTACGTCGACTAACTACTCACGGACAGGGGTCACTCCTGAAAAGGTATACAGGTGGATGAGGGGCAGAGAAAGGGGCCAAGGGGCTCATCGTCGTCGTCATGCTTTTGGGATTGGTTTCGAGACAGGGTGAAAGGGAGGGAATAAGGAGTATATACAACCAATAATGCAGACATCAACGCAAAACGCCATTCCCAAAACAAAAAGGAAACGAATCATGAATCGGATCGGGTCGGAGTCCTTTCCACCATCTACATGGTCACATCCATCGTATCATCCCCGGCATCCAGTGCATTCTGCTTCTCCGGGTCCGGCACCACCACGCCGCGCCCCCGACCAGCCAAAAGCTCCCGCCGCACCTCCGGCCCGATGTCCTTGTGTCCGCGTACCAGAAGCAGATCCAAAAGGGCCTCGCGCTGATCCTCCGTGATATCATTGCGGTAGCGTTGGGCGAAAACCAACAGCGACTGGTGCCACAGCACCGGCAGCTTATATGCCTTGGAGTGAAGCCCCGTCGGTCCGTCCGTCATCGTATCGTCGTCCGTCGCGCGGAAGCGCAAGAAGTGAAACACCAGGGCGTCGATCACCTTGTACGGCAGCGCATACTTTTTCTCCAGGAAGACCCGGATGAAGACGTTGACGGCTCCGGTGCTTTCCAGGGATCTCAGCGACTGCTCGGCGGCCAGATCACACATGCGCAGCAGCGCCGCGGCGGAGTGCAGCACGGGGATGGAGACACGAGCAATGACCGATGAGACAATGTGGGCATCGCGCAGGGTGCAGGTACCGCTGGACACCAGTGGGAAGAGCAGTCCCTTGAAGAAGCAGGCCGGTTTGTAGAGAGCCTTGCGCAGCGCGTTGTAGGTATGTACGTTCAACTTCTTGGTCTCGTGGATCTCGTCCCGGACGCGGTCCAACAGCACCGTCGAAATAAACTCTTGGGCCACCGCGGGCTTGGACGAAATGAAGATCCGGGTTGCAGCATAGACGGCATTGGGGGTCCAAGACTCGGGCCGAGTGATGTCCAGGAGGGTCGGCCAGTTCGGAACGGTGGGGAGGATCTTGAACGGTTTGGGAAGCGGGCCGGATTTGTAGCGAGAGAGAATCATGCCGACCCTAGCAGAGATAACCGTTAGCTTCGCAGGTAGTTTCGACGGCAAGAATGGCTCACTTCTCGTATACTTCCACAGCCTTGGCAGGAATTTGAACCGCATCCTCGGGCAGTCCACCACCTTGAATAAACGGCCCGCCTTGGCCGGACTGCTTTGCTTCATGTTCGGCGATCTTCTCCAGAATTAAATCGGCCAAGTTTGTGGTCTGGCCACCGGCGCCAGGCTCTTGCGGGTGGAAAATAGGGTCCTCCTCGTGGCCAGGCATAAATTTGTTAAACATGTCGAGATCGTTGGGATCAACTTCCTGTATGTCCGATTAGAACTGCAACCAACACCGGTGACCGTCAAGGAACCCTTACCACTTCCTCAACCTCCTCATCAATCCATTCCTCATCGCCAAACTTGTCTTCGTCGTCGGACATGGGTTCCTCATCGTCAAACCGGGAGTCAAAGTCGAATGCGGTGTTGACTTTGGGCTCCGTCGAGCCCATGGCTTTTTGCTCGGCAGCATCCTCGTCCGCCAAATCCTGGCCAATTTGCAAGATCTTCCGTGACATCTTCGCATCGATGTAGCGTTCGCCATTTTCGCCATCCTCCTCGTCGTTTTCTCTGCGTTTGCCTTTCTTGCTGCTCTGGGTCCGCAGATGCCCCGCGGACACAATATCTTCAGCCAAAGGGTTGTGTCTGCGTGCCGCCGCAGCAGCACGAGAAGTTGGGGTCTTGGGCATATTGAATCTGATCTCTGGCTGTTGCAAGAAATGCCAGACCGACCGAAGGAGCTCTGTGGCTGTTTGACCGCAAGAAAAAGTGCGGATAATTTTCTGGGTCAGGTGATCCGTGTTTCTTTTCTTTTTTTTTCTGCCTGGCGGTGGCCTCTAATCCATCCACCGCCTTCTGATCTGCTGGTGTTATCTATTGACCGCCCATGTTTCCTGTTCCTCGACCAGAGCTGGGAACACCCATTATACTCAATACTCTGTCACCAGCCAAGTTCATGCCATGGCTTCCGGCACAGCTCCTGGGTCTTCTGCACCCTCGTCAAATATCAATTCTCCGACCTTGGCACCTGGGAATGCGCCGGTACTCCCCGTTCCTCTCTCAGATCTCAACGCCAGATCCTCGCCAGCCCCAGCCAGCACTGGATCGGTCCAAGGCGACACGGCTCGCGCCAAACGCAACAAACGGGACAGTCGCAAGAAGCGCGAAGCCAAAGGCTTAGATCCGGACGCACCGCCGCCCAAAAAGCGGGCGACCGCCGCTCCCAGCACCGCTCTCCCCAGCTCCGATCTCAGTATTCTCCGCCCACTCCTTCTCGCCGAACCTCGCCAGTCTGATCGCTTTCCTCCTCCTACTCGCCAATTCAATCTTGTCACCAGCAAGAGGTCAGAGGTGCTGGGCCAGAGTTGGGACTTTTATGAAGTTGTGGATAAACTCACAAACAAGAATGGATTCCGATATACCTACGCCATTGCGGATCCTGGATTTCCGCATATTAAGTACCGCCAGACAGATGTCCGGCCATACCATGCACGATTCAGCTTCGAGGATTCCCCAGCCGCGATCTCGTTCTCGAAAGACGCCACGGCGGTGGCGACAAACGATTCATGGCACACAGCTAGGGCCAATGTTTGCGCACGAGAGGGTACTTTCTACTACGAGGCGCGAATCATTAGTGGCATGGTCAAAGACTCTGAATCAACACCGCACAACGGCGGTCCTGGTACTGCTCCGCGAGGCCATGTTCGGTTTGGATTCGCTCGGCGCGAAGCCGATCTCGACGTCAACGTCGGAGTGGACTGCTACGGGTATGGAATTCGAGATGTGAACGGAGAAGTGGTGAATCGGATGCGGTGCGAGTATTTCTTCCCCAAGGGTGAAGCCATTAACGAAGGCGATGTCATTGGCATGCTTATCACTCTCCCGCCGCTGTCTCTACACAAGAAAATCGTCGAAGGCACCTTCGACCCCGCTGTGGATGGAGACGGCAGCTCCAGCTCTTCAACAAAGTCTCCCGTTGCGTTTAATCTCATTCGAGATCGCATCCCCTTCCATTGGAAAACCGACTTTTGCTGGCAACAGTCCAATGTCTTTGCGACCAAACAGCTCCGTGACTATGCGTTTAATCTCAAGGAAACTCCAACTTTCGGTCCGCCCTCTCCGCTGAATAGTGAAGATGCCTCCCTTCGGACACTTCCCGGCTCTAGCATTACCATCTTTAAAAATGGCGTCCAGATGGGCACGCCGTTCAAGGAACTCTATGCATTCCTACCTCCAGCGAGTCGTCTCGCCAATGGCACGAATAATCTTGGGATTGGCGAGCGGGAGAATGCTGATGACGGTATGATTGGCTACTATCCCGCTGTGAGCTGTTACGGCGGCGGTGCGGCGGAATGCCGCTTTGAAGGCCCGTGGTGGGTTGGTCCCCCTGAGCGCACCGAGACTGGAGAGCCTATCCGAGCCATGGGTGAGCGATACAATGAGCAGATTGTTGAGGATGTGCTGGCCGATATTGTGGATGAAGTGGAAGCCATGTTCACCTGGGGTGGTGTCGACGGCGACGTGATTGGGAATAACGGCACCGAGGGCCCGGACGGGCCTGGGTCTGGTGTGGTCGGTGGATCCGAGGTTTTACAAGGTGGTGTCGGCGCTGCGCTCGACTCGGCTGTGTCTGCTCCCACGCCTGCTGGGGTGTCCGACTCGGCAGCCAACAGCAATCACCAGACGCCGACGGCCACCGGCGACGCTGCAGGGAACCCGCCACTGGAAGATGCGATGAGCGCGGGCACTCCCCACCACGCCGTGGATCCTTCTGTCGGTGCGGACGCTCCTGTAGCAACAGAGGCTGACGGCGACGTAGAAATGTCTTAGTGTATGGATGAGGCGTTCGGCAGGAATATACCAATTGCAAGGCTTCGAATATCATAAATTTAGTCTCTCTCATCGTAGTCATACATATAGGTATCGAAAGAGGGTGGGTGCTATACAAGTATCCAATTATTTCAGTCTCCGACCCTCCAGCAGCTCGCCCACGCTCATCACCAGGTCATCGTCTCCGTATTGGCCTACTACCTGAATACCCGCCACATCCGGATCCTGACTGGAGCCATCCACCGTGACCGGCACAGAAATGGCGGGCAGACCAGCCAAGCTGGCTGGGACTGTGAACACGTCGTTGACATACGCGTCCAGGGGTGACGACTCGGCGGCCGGTCTCGTGAAATCCGATAACCTTGGCGGCGCAGAGGGGGCCGTCGGACACACGAGCACGTCCACATCCGGCTGCTCAGGACGGCGCTCTGTGTCCTGCGTATCGGTCGCGGCCAACGGATGCTTGGCTGTAAACACGGCATTAAAGTCCTGCTGGACCAGTCGACGCACCCGTTGTGCTTGGATGAAGTAGTTATCGATTGCATCTGCGCTTAAGCTGAAAGTGCCTAGAAGGATGCGTCTCTTCACCTCTGATCCGAACCCGCTGCCCCTCGTGTTGGCGTAAAGGTAGCCATCTGGCTGGCCATCGCTGTCTGGGCCGTTGGCGCGAGTCCCGTAGCGCACACCGTCATATTTTGACAAGTTCGAGGATGCTTCGGCAGGTGCGAGGACATAATAAGCCGATAGGGCGTGTTTCGTTGCTGGTAATGAGACTGGATAGATGGTGTGACCTTGATCTTGCAGGTGTGCCAGAGAGAGAAGCCAGGCACGGCGAACGGAAGGGGCCAGTTCGGAAATGTTATATTCCACCGGCACGCCGATTCGAAGGGGAGCAGATGTCAATCGGGAGGCCAATCGGGGTGTCTGGAGGTGCGACATGATCCGTGACCGAGAGAAAGATGAGAGGCTCGTAGGATCGCGCGCATCATATTGGTTCACGATGCCTATCGGGAATTGATTAGTGTGGGAGGTCCTCCACATCGAAACGACCTAGAACCCACCGAAGACATGCCGGACAGTAGATACATTTCTCCCCAAGACTCCAACCGTGTCCAGAGAATTGGCATATGCGACCACTCCCCATCGTGATATTAGTCCGTACGATGGCTTGAACCCAACTGTCCCCGTGTATGCAGCGGGCAAGCGGACAGAGCCTCCCGTATCTGTTCCCAGTGCGCTGTAGACCATTCACCCAATTAGCCAATGTGGCGAAGAGAGAATGCGCATCACTCACGCATAGCATTGGTCGGCAGCGACAGCAACTGCACTTCCCCCGGAACTACCACCGGCGGAGACAGCCTGCCCATCCCCGCCTTGTCGCACATTCTTCACTGGACCAAACCGTGAATGAACTGAGTGTGATCCCATGCCAAACTCGTCTAGATTCGTTTTCCCCGCGATGACGGCCCCAGCGGCCTCGAGTTGCTCGACAACGGTGGCATTGAACGGACTGGAGAACTTGTCCAGGATCCCCGACGCGCACGTGGTGGGGAGGTCGCGGGTGCAGATATTGTCCTTGATAGAGACGAGACGGCCATCAACGAAAGACCTTGGGTTCCCTGAATCACCATGTCTTCGTTAGCTATGACTGCGCCAGGGAAAGTGGTGGTCTCGCCAGTACCTTGCTCCCTGCGCAGATCAGCCTCCTTCACGCGGTCCAGCCATTGGCCTGCGCGTGGCAATGGAGTGATAAAGGCATTAAGGCCGAGGGCATGTTGATTAGCGACACATCTCTCTGCCTCGCGACGAAGGGACATTGAGAGTGGGTGAAGGAGTTGGTTCAAAAGAGTCGGAGAACAAGAACGAGGTGGATTCCCGCGGTGGCCCGTGCTTCATGTACACACAACGAGGGGTTAGTATATACAATATAACTAACTACAACTAGCCCTTGTATATATAAGCTCTGTGTTTTGGAGATGGAACAAACAATATGGTTTAGAGTCAAAAATTCCCTGTAGATATATTTCGAGTAGATGGTCTTTGTATATACTCGGGTATAGATCTATATCCCCCCCCCGGGCCGGGAGAGTGCTAGGAGGTTGCTCCTCGGATAATTTGGAAATCAGGAGATCCTGTCGGTCCAGCGGGCAACTCTGGAGAAGACTGCACGACACCCAGCAATATTTCTGGGGCGCCCCTTTCAGAATCCCTCTCGTGATGGCCTGCTCCAAGCTGAGCGGCTGCCGTAACCGCCACAGCTGGAGAATCTCGTAGCCGTATTTGGATTGCTTCCGGCCCGCGTTGAAGTCTGCATTGCCGATCCCGCCATCCTCTGGGACTTGCCCAGGAATTTTCCCTGGTGAGATGTGGGCGATATATTCAAGGCGCTTGACGGGACTCGTGCTATAGAACCAGATGCGACGCACGCTCGATGGGAGGAGGTAGCCCCGATATTCATGGTTCTTGGCGCCCGAAGCGATGTTGTTCATGTGCTCTGGCTTGATGCTCATGAAGATGTCGGAGCTCGATTTGGCCATGGTGGAGGGGTGGAAGAGGGAAGTAGGTGGACAAGGGATGGTGGAAGAGAGGAAGGGGAGCAAAGGGGACTGACAGACGACATCGGATTACATACTGTCTATCGACATACCCCAGGTAGTATTATGGTGGTTATATGTTCACTATTGATTTATTACATAGATAATACTACCTATACACTGCAAACTACATATTAACCCGGTGGATCTCGGACCGAGCGCAGTAACGTCATCTCGGCTGTTTCCATCATTCTCTTTCCATTCCTCCTCCCTCTCCCCCTTTCTCCATCTTTCTTCAATTATGCTCTCGCGCGGTGTTCTTCGAGCGGTCACCCAGGGCGCTCGCAGCCCGGGCATACCTCGAGCTGCAGCCTGGTCGCCGCTAATTGCATCCCGGTCCTCCCTGGCCGAGGGCCGGAGAGCGATCTCGACATACGGCTACACACAGGCGAAGGCGCTCATCTACTCGAAATACGGCGAGCCGAAGGATGTTCTCTCGTAGGTATTGCCCGACCCGATAGAACACCAAACGACTGACCGTCTACGATTAGTCTACACAAGCACTCGATCTCCGCTCCACATGGCACGCAAGTCAACCTCCGCCTCCTCACGGCGCCTATGAACCCGGCCGATGTCAACCAGATACAAGGTGTCTACCCAAGCAAACCGCCATTTCAGACCACGCTTGGCACATCCGAGCCTGCCGCCGTGGGCGGCAACGAGGGCGCGTTCGAGGTCATTTCCGTCGGTGCGGGCGTCAAGAACCTGAGCAAAGATGACTGGGTCATCATGAAGCGGACGGGACAAGGCACCTGGCGGACACACGCGCAGCTGGAGGAGTCGCAGCTGATCAAGATCGATAACAAGGAGGGATTGACGCCGCTGCAGATCGGCACTGTCAGCGTCAACCCCGTCACGGCTTACCGCATGATTCGTGACTTTTGTGAATGGGACTGGATGCGCGCCGGGGAGGAATGGCTCATCCAGAACGGAGCCAACAGCGGTGTTGGTCGCGCCGCTATCCAGCTGGGTCGGGAATGGGGTATCAAGACCCTGAATGTTGTTCGCGAGAGGAAGACGCCCGAAGAGACAGAGGCGCTCAAGCAGGAGTTGAAGGACCTGGGCGCGACTGCTGTCGTAACGGAAGAGGAGATGCTCACGGGCAATTTCCGGGCGATGGTCCACGAGCTCACTCGCCAGGGCCGGGAACCTATTCGTCTGGCGCTGAACTGCGTGGGCGGGAAGAGCGCCACGGCCCTGGCGAAGACCCTGGCTCCCAACTCCCACATGGTCACATACGGAGCCATGTCCAAGCAGCCGGTGGCCCTGCCCTCGGGCTTGCTGATCTTCAAGAATCTTGCCTTTGACGGATTCTGGGTCAGCAAGTGGGGGGACAAGCATCCCGAGCTCAAGGAGAACACGATCAAGGATGTGCTGCAGTTAACCCGGGCGGGCCGGTTCCAGGACATCCCCGTCGACGATGTCAAGTGGTCGTGGGACACCGAGGGACCGGAGCTGGCAGAGAGTGTCCAGGGTACTCTGGGTGGCTATCGCAGTGGGAAGGGCGTTCTCACCTTCACTGGCGGTGACTGAAGGGAGATGGCGCGGCTGTATTATATCTAGAGAACCTTGTCTATGCGACATTTATGTGATTCCCACTGCAGAGCAGCTTTCTACTTGATCAGGAAAGGAAGTAGATACCGCGTTCAGATGCATTATACCATCCAAGATGGCTCGATATAGATGGACTATGTTCGGTCTAGATCGCACTCACTCACATTTCCAATACGTCTTCACCCAGTCCAAGATGAGGTCCGTCAGGGTCATGGACGGCATGTACACCTCGCTCTCCTGCGTAAAATTCACGTCCAGACCAGCGAACTTGGCGGCCAGCGCCACATGTCGCTCGATAAAATCAATGTAGACCAAATCAACCGTCTCTGGCACCGCAGAGGCATTGGCAGCCACCAGGGCCTGGATGCAGTTCGGTACCCGGTAAAAGGAGATGGGTGAGTGAACGGTATCATCGCCATCAGTGCCTGCATCATCTTTTGTTGTGTACCCGGGGATGAGCTCCGGTTCCTGGCCCGACAGCGGGACCTGCAGTGGATTGGAAGCACCGACAGTCAGGTCGGCCACGATATCGTTCGAGTAAGCTAGTTGCTCGGGAGGCGCCAAGGTGGTGAGAGGCGAAAAGTGAGCAGTGCGCAAAATTTGGGGTTGTTTGTTCAAGATCTCCACAATCAGCTGTGCCTTGTCATATGGGACATCCTTCACATAACGGAATCCACTCGTGAAAGGAGAGACAATAAATGTTGTATCCTGTGTAAATGGGCCTTGAAAAATGTCGAACCGGATGGCTCCCGTGTTGATAATGGCCAGCGCGGGTGTTTCACCACGAGATTCGTCCTTCAGCGAATCCACCAACACTTGCGATTCTAACCAGGTATAAATACTGTCATTGCTTGGGTACTTGACCCGTGACATCCATAGGTCTCGCGGAGCGCAGCCGTGCACCTCATCCAGATGAAGGGCACTGCGCGATTCGGCTATGAGGCGCGAAACGTTTCGGCCTTGTTCCGTAGGGAACTCATATTCATCGAGCCCACTATGATGACGGAGGGAGAAGAGATTGTTATCAATATACCGGCGCTTGAACACAGGCTTGGAGGTGGAGAGCCCGTCGATGGACAGGAAACCGATGGTCTCCATGAACCGGCCGCTTGCCACACCAACCGCTTTGGCATCGTAGCGAGCGTAATCGCGGATATGGAGATGTCCACCGAAAAACTGGATTGGGATACCCCAGCGAATGCTCCGAATTGCCTTGAAGATTGCCTGATACTCCTGCGATTTGACCGGCACATGGCCGATCACCAGGAACAAGTCCACGTCCTTGTCCCGAATGGCTTCTTGGAACCAATCTTCTTTGATGGTCTCCTCGACTAGCTGTACCACGGTCCGGTTGTTGTTGCCGGTAAAATCAAAGAGGAAGCCGAACGCCGTGATGCGGATGCCCTGTTGTTTAGTGGTGAACTTCTTGTATCGCGGGGCCAGTGGAACCAGCTCCTCCGTTCCGGGACGGAAGATATCAATATTCGACGCGATGTAGTTGCCTCGGAAGTTGGGGATGGTGGTGAAAAACTCGGCCTCGGATGTGTTCTGCTTGTACAGTTCATGGTTTCCCGATGTCAACAGGTCGATGTGCTGGTGACGGAGTATCTCCGAGATGTAGACGCCTTTGGGTTCGGACGAATCATACAGGCCGTTTCCTTCTACTCGGTCGCCGGTGTCGATGACCAGCAGGTCTTGACCCTGGGCCTCCACCTTTTCCCGGATGCGCGTTGCGAACGATACATAGTCTCCCCAGTCTGCCGCGTACGATGGTCTGCGACGGGGATCAGTAGGGCCTTAGGGGGTCAACCCTCGGGAGCATACTCCTGCAAGTGGCCGGCCAACCAGCCATGGGTATCGGTGGTGTGGAGGAAGTTGAGTTGGCCGAACTCGAGCCCGCGCAGGGGAGCGGGAATGGGGTCGGGCGCCGAAGGCTGGGCGGCGAGCGCCGACGGGAAGAGCGGCAGCCACAGCAGCAGCAACATCAGGGCGGCAGGCTATGGGGATGACATTCAGAGAGGGAGCGACCGTACCTCCTTCCTCGTATGGGAATAGGAACAGGTAAACGGAGAAGAAGGAGAGCAGACAGACAAGAAAGGGAGATGGTAAGTGACATTACAATCCCGAAACGGAAGCAGCGGCCGGTGAGCTGCGGCTGAGTCAGCGGGCCCAACGGATTGTCGCCAGAGGAAAGAAAGATTTCCTCTAACTATTATTATTCTATCTACTATCGACCTCCCCCTGCCACTTCTTTCTGTCTTTCTTTTTTTCTCCTTGGTAGACGCCTTTGCTCTCTCGTCTTCCACCAATTCATTGCCATGGCTGCTCCCCGGCTTTTCCGCCCAGCAGCTCGCCTGCTGTCTTCGCGCCTTGCTTCCTCCTCTCTCCGCCCGGCCCTGCCTCAATCCGCCTGCGCCCATTCGGTTCTGCGCTCCCGGGGATATGCGACCGAGGGTGGTGTCAAGGAGGTCACCGTCCGCGATGCGCTGAACGAGGCCCTGGCGGAGGAGTTGGAGAGCAATCAGAAGACCTTCATTCTGGGTGAGGAGGTTGCACAGTACAACGGAGCGTATGTTTGATGATCTTATGGCCGAGTTGGCGGCAATACCAATAGTGGAATGACTGGATCGCTGACATTGTGCATTTGCTACAGGTACAAGGTGACACGAGGACTTCTGGACCGTTTCGGACCCAAGCGGGTGATTGATACCCCCATCACGGAGGCCGGTTTCTGTGGTCTGGCTGTCGGAGCTGCTCTGTCTGGCCTACACCCGATTGTGAGTTCTCTCGTCTGGGATTGAACCCCAGGGTATTCCGGAAGAGCCTGTGCTAATTGCGGACCGCACCTAGTGCGAGTTCATGACCTTCAACTTTGCCATGCAGGCCATTGACCAGATTATCAACTCGGCCGCGAAGACCCACTACATGTCCGGTGGCATCCAGCCCTGCAACATCACTTTCCGCGGCCCCAACGGGTTTGCCGCCGGTGTGGCCGCCCAGCACTCGCAGGATTATTCGGCCTGGTACGGCAGCATTCCGGGATTGAAGGTGGTTTCTCCATGGAGCTCGGAGGATGCTAAGGGTCTGCTGAAGGCTGCCATTCGGGACCCCAACCCGGTCGTGGTCCTGGAGAACGAGTAAGTGACGGGCCCTTTCCGAGATCTGCTGGACCGGGGAACTAATTTCCGCCCGCTAGGCTTATGTACGGCCAGGTTTTCCCGATGAGCGAGGCCGCCCAGAAGAGCGACTTTGTCCTGCCCATCGGCAAGGCCAAGATTGAGCGCCCCGGCAAGGACCTGACCATTGTTTCCATCTCCCGCTGTGTCGGCCAGTCCCTGGCTGCCGCCTCTCAGCTCAAGCAAAAGTACGGTGTCGAGGCGGAGGTGATCAACCTGCGCTCCGTCAAGCCTCTGGATGTCGAGACCATCATCGCCTCGCTCAAGAAGACCGGCCGCCTGATGGTCGTCGAGTCCGGCTTCCCCATGTTCGGTCTTTCGTCCGAAATTCTGGCGCTCTCCATGGAGTACGGCTTCGACTACCTGACCGCCCCGGCTGTCCGGGTCACTGGTGCTGAGGTGCCCACCCCGTACGCCGTCGGTCTGGAGAACATGGCCTTCCCCCAGGAGGACACTGTTGTCGGCCAGGCTGCGAAGCTGCTGCGGTTGTGAGTGAAAATGGCGGAAGGGCGAGTGAGCGGCTCGCCCTAATCAAACCCTGTGCCTAGTACCCTTTCCTCTGTCCTTATTATTTTTTTATATCGGTTGTGTGTCTCATTATGTGCGCGTCGTTTATTCTCTCCTAGACAGATTCTTGGAAAGCCGTGTACGATTACATCCTTAGGATCTGTTTCTTTCCGCGCAGCGTAACGGCCCTGTTGGTTCTTTGATTTTTGCAAATATAGACAATCCGAACCTTGATTGCAAAGAGGTATCCTATCCATAACGCCATGCTCCCATCTAATGCCTGTGCGTAACTCCCCACGATGTATCTGCCCATCCTTTTCACCGCGCCGCTCCAGCTGTCCGCATGCTTGCACATCCGGCGAAACAGTCCGTTGGCCGTCGAGGATCGTAGTAATCTTCGTCGGTATCACTCTCCGCGTCACCAGCGAGATTGGAACCTACCGCAGGTTTAGATGAGGCCAACTGTTTCTTTGCTAGTTTCGTTGAGTCATCCCCATCTCCGTCGTCGCCGAGTACGTTCTTCCTCGTGACAGATGCAGGTGCCGCGGTGCCCTTGACAGTTGCGAACGAGCTCTTGAAGCCCCCCTTCTTGAAGCCACCACCTCCTCTGCCACCACCGGCGGATTTCCCATCATTTGACGCCGCAGTATCCCCGGGTTTATCAATGACTCGCAGCCCGGCGTCGGCGTCGGCTTTGCGCTCCGCTCGACGGGCCTTCTCGGCGGCGTTGGGGTCGCGCGAGAGCTGCTTCAGGTCCTGCAGGCGCTTGCGGTGCTGGTGGTCGTAGGAGGAAATATGCGCTTCATATTCTGGGTGGCGCGAGTAGGATTTGTTGCAGAGGGTGCAGGTGAAGGAGCTGAGCGCCGAGCGCGCGGACTCGGTCTGTTTGCGGCGGTTAGTTAAGTCAGGCTTGATTGGGGTGGAGAATGTATACCTTGGGGGCAGGGTTCGTGAAGCCTCTCTGTATGCGCAGTAATTAGCAGCGAGACAACTAATGATACTAATATCACATACTGGGGGCATTTTGGGGTGGTTGGTTGTGCTTGTTGGCGGTGGAGCAAGAGAGAAAAGTGAAAGTCTTCTGTTTCCCTTTTTCCCTCCCCAACCAACAAACAACAACAATAATGCACGACTGACGAATTTCCTCTTTCTCTTCTTCTTCTCTTTTGTTGAATACACAATGGATCTCAAGAAACTCTCCACCGACGACGGCGATGCGCGGTCCCTCTTCTCCATGCAGGAGCTGGATCCTTCGCCCGTCGACGACCTGAGCCCGGATCTGGAGAGCGGCGAGTACTTTTCAGAAACCTCCCCCGAGCCAGGATTTCCCATCTCCAAGCTCGGCCTGCGAGGGAATAGGTGGGATACCTGGTGTATGTGCAATTCCCACTCCCCCAATCGTTTTGAAAACGCTGACCATTGAATCAACCAACAACAGTATCGGCCCTCCAGAGATACTCGACATACCCTCCCACCGCATTCTCCGTGTTGCATTTTGTCAATACCTCGCTCATCCCATTGGCAACTCGCTCGGTCCCTGCCAGCGAATCGTACCTCTTGCTCACACGGCCCGTCTATCAAGCCCCCGGCCTCGAGCATCTCGTTCTCACCATCCCCATCCTGACGCACATTGCCTCTGGAATTGCTCTGCGCAATATCCGTGCTTCACGGCGAGCCCGGCTCTACGGTGCTGAGACTCGCGCGCAGCGGCACCTACTGTCCTTCTGGCCGAGGATCTCTGTCCAGGCCCGTACGGGATACTTTCTTGCGCCGCTCATCGGGCTTCATGTTCTCGTCAACCGCGCCACCCCATTGATTGTCGATGGCGGCAGCTCCGGCGTTGGACTAGGATATGTCGCCCATGGCTTTGCGCGCAGCCCTACGTTCTGGAATTTGTTCTATCTGTTCTTCGTCACGGCGGGCGTTTGGCACTTTGTTGGTGGATGGGCGACCTGGATGGGCTGGAAGGTGACTACGGCGCGGAGGGAGCGCGGCAGCAACGAGGGCTCTCTGGGAGGCTATCTCGGCCACTCGGACAACCCGGAGCGTGCCAAGCGGCAGCGCAAGATGTGGTGGATGGTCAATGGCATCACGGCCCTGGGCGCCTCCCTCTGGCTTGCCGGCGCGCTGGGGATTGTCGGCCGGGCAGGCGATGGCGCGGGCTGGGAGGCCAAGGGCTGGAACGAGATGTACAGCCAGGTGCCGGTCATTGGCGACTGGCTATGAAGGGTGTGATCTCTGTATTTATCTCTTATTGTTATTATTGTCTGTGATAGAATAGTTAATTAATCTTAATACTAAATACTACTAACTACTATATACTTGTACTCTCGATCCACTTGGTCGGTCCGTTCTGCCGCCTCTTTTTTTTTTCCTTCCCGCAACCAACCCCGGCTCTCATGCTCACTCAACCTCCGAGTCCATGAGCCTTATTGGGTCCTTGTCCGCTGCCTCTTGTTTCACCGCACGATGCGTTTCTAATTCCCGCAGTCTCATCGGCCTTGCGCATCCTTGTCATCTCTGTGCACTCCAATCCTCCATTACCGCATCCTTCACGACGAGATCCTTCTTTTCAAATACCGCTCGCACCATGGAGAATCCTACGGTGGAAACACCCAGCAAGATGGTGCAACACAAAGGCACAGAATACCGTGCCATCAAAGAGGGCCTGGCCCATATCCTGAACCCGCCCTCCCAAGAAGCCGCCTCCAAGGGAACAAAGAAAGACCTCAAGGACGATGACGAGGTGCAGTCGGTCTTCTACAACCCGATCCAGCAATTCAATCGCGATTTGAGTGTTCTGGCCATCCGCGCCTACGGAGAGCACCTGGTGGATCTGAAAAAGCAGAAAGCAGAGCAGAGGCAGAAGTCGCGGCCGGCTGGGAATGAGACAAAGGGGAAGAAAAGGAAGCGAAGTGAACAAGAGGAAGAGAATCAGACTTCGAAACCGGTGACCGAGGGAGAGACTAAAGCCGGCGAGCAGCCAGCTCCGGCTCAGAATGACCCCGAGATCCAGTCCGATCCCAATCGGACCAGCTCGTTTACCATCCTCGATGCCCTGTCCGCAACTGGTCTGCGTGCGCTCCGCTATGCCTCCGAACTGCCATTCGTGACGACAGTCGTGGCCAATGACCTGTCGGCATCTGCGATCCGTTCCATGAAGACAAATATCGAGTACAATGGGCTTGAAAACCGCATCCAGCCAAATCTCGGTGATGCACGCGCCTATATGTACAGCCGCAATAACACGAACAGGTTCGATGTGATCGATCTGGACCCTTATGGCACCGCCGCCCCATTCATGGATGCCGCAGTGCTGGGAGTCAAGGATGGCGGCCTGCTTTGTGTCACTTGCACCGACGCAGGTGTCTGGGCTTCCACGGGGTATTCGGAGAAGGCATTTTCTCTCTATGGTGGCATCCCACTCAAAGGCTCACAGTGTCACGAAGGCGGCCTGCGACTGATCTTGAATGGCCTCGCCATGTCCGCCGCCAAATACGGACTGGCCATTGAGCCTTTGCTCTCGCTATCCATCGACTTCTACGCTCGGGTCTTTGTGCGCGTTTATCGATCTCCTGCGCAGGTCAAGTTCCTGGCCGGAAATACGATGGTCGTTTACAACTGTGACGCCGGATGTGGTGCCTGGTCGACGCAGTCCCTCGGTGCGACTAAGAGCAAGCTCGACCGCAAGGGAAATCCCGTCTACCACTTTGGGGTGTCCCAAGGGCCAGTGGCCGGCCCCAACTGCGAGCACTGCGGCTTCAAGACGCATCTGGGTGGCCCCATGTGGGCAGGTCCGCTGCACAACCCTCACTTCATCCAGAAGATGCTGGACATGCTCCCCAGCGCTGACCGCGACCTCTACCACACCATTCCTCGGATTGAGGGTATGCTGACCACAGCCCTCGAGGAAGATCTGGACTTGAGTTCCTTCTCTTCTAAGCCTTCTCCAGAGCAGACGCCGGCTCCTAGCGCCACAAATGCGGAATACCCAGCGATTATTCCCCGTATGGACCCCGCTGTTTCAGAGCCGTATCCGTTCTACTTCTCTCTGAGCTTCCTCTCCAAGGTCCTGCACACATCCACTATCCCAATTAATGAGTTCAAAGGCGCTCTCCGCGGCCTCGGCTACCGCTCCACGCGCAGCCACGCAAAACCAAACTCGATCCGCACCGATGCGCCCTGGGACGTGATTTGGGAGATCATGCGTGAGTGGGCTCGCCAACGATCGCCCATCAAGGAGACTTCCCTGAAAACCGGAACCCCTGGCGCTGCCATCATGGGCAAGAGTCGCGATAACCTGCGCAAGCTGCATGACGAAGACCAATGGCTTTCTCTGCTAAAGAAGGACCTTCTTTCTGCCATTGAGGCAGGAAAAGATGTGAAAGATCTGATCACTCACGTGGAAGCTACTCTGTATCGTTCTGGGTCGCGACAAGCTTGGGCGGGCGCTGTCTCGAAGGAGACAGGTCCCGATCCAAAAGTCCAACCGACTACTGAGGCCGGGGCGCCGGTTGTAACACGGGGAACGAAGCGGCCGCATCCAAGCGAGCTGGACGTCGTCTTCGATGAGGCTCTGGGCCGGGAGGCGTCAGAGAGGCATACCAAGAGACGGCTGGTGCGGTACCAGATTAATCCCCGAGAGAACTGGGGACCGTTGAATCGTGCAGCGGTCACGGCGAAGAAACCTGAGTAACGTCTGTACATGTAACCCATCTCAAATGCAAAGAAATGAATTAAAAACGAAATTCGATAGTAGTTAACCGCAGGCTGGAGGCGACATCATACTGATGCAAAAATCTATGTGGCTCCAGGGGTTATTGCCTCTTTGATCTACGTCCAGATTAATATAGATAGAACACGAAGAAGAAAATGTCATTACTCCCATTATAAACAAGCAGGCCAGGAGACGGAACTGGCCCGCAATCTAACATAAATCACAATCATCACGTCTCAAAATAAAAGTCACAAAACATCTCTATGGAACACGAATGTACGCGCATCTCAAAGCTGCGAGACCGCCACGGCAACAGCCTGCGTGTCACTGTGGCTAATGCTGACGCTGACCTGCTTCACGCCCGCCTGTTTGGCGGCAGCGGCAGCGGCGCCATGGAGCTAGAAAGAATCGGTCAGTCACTAATTCATTAGGAGACACAAGGTAGTCATCACTTACATTGACCACGGGGGCGCCATTGGCGTCGCTTCCAATCTCAATCTCCTTGAGGGCAGCTCCAGCACCCTTGCTGCTCACGCCCAGGGACTTGAAGACTGCCTCTTTGGCACTCCATCGACCCGCGAACGAAGCCTGAGGGGAAGGCGCCTTGCGGCAGTATTCCTGCTCGCTCGGTGTGAAATTCCGCTCCACGAAGGTCTCGTTCTCGATGTTGATGGACTGGATACTCTCCACATCAACACCAATCTTCGAGTTCGGCGAGGCGTTGGCCTTGGTCAGGGATTCGACCATCTGCCGGGTGCTCTCTTCGCTCGGGCTCTCCATCTTGGGGGGCGTGGCCGAGTACTTGAGCTCGGAGGTCTTCTTATCGACTGACACGCGGTAGTCTGGGTTCAAGAAGACCTGGCTCTGGATGTTGTCCTCGTAGGGCGCCTTGCTCTTGGGAACGAAGATGCTGTTGTTGATCAGGCCATTGTGGAAGAAGCGGTAGGCCTTCTTCTGGCGAGCTTCCACCTTGGTCTTGTAGGCTTGGTATTGGGCCTGGTCAAGAGTGGCGTACAGGTACCTGGGGTGGATACCAATGGCCTGAGCACCCTTCTGTCCGAAACCGAAGGAGGTAACGGAGAAGGCCTTGATGCCGTCGGTCTGGATGCTACGACTGGGATACACGATGTAATCGAATTTCTCCAAGACCTTGTCCACATTGTCGGCGTTGCGGTTGCCAGGAACCAGACCAGTATCCAGAACCTGCAAGGCGCCATTGAACATCCAGGCACCGGCAGCACCCTTAGGGTGTCCGGTGAGGTACTTCTGGAAGATACCCAGCACAGCATTGCCCTTCTTACGGCCAAGGTGCTTCATCTGCTGGCAAATCACATCGGATTCGTTCTTGTCGTTGGCAACAGTCGAAGTACCGTGGAAGGAGGCCACACCGATATCATCAACCGTGAGACCCCAGGTGGCCAGAGCTCCGCGCAGAGGAGCAATGCGTGAATCCTGCTTCCAGAAGTTGTTGCCAAGGCTGAACTGGGCATCCTTCTCCTGGCGAACAGCCTCACGCTCGATGTGTTGAGCACGCTCATGCATGTACTCCGACTCGTTGAAGGATTCGCCGGCCTGAGCCTTCATGGCCTCCACCTCTTCCTGTAGGTAGAGGAGTTCGGACTCTTGCCATTCCTTGATCTGCTTCATGCGCAGATCCAACTGGCGGCGACGGTACTTGAGATCCAGCAGAGGCGAAGGGAACTTGCCCGGGTTTTCACGAGCGGTGGTGAGGACACCTTGACCCGGAGCAGGAACGGATCGGCCAATCTTGTCAGTGGCGGTCGTCGTCAGGGCGATGATACCATGGATGGGCACACCCATGTCAAGGGCGAGCTGAGCGCTCATGATAAGCTGCATACCGCAACCTTGCGACTCCATGAAGCCAGCGCGTGTCGTGGTGGTCGGCCGCGACATCTCCTGGGGAGTACGGCCGTGGGCGAACTCGTCCTCGGCGTTGCTAGTGGCCCCCATGTTGGCGAACTCATAGGAGCCCTCCTCCTGGAAGTCATCAAAGCCACCAACGAAGCACACACGGGCTTTGCCTTCGACAATGGTTTCATAACCGATATCGATAGACTCCACGGCCGTGGCACACGCACCAACTGGGGTCTTGATTGGGCCGGTGGAGGACAGGAGCAGCATGTTGACCCAGGCACTCATGGTGTTGATAAAGGACTCTTGCAGAATATCCTTTTGTAGGGGCTTGTCCAGGTAGCGGTCCTTGTACATGCCACGCAGAGCGTGGGTACCTCCAATACCTGAACCAATGCAGTTGCCGACCTCGGAGAGATGGACGTACTTGTAGAACTCGTACGGATCAGTAATACCGGAAGAGAGCATGGCCTCGGCAGTGCCGACCAGGACGAACAAGGTGACAGGGTCCACCTGCTCAATGATATCTTCAGGGATACCGTACCGTTTAGCATCCCAGCCTGTGGGCACCTGACCGGCAACAAGGCGGTCGAATTGAAGTGCCTTGGGGATCAGAAGCGTAGCGCCCTTGCGAAGACGGACGGTGAATTCGCCAGAGTCAGCGATCTCAAAGATCTCGACCTTCTCACCATGTTCGCGCTTGAACTCCTCTGCCGTTTCCTTGGAGGCCTCGAAGGGATCCAGGTCCTCTTGAAGGACAATCTCCTGGAGCAGCTGCTTCTGCTTCGGATCGTAGCCCTTGAACAGCTCCGGCTCAATCAAACGAATTCCAGTGTGCTCCAGAATGTACTTCTCGTACTTCGGCTTAACGTCCTTGTCATCAACGGGATCGCCCGTCTTGGCGTCAACCCAGCCAGAGTAGGCCTTGCCCTTGAGTGGACCGTTGTGGTGCTTGATCAGGCCCATGATCCACGCCATCTCAACGCAGCCTTCAAGCGAGAATTTACCATGGGCCTCCATCTCCCATCGCGTACGAGAGTTACCCCAGGGGCCGATCTCAGAGAAACCAGTGACGACGACCACCTTGTCCAAATTGACCATGCCTTTGAGCGATTCGTTGAGGGGCTTCACTTCCTTCTCCCAATCAGGAAGGTGAGGGAATTCGAACTTGATATTGGCGCGAGGCTCCGCAACAACCTTCTTGTACAGAGCTTCACTGTCCTCGCCGTTGATGACCTTGTGCTCGATGGCGGTCTCCTTGATGACGGCCTTGCGGACATCACTCGTTTCCATGATGTCGGTCCGGAGCTTGGTCATTAAGCCCTTGAGATCTGGAATGAACTGAAGACCGCCGTTGAGATCGGCCCAGACCGGATCGAGCTGGCAGAGGTTGACGACGGCAGGGGACATCAGTCCCAGAAGGTTGAAAGCCATCTCCTGCTGAGAGAACGTGCGAACACCCAGCTTCTCAACACCTTCGGCGACCATATTGTTACCGCCCATCAGACCCGTTCCACGAGTCCAGCCGATAACAGCACCACAGATGGTGAGGTAGTTGCTCCAATTCTCAGAGTACCAGCGGTTGAAGAGGGTCTCCAGGGCAAGCTTGGACTCGGAGTAAAGGCCGTCGTTACCAAAGGTACCGTGGTTGGGGGACAAGGGCAGGATGACCTGGGCAGGACGAGTCTCGAAGCCATGGGTCTGCTTCTGGCTTTTGATCGAGCCCAATAGACGGAGTAGGTTGGTCAACATGATCCGGTGAGCCAGCTCGGATTTGGAATCGATCGAGTCAATCTCACGGCCGTTTTCGGGAATGGCGGCGAAGGGAACGACCAAGTCCAAGTCCCAACCAAGGCCCTTCTTGGTGTCATAGATGTAGTCGACCAAAGCCACCACGTCCAGCTGGCTGCCCTGGTTAAAGGGCACGACGACCAGCTGGGAACCGCGGGCACCGTAGCGGGCGTACATGGCCTGGTAGTATTCGGTCACTTCACGTGAATATCGGCTCGTAGTGACGACGACCTTGGCACCACCACTAATCAGACCCTGCAGAACCTCAGCGCCAATAGAACCTGCACCGGCACCTGTCATGAGAACGTTCTTGCCCTGGAAACTGAGGCCAGCGCGAGCGGCCGTCTCCATCACATCCAGATAGATCCCGGTAAGCTTCTTGTTGTAATCCCAGCCGTGCTCACTCTTCTTCTTTAAGTGCAAGAAGGGAATCGTCTCCACCTTGCCTGTGCGTGCCGTATTGCGCTTGATGCCGTTGCGGCCAGGCTTCTTAGCATGCCCATTCTCCTGGGGCATGATCTGGTTCTCATTCATGCTAAGCGCGCGCAGAACATCCTTATACAAGGCATTGAATTCAAGCTGCGAGGCCGTGGAGAGACGGTGTTGCTTGCGGATCAGCTTATAAACGTTCTTCAGATCGTTCTGGACCTTGGTGCGGTTGCTGTACTCGGAGATCGGACCACCCTCCGCCATTTGCTTGACATAGTGCTCCAGCTTACGCGCACTAGCACGAGGAACCTCTTTATAGCCAATATTTCCTCGAGCATCGATGGTAGTCTGAGGACCAGTGGGAATGGCGACATCCTTGTACACGGGGGCCACTTCCATCACCTCCCGGCAGTTCTCGATGAGCTGCTGGCCCAATTCCTTGGCCAGCTGGTAGGTTTCGCCCCGGTTGGTCGGGCAGTTATCAATGTGATATTGCATGAAGTCAAGGAGGAGAGGGTTGGAGCGGTTCATGATGCGAATGCATTGGCTGACAATCTCGCGATCCACCACCTGCAGTCGGCCAAAGATGATATCGTAGTACATGCTCAAGGCATCCTGGCGAGCCCAGTTCCACGAGGAGTCGTAGACACGGGCCTTGAGTGGGTCAAATGAAGGCTCAATGCCGGAAGCATAGAAATCGCCGTGCTCCGCCTGCCACAGGTCCAGCTGGGCCTGCAGTGCTTTTTGAGTTTCTTGGGAGGTGATGAAGGCCTTGTCTCCTGCGCGGAGATCCATCTTTAGATAACGGGCAATAATTTCGAGCTGCTGCTTGAACAGAGCCCGCTGATCCTTGGTCAAGGCGTCGATGGCTGCGGGGTCCATGAGCATACCACCGCCACCGGCACCACCATCACTACCAGTGGCTGGGGCGGAAAGATTAATCCCAGCACTGGCGGCATACTTGTTGGTGACATCGTCGAGGTAGGCCTTGGCGTCGGCCTCCGATCCGAGACGGGAGGCGGGCTCCATGGTGATGGCGAGCAGTAACACTCCATCCTGACGGCCGGATTGCAGGCCCCATCGAGTTTCTAAGTATTTCCGAACGGCAGTGATGTTGAACCCACCGGGCATCTTCGACGAGACCATGCGCGCAATGAGAGAAGACGACTGTTTCCCCAATTGGCCGTTGAAAGTGGCCTGCATCGCGGCACCCAGCTCATCCAGCGGTGTATCTTCGGGCTTCTCTGGTGTGGAGCCAAATTCTTTACCCAGGTCTCCCAGAATTTCGTTTTGTAATGTGGATTTACCTGTTCGAAGCGCGTCGTGTTAATCTCGGCGATCTCTTCATTCCTGGCAGGAGCTTGACTTACCTCCAACTAGATCCTTGATGGCCTTTGACAGCGGTACATCCGCGAGGCTCTTCTTTAGCTTCTGTGCTACTAGTGTGCGCAGCACATCGACTGCCGTCACCGGCACATCTTCCACAGCCGCAGCGGGCCCGGCACTAGGAGGAGGTGCGACAGCTGCAGGAGCACCTGCAGCGGGCGCTGCGGCTGAGGCCGGGGTACCGGCCGGCTGTGCTGCAGGAGCTTCGGGCTCCTCTTCAATCGGGTCGACATCGTAGTAGATCTCCTTGGCGTCTTTGTTGTAGCAGAGAATCTGGCGTTGCACCGAGGTGGCTGCATCGTAGGCTTCATACTTGGACGCTAGAGTTCTCCGTGCCATTCCACCCAGGGTATCTGCGGGACCGATTTCGACAATGCGCTCGGTGCGCTGCTCGGCGAGGATCACATCTTGTGTCTCGATCCATCTGACGGGAGAGGCGAATTGGTAGGCGAGCAGCTCCACCAGCAAGGTGTGAGCCAGCTCTTGCTCGACTTCAGGACGCATAGTAGCCGCCGGGGGGTATCAATTGATCAGAACAGGTGCAGGCGGCCGCAAGCACGTCCTGGAGCGATTGCGGACGCGACGGAAGGGCGGAAGGAAAGAAAAGAAGAACCGACAATCAAGAGTTCCGCCAGTGCCAGAGTGGAGGGAAGGATATGAGAGGAGAAAGAGAGAGAGATAATAATGGCCAGCAGGGATCAATCACTCAGACTGGAATGGAAGGTGTCGAGGGACCGAAAAGAAAAAAAAAGTGGGATCCTTGATCGGGTGGGCCGTGCGATACGGTACTGTGACGAATGTCTGGAACCGGACCGCCGTTGACTTTGGGTGGGCGGATGTGGGAATTGGAGTGGGTGTAGAGAGGTGAGAGAGAGAGAGATAGAGAGGAAGGGAGAGAGAAACAGAGAGAGAGAGAAAGAAGATCCCTACATAATTTCATCGTTTGTAATACTCATCGTAGAAGTGGTGAGGCCGTTGGGGTGGGCCACCATCTATTGGGCCCGGCAACTGATTCGCCCGCGCTGGTGCAGGCGGGAGAGCTACAGATGATCCGGGAGCAGCAACCACTTCGAGGTATGCATCCTCCGACCTGGTACCTCTTGTCACGATGCGGAGGTTTCTTCCATTGGTCTGAACCGACGAAGAGTCCTGGGCCCAAGGTGGCCTTCAAGAATCCCCGGAAGTATTCTTCTGGGTAATACCAGTACCACCCAGCCCAACCGTTTTGGCCATTGGGGCGGGTCTCATGCCACGCTAGACCCCATTGGGCCCGATGCGGTTCAACAGCGGATCGTCTTTTTTTTTCTGTCTCCGTCGACTCTCCGGATTCCAGTATTATTCCCACCACCCATGTCCCAATAATCCTCTTTCTTCTTCCCGGCAATCCTCTTTCTTTCCCTCTGTGATATTTCTTGCGCGGTTGGACTTGTGTGTGTCCGGGCTGCGTTGAGTTGAGTTGAGGATTCCTACAGTACGACTGGTCCTCTGCCAGCTTGTTCTTCCCCCAAGACTGACTTCCAGTGATCAATCAGCCCGCCCATCATGTACGGCACCTCGACCGGTCCCCAGACCGGCATCAACACCCCTCGCTCCTCCCAATCCCTCCGCCCTCTCATCCTTTCGCATGGCTCCCTCGAGTTCTCCTTCCTGGTCCCCACCTCGCTTCACTTCCACGCCTCGCAATTGAAAGACAGCTTCACCAGCTCATTACCCGAGCCCACAGATGAATTGGCTCAGGACGACGAGCCATCGTCCGTGGCGGAGTTGGTCGCCCGCTATATCGGTCATGTCGCCCGCGAGCTGGAAGAGGGCGAGGACGACGCCCAGGGCACCTGCCTGGAGGTCTTGAAGCTCGTCCTGAACGAATTCGAGCGCGCGTTCATGCGCGGTAATGATGTACATGCGGTTGCTGCCGCCCTTCCGGGAATTGTCGCCAAAAAGCTTCAAGTGGTCGAGGCCTACTACGCTGGTCGAGCCGCCGCTGGTCGGCCCACCAAGCCATACGACTCGGCCTTGTTCCGGGCTGCCTCCGACAACGCGGCGGGCATCTACACCGTGTTCGGCGGCCAAGGAAACATTGAGGAATACTTTGATGAACTACGCGCCATCTACACCACGTACCCATCCTTTGTCGAAGACCTCATCACATCCTCGGCAGAGCTCTTGCAATCGCTCTCGCGCGAACCCGAGGCCAGCAAGCTGTACCCCAAGGGCTTGGATATCATTCAATGGCTACAGGATCGGGATAATCAGCCAGATACCGAATACCTGGTCTCTGCTCCCGTGAGCCTGCCATTGATCGGATTGGTCCAGCTGGCCCACTACATGGTCACTTGCAAGGTCCTGGGCCGCCAGCCAGGTGAGATCCTCGATCGCTTTCGCGGCACCACGGGTCACTCGCAGGGCGTGGTGACTGCGGCCGCCATCGCAACTGCCACCAGCTGGGAGTCTTTCGGCAAGGCCGCCCGGGATGCCCTGACCATGCTCTTCTGGATCGGCCTGCGCAGCCAACAAGCGTACCCGCGCACCTCTATTGCCCCGTCCGTTCTGCAGGACTCGATGGAGAATGGTGAGGGCGCTCCCACCCCGATGCTGTCCATTCGCGACCTCTCGCGTGCTGCCGTGCAGGAACACATCGATGCCACCAACCAGCACTTGCCCGAGGACCGGCATATCGCCATCTCCCTGGTCAACAGTGCCCGCAACTTCGTGGTGACGGGTCCGCCCATTTCTCTCTACGGGTTGAACTTGCGTCTGCGCAAGGTGAAGGCACCGACCGGCCTGGACCAGAACCGCGTTCCGTTCACGCAGCGGAAGATCCGTTTTGTCAACCGCTTCCTCCCCATCACCGCTCCCTTCCACAGCCAGTACCTAACCTCGGCCTATGTCCGGATCCTGGAAGATCTTGAGGACATCGATATTCCTGCCAAATCGCTAGCCATTGCCGTCTTTAACACCAAGTCGGGAGAGGATCTCCGGAAACTCGGCGATGAGAACGTGGTGCCCGCCCTCGTGCGCATGATCACGCACGATCCTGTCAACTGGGAACAAGCCACAGTCTTCCCGGGTGCCACCCATATTATTGACTTCGGACCTGGTGGCATCTCGGGTCTGGGTGTTCTCACCAACCGGAACAAAGACGGCACTGGCGTTCGGGTCATTCTGGCCGGTGAGATGGATGGCACTAATGCGGAGGTCGGCTACTCGCCGGAGCTATTTGATCGTGATGAGCATTCGGTCAAATACGCCGTGGACTGGGTGAAAGAGCATGGCCCGCGTCTGATTAAGACTTCCACCGGTCAGACTTATGTGGATACCAAAATGAGCCGCTTGCTGGGCATTCCCCCCGTCATGGTGGCTGGTATGACCCCCACTACTGTTCCATGGGACTTCGTGGCAGCCACAATGCAGGCCGGTTATCATGTTGAGCTCGCTGGTGGTGGCTACTACAATGCGAAGACCATGACCGAGGCCATCACCAAGATCGAGAAGGCCATTCCTCCGGGTCGTGGCATCACGGTCAACCTGATCTACGTCAACCCCCGTGCCATGGCCTGGCAGATCCCTCTCATCGGGCGACTCCGCGCTGATGGTGTGCCTGTCGAAGGGTTGACCATTGGTGCTGGTGTTCCTTCCATCGAGGTTGCCAATGAGTATATCGAGACTCTTGGTATCAAGCACATTGCCTTCAAGCCCGGCTCCGTCGATGCGATCCAGCAAGTGATCAATATTGCGAAGGCAAACCCCAAGTTCCCTGTCATCCTTCAGTGGACCGGCGGTCGTGGTGGTGGCCATCATTCGTTTGAGGATTTCCACCAACCCATTCTCCAGATGTATGGCCGCATCCGCAAGCAAGACAACATTGTGCTTGTCGCTGGTAGTGGCTTCGGTGGTTCCGAGGACACTTATCCCTACCTCTCAGGTACCTGGTCTGCCAAGTTCGGATATCCTTCGATGCCCTTCGATGGGTGCTTGTTCGGCAGTCGCATGATGATCGCCCAAGAGGCCCACACTTCCCGCAATGCCAAGAAGGCTATCGCTGATGCCCCGGGTGTGGATGATGCTGACTGGGAGAAGACCTACAAGGGTGCTGCTGGTGGTGTTGTCACCGTTCTGTCTGAGATGGGCGAGCCCATTCACAAGCTTGCCACCCGCGGTGTCTTGTTCTGGCAAGAAATGGACCAGAAGATCTTCAAGCTGGACAAGGCCAAGCGTATTCCTGAGCTCAAGAAGCAGCGAAACTACATCATCAAGAAATTGAACGATGACTTCCACAAAGTGTGGTTCGGCCGCAATGCTGCCGGAGAAGCGGTGGATTTGGAGGATATGACCTACACCGAAGTGGTTCACCGCATGGTGGATCTCATGTACGTCAAGCATGAATCCCGCTGGATCGATGACTCCCTAAAGCGCCTTACGGGCGATTTCCTCCGCCGCGTCGAGGAGCGTTTCACCACTACCGAGGGCCAAGCATCCCTGCTGCAGAATTATTCTGAGCTCGATACCCCGTATCCCGCTGTGGACAAGATCCTCGCCGTGTACCCTGAGGCAGCATCTCAGCTGATCAACGCACAGGATGCGCAACACTTCCTGCTGCTCTGCCAACGCAGGGGACAGAAGCCTGTTCCCTTCGTTCCGGCGCTTGACGAAAGCTTCGAGTACTGGTTCAAGAAAGACTCGCTATGGCAGAGTGAAGATCTCGAGGCAGTTGTCGGCCAGGATGTCGGCCGAACCTGTATCTTGCAGGGTCCCATGGCTGCCCGGTTCTCTAATATCATTGACGAGCCCGTGAAGGACATCCTCGATGGCGTCCACAACGGGCACATCGCTGGTCTAATCAAGGATGTTTACGGAGGTGACGAATCCAAGATTCCCTTGATCGAGTACTTCGGGGGACAGATTCCCACCTCTGATGAAGAGCCAGAGCTGGACGGACTCACCATCTCAGAAGAGCCAACCAAGATCAGCTTCCGGCTGTCATCCTCCCCCTCCGCCGCCTTGCCAGACTCCGACCGTTGGCTGCGCCTTTTGGCTGGCGACTCCTATTCATGGAGACACGCACTTTTCCTAGCGGACGTTTTTGTCCAAGGCCACCGCTTCCAGACCAACCCGATGAAGCGGATCGTGGCTCCTACCGGAGGCATGTACGTAGAAATTGCGAATCCCAGCGACCCGACCAAGACCGTCATCAGCGTGCGGGAGCCTTACCAATCTGGCAAGCTGGTGAAGACTGTCGAGGCTCGGATGAACGAGAATGGTCAAATTAGCCTTACTCTGTTCGAAGGACGCACTGCTGAAGGTGGCGTGGTGCCCCTAACCTTCCTGTTCACCTATCACCCGGAGACGGGATACGCTCCTATCCGCGAGGTCATGGGTGACCGCAACGACCGCATCAAGGAATTCTACTACCGCATCTGGTTTGGCAACAAGGATGTGCCGTTTGACACCCCCACCACTGCCACTTTCAACGGTGGCCGAGAGACTATCTCCTCTCAAGCTGTTGCGGACTTCGTTCACGCGGTTGGTAACACTGGCGAGGCTTTCGTTGACCGCCCAGGCAAGGAGGTTTTCGCTCCCATGGATTTCGCTATTGTCGCGGGCTGGAAGGCGATCACCAAGCCTATCTTCCCTCGCACCATCGACGGCGATCTCCTCAAGCTGGTCCATCTGTCCAATGGATTCAAGATGGTCCCCGGTGCTCAGCCCCTGAAGGTTGGCGATGTCCTGGACACAACTGCTCAGATCAACGCCGTCATCAATCAGGAGTCGGGCAAGATGGTCGAGGTGTGTGGCACCATCAAGCGGGAAGGCCAGCCCATCATGCATGTCACGAGCCAGTTCCTGTACCGTGGTGCCTACTCGGACTTTGAGAACACCTTCCAGCGCAAGGATGAGGTACCCATGCAGGTCCACCTCGCCACCAGCCGCGATGTGGCCATTCTCCGCTCCAAGGAGTGGTTCCGCATGGATGAGTCTGAGATCGAGCTTCTGGGCCAGACCCTCACGTTCCGCCTGCAGAGCTTGATCCGCTTCAAGAACCAGACCGTCTTCAGCAACGTCCAGACCATTGGTCAGGTTCTGCTAGAGCTGCCCACCAAGGAGGTCATCCAGGTGGCATCCGTGGATTATGAGGCCGGCGACTCCCATGGCAACCCGGTGATTGACTACCTCCAGCGCAACGGCACGTCAATCGAGCAGCCGGTCTACTTTGAGAACCCGATTCCGCTCAGCGGCAAGACTGCTCTGGAGCTGCGTGCCCCGGCATCTAACGAGACGTATGCCCGCGTCTCCGGTGACTACAACCCCATTCACGTCTCGCGTGTCTTCTCCAGCTACGCCAACTTGCCCGGCACAATCACCCACGGCATGTACAGCAGCGCCGCCGTTCGCAGTCTCGTGGAGACCTGGGCTGCAGAGAACAACATCGGTCGCGTTCGTGGTTTCCACGTCTCGCTGGTCGGCATGGTGCTGCCGAACGACATGATCACCGTCAAGCTCCAGCATGTTGGCATGATCGCTGGTCGCAAGATCATCAAGGTCGAAGCCAGCAACAAGGACAGTGAAGAGAAGGTCCTGCTAGGTGAGGCGGAGGTTGAGCAGCCTGTAACATCCTATGTATTCACCGGCCAGGGCTCTCAGGAGCAGGGCATGGGTATGGAGCTCTACGCCAGCAGCCCCGTGGCGAAGGAGGTCTGGGATCGGGCCGATCGCCACTTTATTGAGAATTACGGTCTCTCCATTATCGACATCGTCAAGAATAACCCCAAGGAGCTCACCGTCTATTTCGGTGGCCCACGGGGCAAGGCCATCCGCCAGAACTACATGGCGATGACCTTCGAGTCCGTGAATGCTGATGGCTCTATCAAGTCGGAGAAGATCTTCAAGGGGATCGATGAGAACACTGCTTCGTATACCTACCGGTCGCCGACAGGCCTGTTGTCCGCCACTCAATTCACCCAGCCCGCTCTGACCTTGATGGAGAAGGCCAGCTTTGAGGACATGCGCTCCAAGGGCCTAGTGCAACGCGACAGTAGCTTTGCCGGTCACTCGCTTGGTGAATACTCGGCCCTTGCTGCCCTAGCCGATGTCATGCCAATTGAGAGCTTGGTGTCCGTGGTGTTCTACCGCGGTCTGACCATGCAGGTCGCGGTCGAACGCGACGAGCAAGGCCGCTCTAATTACTCGATGTGTGCCGTCAACCCCAGCCGCATTTCCAAGACCTTCAACGAGCAGGCGCTACAATACGTGGTGGAGAACATCTCGGAGGTGACCGGTTGGCTTCTGGAGATCGTCAACTACAACGTCGCCAACATGCAGTACGTTGCTGCGGGTGATGTAAGCTTTTCTCTCCCCTTTCTCCTATGATTCTCATTGCTAACTGTCTTGTAGTTGCGCGCTCTCGACTGCCTCACAAACCTACTGAACTTCCTCAAAGCCCAGAACATTGATATTCCGGCTCTCATGCAGAGCATGTCTTTGGAGGACCTCAAGGCTCACCTCGTCAGTATCATCCAGGAGTGTGTCAAGCAGACCGAGGCCAAGCCCCGGCCCATCTCGCTGGAGCGTGGATTCGCGACCATCCCGCTGAAGGGTATCGACGTGCCCTTCCACAGTACCTTCTTGCGCTCCGGTGTCAAGCCTTTCCGGTCCTTCTTGCTGAAGAAGATTAACAAGACTACGATCGATCCCAGCAAACTGGTTGGCAAGTACATCCCCAACGTCACGGCCCGTCCCTTCGAGATCACCAAGGAGTACTTTGAAGATGTCTATAGGCTCACCAACTCGCCTCGCATCGCGTCGATCCTGGCGAACTGGGACAAGTATGAAGAGGGCAACGAGGCTCGGGCCACGGCCTGATCCTTTTGTACTTGCGTCTTGATTAACCATCGTCTATAATGCCTGCTGTGTTGTTCTTCCCATAGAGAGACCTGGTCAGTGGGTCATGATGTGATATGTCTAAAGCTGGCGGAGTTATTTTGTTTTTTTTTGCAATCCATGTACATGTTTCTAATTCTGAATAATTCAATTCCTTCTGTCAAGTGACTTCCTTGCTGTAAACAATCGCTAGAGTAGAATGAAGGCAAGACGGTAACAAAATCTATTTCCTCAAAATGTGGGTGTAGAAGTATGTACGCATATCCAGTCTTTAAGTCTCTCTCCAAGGACCAGGCCGCAGCATCCGGTCCTCCTTCCCATAGACGCTGACGTCTTTGACAATGGAGATGAACTTCTTGTGGTCGTCTCCAATGCGTGGACGGAAAATCCTCAGGAGATCGCTGCTGAGAATTCCTGTCGGTGGAATGGCCGCATGGATCTCCGCCGGTGTAGGGAATGTTCCAGCTGGTACCGGGGTTGACCGACCTTGACCTAACGTGGAATCAGTATGGAGTGTCCAAGAGAAAGCTCTCACAAACAATATCTTACCAGGACTGCTTGCACGGCTACCAGAGAAGCTTCGGCCACCGCCTGCAGGGCTTCCAGCTCGTGATCCCTGGGGGTGCCACCTCGGGATCCTGGGGCCGGAGGGTTCAACTTCAGCTTTTTAGTCTTGCTGCTCTCGCTCATCTCCCCTGCAGATCCGGCGCCTCCATCCACATCACTCCCAGACCCAGATGCACCAGGTGGGATGTTCCGGACACGCTTTTTGCCAGTCTGGTAAGGGTTAGTGGGGCCAAATTAATCTCTCCGAACGGGAAACAAAACACGTACCTGGACTGACGAAGCATTAGAGGGAGACATAGGGCGCGATGCAGGCTGAGAGGTCTGGTGCTTGCTCTTTGCCTTCTTCCGCGAGGTATCAGTGCCGCTAGCATCGGAGGCATTTGGTGATCCAGGACGCTTGCGAGATGCAGCAATCTTTTTCAGGGCGTCCGTATGCTTGGGGCGGCCAGAAGGGGTATTGGTTCCTTTGGAAGACGACGCCGATTCTTTCTGGTTCTTTTCCTCCTCTGCTTTGCGCTCTTCTTCCTTCAGCCGCTCGATTTCACTGTCATCGGAGCTCTGAAATAACAAACTCGTTAATATGAGTTGATCCTTGGTCATTAAGGGAAGTAGCCTTTACCTCGTCATCAGTATAGGGGTTTGCATCCGACCCACTGCTGTAGTCGTAGTTTCTCTCTCTCTTCTTAAGCGCCTTTCGCACTTTCTTCCCTAGCACGCGACGAGCCTCTCGTTCCCTCTTTTCCCGAAGCTCTTCGTTCTCGTAATCCTTCTCCTCCTTGAGATCGAAGACATTCGCTTTGAGTTGGTCTTCCTTGATCCGCTTTTCGGCAGCCTTGGCATCCTCGTCATCATTGAAAAGATCGTCGTGCTCTTCATCGTCGGCAAAGCGGTCTTCCTCGAAGTCCATTTCGCCGGCCTCCAGGCCCTCCCCACCCCCAGCAGCAACGCCCTGCTTACCGGCGTACACCTTGCGCTGTTTCGCAAATTGCTCTAGTTCCTTCTGTTGGGCGATCTCCTGCTGCTTTTCCATGAACCATCTTGGATCTTTGATCCGTTTGGCCATGTATTTTTCTGCCTCCTCAATCGTCAAAGCCTTGAAGTTGCTTTTGGCGTTGAATTTGTACCATTTCTCCACGGGGACCATCCTCATTTTGCCTGTATTTTCAAGGACAAACATCGCGTGGGTCTCGGACAGGGCTGCCTCGTAATTTCCTACCCAAATATTGCGGTTGTCAAAATCCTCGAGATGCCAGGGCAGCGCTTCTTCGTACTTGAGTCGCGCCCTCGCCACCTCCTCAGGAGTCAAGTCTGACTTGTACACCTGCTGTGTCTTTTGCTTGGGGCCATTCGATCGTTTCGGGCCCATTCCAACAGCGGGGGCGATTTGGGCCAAGTTTTCAGCACGCTCTTTCTCGCGCGCTACTTTTCTCGCATCAAGAGCTTCGCGTTCCGCTTCGTTCAACGCTAACGGCTGGCCATCCGGTCCAACATCCCCAAAGCCATGGCCCTTGTCTACTTCACTGGATCTGGATCGCGGATCGCGGCGGTGAAGTCGAACTGGTCGCGTAAACTGAGACTCATCTCGAGGGTCAACACTCTTCTTCGAGGCAAACCTCGCAATGTGATGCTTCAGCCCCTCCCGTAGAGCTCGCTTAGTTGTCACAAGCGGGTAGTCGACATATTTTTCGGAAATTAAGGGGCCACTGAATCCATTCACAGCGGCATTGTTCTGCGTAGGCGGAAGACGAATCTTCTCCGGCTGCGCTGGTGGCTGGGCATTCGATGCGGGTGGGTGCGTAGGCAGGGTCTTCGTAGCGGTCGCGTTACCTGAGGGTGCAGTCCCGGCAGGTTTGGCAGTGGGCTTTCTCTTCGGTCGAACCAAAGGGTCTGCCACTTTCGGGCGGCGAATTCTCATCGGCGGAGCTCCGTTAGACCCCGTTGGGGTTCGACCATTCATGGGGTTTTTAGGGGTCGACATTCTCCTTGGTCAGAGAAGGAGATCAGGCGACAGGCGGTGCGAGGAGTCGAAGGCGACGTGATCGCCGGGGCGCATCGACGAGTCAGCCCTCCAGGGACACGGGATGGGAAAGGGAGCAGGGAGAATAGAACCAAGGGAAGGGTTGATGCAGCAATCGGGGTATGGAGGGAACAATTATGATTTGAGCCTAACAGAGAGAAGGCGTGGAAGACAAGAATAATAACGGAGGGGGGGAAGGTGAATGAATGAATGAATGAATGAATGAGGTGAGGTGAAGGCGAACGGGCCGGATGGCACGCTGAGTAAGCAGTTTAGGCGTGGGTGGTGGAGTGAGTACAGTAGAAGTATAAATAGCTGACCTAGACGGATAACTATATTTCGGATTCTACAAAAACATGATATTTATTGGGCTTGATTCGCTCGGCTATTCAAGATGAAGGTCCGAATTTTTGGCCCGGCCCGAGTGGTTTGTACGGACAGGCAATCCAGTCACAGCCCTAGTTGTATCCCAGATTTAGCAACAAGACAGGACAAAGACATGGATCAACTCACCTGTTTGTAGATCTCAGTACCCCACCATTGGAGCCCCTCGGCCCAGCCGGGGTAGATGAAGGCAAAAAAAACAACCACAACGGCAAATGCCAGCCCGGAATCGAGGGCGGCCGATAGCGTCATCGCGTACTTTTCCCACCAGGCAGTCTTTTTCCGCCGGATGACAAAGTTGAACACGAAGCACACCAGTGCCCAGATGGAAAAATTGAGCCCAGTGGCCGGAGGGATCCAACTGAGGCTACCGAACAAAATGGGGAAGTTGACTTTGCGCCAGAAGCTCTTCTTGCTCCGACGCCCGAGCAGCCATGCACCGAAAGGAGCAGCTGCACCGACCAGAAACGCCCACACAAGAGGTCGATATAACCCTCCGGGTCCAAAGAAACGTTGCGGCCCGACAACGCCCCAGAGAACGCTTCCGTTGAAGTGGACACGAGCAATGGGGCAGTTAAAGCCATTGATCGCCTGCGCAGTGCACAGTCCCGGGATGTAGGTAAACATCCAGTTCAAAACCCCAATCTGTGTCAGACTTGAGATCAGGGTTGCTGCCATCTGCACACCAAAAAGAATGCGAGGAGGGATCTTCATGTAGTGGCCTAGCTTCAGGTCTGCGGAGAATTTGATCCCTTGAGCGGAACTGATATAGGAGTACGTCACAAATATCATGTTCGCCACCGGTCGTCCGGGAAAAACAATTCCGCAGAGAAGTTGACAGATCAGATAGAGACTACTATGCTGGTTGGTGATTGCCATGATGATCCCAATCGGAACATAGAATGTAGCGGTGACGCCCAAAGCCAAAAGCAATCCGTACCAGGGCAGATGCACCGGGTAGCTAGTCACATCTCAGTCCAAGATCAAAGGATGGATGGGGCAGGGCGTACGTACTGTTCGACGGTGAAAATAGCAATTGCCACCATGGAGATAAGCACAATGAGGTACCATGCCAACGGAGCATCTTTGTAACGGCGCATCAAGCGGCAATGAACATCCTCCACGCCTAAGCTCTCCCGAGGATTGTCGCGAGAACTATTGCGGGAAAGATCATAGCTTTGTCGACCAGTAGCAGGCCCGCGGTTTCCACTCAACGGCTGGTATGTTTCCAAGTTCGGTAGGTCTTGTCGTTCATTAAAGGCTTTTCTGGTTTGATTCCAAATATCTTTTCCATACCAGCAAATTGTATGTGTGACCAACGATGTCAACGCTGCAAATTGGACAGCGTAGGAGAGCACGTAAGTGATTGGAAGGTAGACCGGAGAATATTTTTCATATGCTTCCCAATTGAACAAGAAATCTTTGGTCAAGATGCGGCTCACGTTGTATGGCCGCCCAGTGTTGTCAAAAACCGCCGTTGAGAGGATCGGCATGTATGCGGAAAAGAGAACATTTTTATAATCTGCCATGTGGGCGCGTCAGTCCTACTGGTCAGTCTATGGTAGACAAGGAATTGATACACTTACACAGTATCGGAGAGAGAAACCAGACGACCACGACCAATCCCGTCACAATATTGGCGGCCGCCCACCACGGTGTCAGCAAAGGAGAACCTATGTACGCAATCTGTGCCCAGTCGAAGGTTAAAGGGAACATGCCGAGGCCCGAGGCCACGCCAAACTGAGATGGTCCATCAGAGATGATCTGCGGTGGAGGATCGGGAAAGCCTTACCAGGTTCGACACCACGACGTTCTTCGGAGCTAGCCAAGTGATGACATTGAAGTAACTCAGCGCCGGCATGAGCAACCCCGGGACGAAATACCAGAGAAAGGCACCTCCCCACACTAGGATGAAAAACCGGTATCGAGAAATTCGCCATCCATCTGCTCTCTTGTTGACGGACTTGTGCATGGTGGAGAACATGGCCGTGGACATTAGAGTCCCCGGCCAGATCATGGCCGATGGTCGTACCAGAAATCGCCTAGTGAGGCCCGCAAAGGCATAGCCGAGAACTTGGGTCGAGATTATGAGCAGAAGTTGGTATGAAATCGGGACCTCTTGCTTGTAGAATTTGTGCTGTTCAATAATGACCTAATACGGAAGTGAGATGGTAGGCTGATGTGAAAGGTATGTATAAACACCTACATCCGTTGCAAAAGCAAATCCGAAGGAGACATTGCTGCTGATATAGACACAGGCGTGCTCTTTTTCGTTCCAACAGCCTTGGGCGAGCCAGAGTCTGAAACGAGAGGTCCAGGTGATATTAGAGAGCTCGAGGTCAGTCGCAGGCGATTCCCGGTGGTGGAGAGTCCCATTCTCAAAGACCTCGACAGGGTCATCGGTCCGCTTGAGAAGCAAATCCCAGAACTTGCCCAGTGGATGGACCAAGACCAAAGCAATAATCGGGGTAATTGCGACACTCGGATAGCGTAGGGAGAAGAACAGGTTGGCCGCCGAGCCGGTTAATGAAAAGATCAACGCGAGGATCCACATGCGAGGGGCTATAAATTGTGACTGATATTAGACAGGTGATTCTAGGAAGGGTTTCTTGGGCAAGGCATAGTTACTGTTGATCGAAAGGGTAATGTCATCTGTCGCCGGGACCGAAGCACGCACTTGGGCATAACTAATGGTTGTCAATTAGTATTCACCACGAGACACTCGGCAGAAACAGTCATACGGGGAATTGTCTGGAGGATCATCATCCGTCGACTTGTCATCCTCGTCATCAATGTCTAGAACATCCTCATCGTCGTCACTGGTCATGTCGGGCGACGTGGACGGGGTCTTTTGAAAGGCGGAATTACCCGGCATGGCCAGCCCGGTCGCGAACGAACACTTGGAGTCGGCGCCCAGGCCCACGTCCGATGTGGCCGACGAGGGTCGTCGGTGGTGCGCTTGGGCATGCCAGCCGCTGTTCCGTCGGCGGCGGGACGAACGCGATCTTTTCTTGGCGGGGATCCTCGTGGCCGAGGGGCCGGGGTCATCGGGGTCGTATGGAAAACGCACAGCACCGTAGGACGAGGCGCCCAGGGCTGGCGAAGAGCGCAGCAGAGGGGCGCGCGACATCAAGGCCCACAGGCGCTGGGCCAGGGTGAGGGAGGGAGGGCAGTCGACAGAATCAGAGCGTTTCCTTCATCATTATCGTTGTCGGCGGGAGGACTCTGGCCCAGACATGCTGCTGCTGCTTGGGACAAGAGGGCCTCCGTGGCTGAAGGGGGATGGCCGTGGTGAAAGAAAGAGGACTACTCTGTTCCTGCAGTAGTGTAGAGAAAGCAAAGAATAAGAATGTGCCCGTGCGCCCACGCAGCCAGCCAGTCGGCCCCACTATGAGTCCTTGCTTTCTTTTCTCTCACGATGTAGACAGTATGGAGGTATACCGATATCCTGATCTCTATATTTACCTAGGTATACGGTGTATGATTATCTAAAACAGCTCCACCACCTTCTCATCCTCGTCCGCCGCCGCTGGTGGCTGCCCCTCGACCGCTGCTTGCGCCTGCGCCAGCTCGCCCTCGGTCTTGTCACCCTCGCCCTCCTCGTCACGCATCAACACCTGTACCAGCCGGTCGCACGCCTCCTGCAAATTCTCGTCCGAGACCTGCTGATGGCATTCGCGGATAATCGGATACACCTTTACCGCCCGCATCTTGTCACGTCCTTCTCGAGTGGTGGTCAGCAGCAGCAGGGTTTCCAGGTGGGTGGTCATGATGCTGGGGTCCTGATCCCGCTTCTTGTCCGGCGGCAGCAGTTGCAGATCTGGCAGCATCTCCATCGAGTCTTCCTCCGAGAACTCTTCGGGTCCGGTGATCGGGAGCAAGAGGTATGGAAGGAGATTGACCTCGTCTTCGGCGAAGAGCATGGGATGGGAGGGTACGTCGAACGAGATATTTTTGATAGTGGACGCCACGCCCTTGCGGCGAATGTCGCTTTGGTGCTCGGTGAACACCGTCAGCTTGGTGACCGGAACCACCCCATCGTACTCCTGGCGCGTGACAAAATAGGCCCGGCCCGCTTCCGATTGCGCCAGGTCGGCAAACAGGTAGGACAGATAGTCGTAGGTGGCATTCTTATTGAGGGCTCCCTCGGCGCCCTTGACAAAGCAATCCATCAGCTGGTCAATGGCATTCTCGGACGACGACACGGACTCGGGGGCTTTGCGCTTCAGCGTGAGCAACTTCTGTAGCCGATCTGACTTGGCCATGTTGGCCAGGAGCATCGTAAATTCGTCGGCATTGGGCTCTTTAACGTTCTACCGCCCTCTCAGGTCAGTGTCACGACCGGAGATGAGGGAGTACATGCCCACCGTCAATTTTAGTAGCAAGGTCTCCAGGAACGTCTCATCTTCGACCAAGTTGGCCAACACCTCCTCATCGCCCGCGAGATTGATGAGCATGGTCAACGCATTTTTGGCGATCGGCTATCCAGGCGCATCAGTGGATAGAGTCACCAGGGCTGGTTTTTGCACGCACAGGGTAGTCACGGGCCAGGAGTTTCAGGTCGCGCACAGGCAGCAGCTGGTGTCGCTTGAACAGGTCGGGCTGAGCGGTGGAAAACCCAACGAGGTTCTCGCAGGCTAGGGGGAGTCAGGTCTGGTCGGAGTCGGAGTCGGGGAGACGCATACCGATCTGTCTGATCTGGGTGTTGCCGTGGTGGAGGAATTCCACCAGCTGGTTGATTGATTGATGTTAGTGACTCGACAGTCAAACTACCAAGAGGGAGAACTGACCTCCTCCAGTTCGGTCGGCATGGTGGGTGGGCGTAGTGTTGGTGGTGGTGGTGATGGAGAGAGAAGAGTGAACAATAATGTACATTATAATTTTTTCCGCCCAACCGCACGTCATATCCTTCCGTCTCCACGCTTCCCTTTCCCTTTCTCTTTTACTTCCCTACTTCCCTTCTCCGTTGCATGTACTACCAACCTATCTACCTAACTTAGGTAGGTATCATTATCTATACCTAGCACCTCTTGTTATACATAGGTCAGATCTCTCCCCACCATACAGGCCCTCCATCTAGCGCGGATCCATCCCCCTCCCCCCCCACGTTTCCTCCTTTAACCGCCCGCCATGGTCGACCACACTCCAATCCTGCCCGAGATCCACGACTTTCTGGTGTCTCTTGCCTTCCAGGCGGGCGAGATTATCACCAATGCCCTCCCCGACACCAGTGGCACCGGCTCGAAGAAAAACAGTCCGTGTTCCAAATCGAACAATCAACAAACCAGGCATGAATGAGCTGATCCCGCACCAGGTGCCGATCTGGTCACCGAGTATGACCGTGCAGTGGAGAAGATGATCTCGACCTCCCTGAAGGAGCGGTATCCGGACTACGAGTAGGTATTATTCTCATCCTCTCCTCCGCGGGAAAGAACTGATGCGCTCCTCTTGCGAGCTCTCCAGGTTCCACGGCGAGGAAACATATGACCCGGCGCGTCCATTGACCGACGCCCCGACATTTGTTGTGGACCCAATCGACGGAACGGTCAACTTTGTCCACAGCTTCCCCTACGCCTGCGTCTCTCTCGGCTTCGCGGTGGGGCGAATACCGACAGTAGGTGTGGTGTACAACCCATCCACCCAGACGCTGTATTCTGCCATTCGGGGCCAGGGAGCCTTCCTCAACCGAAAGACTCCCCTGCCCCTCAAGGGCGATAATACAGAACCCCTGACCGGCCTAGAGAATGCGCTCATCGGCGTCGAATGGGGCTCGGATCGCAATGGGAAAAACTGGGACACCAAGATCCGCACGTTTGAGAAACTGGGCAAATCCAAGGAAAATGGCGGAGCCATGGTTCGGTCAATGCGCAGCATGGGCTCTGCGGCGCTGAACCTTTGCGCCGTTGCGGACGGCACGCTGGACCTGTACTGGGAAGGCGGCTGCTGGGCGTGGGATGTCTGCGCCGGATGGGTCATCCTGACCGAGGCCGGGGGGATCATGGCAGACGGAAGCCCCGGAGGGTGGGAGCCGCGCCTGGATGGGCGCAAGTACCTCGCTGTGCGCGGCGCTCCCAATGGCAGCGGACAGCGAGAGCTAGTGGAAGAGTTCTGGAGCCATGTACAGGGTGAACTAGAATATTGATCGAACATCGGATTGACCTAAACCATAGTATTTATTGTGTGCACAAATATATAGAGAAAAAAAGTATGTACAATCCCCAATCAGGACAGTCTAGGACCAGCGAAAGGTAGTTTCCTCAAAGCCGGACTCGCAGTCATCCTCATCGACTTCCCGGTCAGTCCACCGCGCCGAATCTTGTCGCCAGACCTCAGGCGGATGAGATGCGCCGTAAACACTGGCCGTTTCCTGAGATTCATCAAACGGGAATGTCTCCGACCGCCCATGAAAAGCGGAGTCTTCCGATGGCTCGAAATCTGAACGGGGATCCAGCCCCAAGGCCTGTCCGGCCCGGCAGGTCTTATCGACCGGCGTGTCAGATCGCAGAGAGTCGGACGCGCCTTCAATCTCATCTCCGGAGCTCGTGGGCCCAATGTTTGGTGATTTCGCCCGCTCCACATTCTGTTTCAGCACATCATCCAGCTCGGCGACAGGAGTATGGCCAAAGTGCGTGTCCACCAGATGTTTGACCACTGGCCACCCATAAGAATTGGTGAACATACGGCGCACAATGATGTTATTGTGTGCATCGGGTTCGAGACGGACGAGCACTTTCCGCCAAGGGAGATCACGGTGATAGGCTCGCGCGATCTTCTCCTCCACCTTGAGGCCACTCTCGCGGTGCTCTCCATTGGCACTACCACCAGAAGGCAGTTGAGTTGCGGATGCTGGGACTGCACTTGCCTTCGTCTTGTTTTGCAAAGGGCTGAAGCTCAATGTCCGCCGCTTGACGGGCAGCGGGGGTGGGATGTCGTCGGGGTGGTAGATGCGATCATGGAAGATCGTGCGGGGGCGCGTCGCGGGATCTAGGATGAAGTCCGTGGGAGGCAGTGGCGGCATGAGCAGATCTCCGGCGGACTCAAAAAAAGTCGTTCTGGGGGGCGTATGGACCCCATCATCTTCGTATAAGGAGCTGCCGCGCACGATGGCCGGCGGTTGATCAGAATCCATCGAGCTGAGGGTCTGGCTACGTTTGTAAATCTTGGCCTGCTTGCTGCTGGATGGACCCCTTGTCTCTTTCGGGCGAAAGAGGGAGAAGATGCTGTCCAAGGGACCGAGATTGTCCTTGGATTCTCCCTCTCCCGCACCACCGTTGGCAGATAACAATTGGGGTCTGGCCAGGAACTGGTTAGGGGATGGGGAGAGCGAGAGCCCATCGACGTCCACCTCGCTCTCGACGCCTGCCTCTCCACCAGAGCGAGCGATCTGTGGGATTTTCGAATTTGCCCCCGTCAACTCGGCCCAGCCCCATTCGGCCATGGTTCCAACCAGTCCATTGTCTCGCCGTGCCTTCTCGACTCGATCAAGGCCACGCCAATCCAGAAAAAGCAGACAGGAGGTCCGAAGCGGAACGATCCCGTCATTAACCACATTTGAATAGATAGTGCGGTGCTGGAACTTGTGAAGAACTTCGTGGGCAGGGCCACAGGGGAGAATTCGTAGCAGCGGCTTGGAACCGGGATCCGCATGACTTTGATCATTCGTCGGCTCCCCTCCTCGGCCTCCGATGAGGGCGCCCCAGCCACTGCGGACCTTGGGTGCCGTCCAGCTGAGCCCGAGATCTTGACCGGTGCGGCCGACGAGGCCGAGATCCAGGGCAAATCGAACGTACATTGGATTCTCATTGCTGAGACCTAGGAAGGGAGTGGCCAACGCAATGAAATTGACGGGCCGAATGCATTCAAAGAATTCGGGAGAGTGTTTCCGGATATATGCAATGGCGTAGGTCTGAACCAACCCACCCAAGGAGTGTCCGATGAAGCTGATACTGGTGATCTGATACGGGTGGTCGTCAGACTCCGGATCGTTGGGCTCAGAAGCCCGATGGGGTCCCAGGGGCTGCTCGGTCTGTTTCTTACGAGACGTGAATGGTCGTGAGAAGGGCCCAGACTTGGAGGTCTTCAGGGGAAAGTAGGGCTGATCTGGGTATGTCATCAGCAAGACATATTTGGCCAGACGTTTGCCGAGATATTGGATGCCGCGCTCGGTGCGCACTGCGTTGCCGGAGAAGCCTCGGACAATAATTTCCTCGTCATTTTCATCCTCAACGGAATCACGAAGCTTTTCTTCTTTGGCTTTTCTAGTAGCGGCATCGATGCTTTCCTTCATATATAGCATGTCCGCGCCCAAGTTACTGTGTAGGCCATGCGTCAACACAACCAGATGGATCTTCTTCTTTTTTGGAGATGTTTCCAGCGCGTTCTCGGATTCCTGGGTGTCCGGCAAGGGTTGATCTGAATCGTGCCTGTCTGGCCCTGTACTCGTGGCCACCTCCTTGGCCGAAGGTAACGGTGGATTGTTCCATAGACTGCTGGTGTCATCTACGCGTAGCAAGATCGACTTGGAGAAAACACCTTTGGTTGCCCGCACCTGCTGACCCCGTGTCTCGGGGGACCAATGTTCATGCAACTTGGCTGCCGGGCCTCGTCCACCGGTCCACGGTCCGCCAAAGAGGTCCACGGACTTCTTGTCGCGGCCAACCAACAACTCGAAGTGGACGGCAGCGCTGCTTGAAAAGAGCACCTGGGAGACAATCTCGATCACCCATGTCACGCTGCGGGCAGGCTCGTCCTGGAGAGTTGGCGGCACCTTGACGACCGCGTCCCAGTTACCGCCGGCCTTGAGGTACGGTTCGAACTGCGGGCTTCCCTCGATCTCTGCGCGGTCGTACCTGTGATTGGGATCGAAGGCAGCGGGATAGCAGGCCGTGTAGAGCGTGTAGGGGCCATGGAGGTAGGCGGCGCGCAGGGGGATGGCGGAGGTGTTCTTGATACGCACATGGAGCTGTGACGGGATGGGCTGGATCGGGTCCGCGGCGGGTGTGTAGGTGACAGTGTACCGAATGATTTCGCCGACGCGGACGCTGCCCAGCTGGTGGACGAGCAGCATGTTGGCAGGGGAAGAGCGCCAGCCCGCAAGAGCGTAGAAGCGCGGCAGCAGGCCTTCACAGGGTTCGGACTGGGCGGCCACGTAAGTTCGAGGCGTGACGAGCATTGGAGGACGGGGCCATATTTATTTAGGGTGGGGAGTGGGTGCGTGAATGGGTGGGTGAAGAAGGGAAGAGTTACTAGTGTAGGTACAGTACGAACTACCATCACTTGACCACCACCTACGACAGCTACAGCACCCGCAACACCTCCAACATCCGCCGTGGCTCCTTTCGCACCACCATCCACCCGTCCGGCTCTACCGCGACGATCTGGCCATCGATACACACCCGCCGCCATCGCTCCTCGTCCTCCTGGAAATCAATGCGCAACGCGTCCACCTCGACATAGGTCACCGTCTCGTCTTGCACGTGCTGTCCGCCTTGATACGCCCGCGTCATGAGGCTCATGGCCTGGTCTGCGCTCACCGGTCCGAACCGGATCAGCTTCATCTGCCCGCTCAGTGCCTCCGAGTCCGGCGAGATCAGGAACTCCTTCTCCAGTCGCGGAACCAGCGTCGCCAGCACATACATGTGCTCCGGGTCCGGTAGTTCCTCCTGCCTGCCTTCCGCCGAGGTCAGCGTGATACGGCCGCGAAACGCATGAGGCACAGAGCCGTCGGACGGGTAGAGTAGCTCTTGGGCTGCCATCTGAAATCGCTGGGCCCCGAAGGCCCGATACTCGGCCGTGTCACTGTCGGCGACCAGCGCCGCATGAAACCCCCAGCTGGCAACGACCGCTCCGTAGAGATGGGAGTCGTCAATGCGAGCCCGTCCACGGCCCTCGTCAATCACCAGCCGACTTCCGGGGGAGAACTGGGCGGCAAAGACGGGGAGGGAAGATGGCTGGCCCCGGAGCAGGGCCGGTAGACCTGACATCGGTCCAGATCGGAGCCCAATGGAGCTGGCCATAGCATTGCCGGTCCCACAGGGGATCAGGGCGATGGTGGGCGGCACCGACACCGTGCGGTCGGACTTGTAGAAGACGTCGACCAGGTCTACCAGCCCGCCATCCCCGGTGAGCAGGACGATCGTTTGCGCGATCCCCTGGCAGGCGCGCTCGAGGAATTTCGTCCGAGCCAGTTCCGAAATCGTGTTCTCGGTCTCGGTCTCATAGACTTCGTAGTCCCGCCCCAGAGAGGCAAGAAAAGGCTGGACCAGATCTGAGAATACGGCGGGGGCTGTCCCCGTACCAGACCGCGCGGAGATGACGACCTGGAGCAAACCGTGCTGCAGGTGGGCGGGAAGATCGGTGACCAGCAGGGACGACAGCTCCGAGGGTAGGGTGGGGATAACCACCGTCTTCAAGCGAGTATGGCCGCTGTCGAAGAACAGCACCCGGTAGGCCAGGTCTGCCGTGGGCAGGATTCCCAGAATGTCTTCCCGCGCAATCCAGTCTTCGCCAGATCGAAGCGCCGGGTCTACGACGTCCGCCATCGTGGGAAGGATGGAGGGGGAAAGATGTGTTATCGGGCTCCCCGGGCGATAAAACCTGCACATTGATCACGACATACATCTATGATTTGTCCTTTTTGTTTATCCTTCTTCTAGTAATAATACAACAAGACAGAAAGAATTAGAAGGAAGAAAGAAAAACTATTACAAAACTAGGGGCTGCTGGGCTGCGACACATGTTTGTCGCTGAGGTTGACGGCAATGAATGACTGGGGTAGTTTGACCCTAAACATTCGGTCAGTAGGGGAGAAAAAAAGAAGCAAGGACAAGAAGAGTAGTCACTGACGTGTCAAACTTGGCCTTCAGGGTCTCAATGACCTCCTTCCAATCCTGATGGGCCGTCAGGCTACGTCGGGGCGTACAGCCGATCGAGTGTCGGGAATCCAGTTGCACGTCCAGCGGGTCGAACGCATGGCATCCAGGGCTGATAGAGATACGGATCGAGTAGGAATTGATCGACGACTCGCTGTCCCGGGCCTCGTACAGTTCAAAGCAGATCTGTGACAGATAGTCGAGCTCGGGGATGGCGCTTCTCGCAATCTTCGTCTGGATGCCGCCCTCGAGAATGCAATTCAGCAGCGTGTAGATGTGGGACTCCTTGGTGAAGTAAAAAAACGATTTCGCATCGGGGGAGGCTTGCACCTCCTCCAGGTCTCGCACAATTTCCCGGAGCAGAGGGAGAGACGTGAGGAGGCCGATCTCCAGCTTCTCGCTGTCCGTAATGCCGTATTCCTGAGGCGTCACGTAGTCAAACAGAACTTTGGCCAACTTGTACAGCTCCCGCAGCTTGGACAGCCGCTCATCCATCTTGGAGTTGGTTGAGTTCGAGCCCGGGAACAGCTTGAAATAATGGCCATAGGAATCATCCAGTGCCCGAAGATGCGGTAGAGAATCTAGGGCCTGCGCGCGCTTCTTCAAGCCTAGCCGGTGGGCAAAGGTCTGGTTCTCTGAGCGCTCTTCGGATTTCTCGGTCGTGGCCTCATAGGGTGGTTTATCCACAGCCAGATCCGATTTGGTGGAACCCTTGCCTTTGGTGCTGCTCCGTTCATCCTCTTCCCGGTCATCATCCGGGGGCACAAAGACCCATTCCAGGAACTGTCGGTTGTGCAGCGCATCGAATTTCATGCTGTCATAAAGCTCAGAGAGTTTGCTAGGGTCAACCTTTTCGGTGTCACAGAACTCTGCGAAAAGCTTCTCCCATCGCTCCTTGAAGAGTCGTGGGTCCTCACCAGCACACCAGCGACCCTGGATAGAAGAAATATGGGAGCTATCCGTCTGCGAATCCACCTGATTCGACTGACCCGGGGCTTCTGGGCTTCTGTCCGGTGAGCCGCGAGCAGAGCTATTGAGCTTCTCGAAATTATGCCGCATGACGCTGCGGTGGAACTTCATCAGTTCCACCACGGTAGCAAGGACCACTGAGGGCTCTGGAATATTGGTATCCTTGGGCCATGCAAATTGAGACGGTGCGGATCCTTCGCGCAGGAGTAGCTTCAGCTTCTTCTTGACCTTGTCCATGACATCCTTGGCAGCATTCGAATCATCAAGCAAATCTTTTCGCACTTGAATGAAATCATCAGGCAAATCGTTCTGATCAAGAAAAGAACAAGCCCAGATTTGAGCTACTCAACCATGATCAGCAAACATTTCAAGTAACAAGTAGACTGAAACCTACCACTCGTGCTCACTCTTCTCTCGGAGCTCGTGAAAAGACGAACGTTATTGAGTGCCTCCTTGTTCATCAACTTGAGATCATCCCGCATGTTAAGCCCCAGGTCCTGCGATTGATAACGTGCTGCATGCGTCGGCTCTCCTCCCCACTTGATGACCAGCTGCAGTTTGTCCAGGATGAGGTCATTTTCAGCAGCCGAGAATCGAGAGAATGTGGCTCCAGAGATAGAGTCACTCCGGGTCTGTGACCGGCGAAGGCTCTCGTTGTCAACCGGGGGTTCACTTGATATGGGCGACGTTGGTTCCTCCAAGGGAGCATCTCGTGACGAGGCTATCGGAACGGTGGGGATTTGCTCTCGCATCTCCTCCGGTTTCCGTTTTCGAAACATGGGCTTGATCTGGACTTTGGTCCCTGGCCAACCGCCTTTCTTCTCCAATGAGGTTTGGAGCAGTTTGAGCTTATCCCGATCCTCCAGCCCTTGCGCTAGTGCTATTTTAACGGCCTCCGAGACACTAGACAAGGCAGCCTCTCCTTTGATCACGACCTCCTCCTGATGGCCCTTCAACAGATCCACAAACGGCTGGCTATGGAAGGTGAACTTGAATTTCTGCTTGGGAGTGCGGTCTGCATGCCGAATAACTGCTACCATGCCCTTCAACTTCCATGAGTGCTTCGAGGCCGGAAGAGGCGGAGGGGCTTCTTCGTTGGCAATGTGCAGTGAAATGGCCGGGGATTTCGTGTTGGAAGGACTGTAGCCACGCGAACTAGAGCGTCCTTCCGATGGATTCGTGGTGCTGAAATGAGTTCCTTGGTCGGGATTCTCAAAACCTGATGAAGAGGCGAGGGAGGGAGCAGCGGTAGATGTATCTGATGATGGGACATTGTCGGCTGCTTTTGAAGTACTCTGGCTGCCGTACAGCCGGGATGTACTCGGGGACTTGAGCAACGTCTTCAGTGCTTGCCTGTGGGATCCAGCGGTGCTTCTTCGGGATTGTCCTAAGTCCGGCGAGGGTGGTTCGGAGGATTCGATTTCCTCAAACTTGCGTCTCTCGCTCAAGAATGTGTGGTGGAGGATGTTGGCACATTTATCATAGTAGTCATTGTTGTCCTTGACGAAACTCCAGCCGTTGACATCAATGACATAACTTTTGTCCCCGACACGTAACATATCAAAACCGCAAATTCTCTGACCAAATCCATTGGAGATCTTCGAGGCAATGGTCGCCTCCTCTTTGCTCAGCTTGGTGATGTATCGGAGTTCCTTTCCATGCGTATTACGCCGCACAAGCCCATCAACCACGGGAGACTTGCGAGTCTCGGCGTGACAAAAGTCAGGTCCAACCGTGTACGCCTTGACATCCTCCGCATTGTCAACCCGGAGGAACTGCTCATACAGGTAACTCGTATCCTTTTCGGTTACTGATCTCGGGATGACGAGGTCACTGTCATATTCTGAGCTCTTGTTTCCAACTTTTCGGAAGAGCTTGCGGCCTCCGCCGCCATATTGCTGATCGTTGGGGAAGTAGATATGAATGTTGTGGTCTTCGCCGTTCACCGGTTTTTCCACAAACGGCTTCTTGAAGACTTTTCCGTCCACAATGAGAGCTTCCCCGTCCTCGGACATGGAAACGTCCTGGGTTCGAGGAGCGCCACCCCCAGTCCCATCTTCTGGGCCGTCCAGCCTGACGCCGGTGAGCTTGTAGATGTGCTGTGCGAGTTCCGGTGATTCCAGTACGGGGCCGCCATCCCGATTGACTTCCATTCTCCTGGGAGTCGGCACCCCCATGTGGTCCAGGATCATTAAGCACAATCGCCGGTCCCACAACACCTTCTGCATCGGTAGGTCATTGACGCAGAACGGTTTCCGGAGTTTGACATACGCGATCGCTTTGTCCAGCGGGAAACCATCAGAGAAGAAGGCAATGAGAAAATCGCATACTGGCCAGTTCTCTACGGCTTCGTCCAAAATGACTTTATCTCCGAACACAATGACTTCGAAATCTCCTTTCGATTGGAGACGAGTGAGGATGTTTTGACTGGGCTTGCTGCGTGCTTTGACATCCAGTGCGCAGACTCCAATGCGCCATGGCTTCACTGAGGAAGATTCCAGTTCACTGATTGAGCTCGCAGCAGTGCTGGCAGCCGTACTTCCACTGAACCGCCTCAGTGCGCGACTTGACGAGCGAGTCGAGTGTCCAAATCGACCTGCGGGGCGAGGATCTGAGACCGAGTCCGTTTTAACAGATCTGGAGGATTCTCCAATAGGGGGAATGGGGGGATAAGTCCCGTGGGCGTTCGTTCATTGGGCTCGGAATCAACAGTAGATTGGACGACGGAATTGTGTTCGACCACGCTCTGGAGGGGATCGGCGGAAGGCCCGCTGGTGCTGCTGCGATCCATTGAGGAACAGGGCGACCAGTAAAGGTCGTAGGAGGAAGTTGATCGATTAAGGCAGGTCAGTATGCAGTAGGGGGGCAGGCATTCTGGAAGATGAATGGATTGATCGATTGATTGGTCAAGTGAAGAGGAATGAGGAAGCAGAAGAAGATAAGGTCGATAACGGTGGGATTCACCGCCTTAGTGACTAATCGTGGCCGAGCGTAATCCCCGTACGAGCCACCCGCCGTAAATGCGATAAATTACAACTTGATATCTCAGCAACAGTAGCTTAATATGAGATTGATTATATCGGAGTGCTAGTTAGATCATATCTAACTTAATTCTGATGTTTAAAAAAATATGTGATCTTTACTGCTTCAGATGTATATATCTATAGGTTGTGTAGCTATATGTTCCGGTAATACAATCAAATAATTCTTTAGTTTAGATTTAAGTGAGTTTCCATTATTTTCTATACCGAGTAATCGCATTTTGCCAATAAATATATCCACAAACGAGCGCCGCACCCAACCAACTATAACCTATTTAGATCGATTTATTAGACCATGAACGCCACCAAACAATCAATCAATGTTCATTTGCCCGATGTAGCTTGCTTTATGTATAGCCGCTATGCGGGAGTGCTGTCAGGCCTGTCTGACAGCCGAGAGAGTGACTCCCAGAAGAAGGCCACCAATTTCAAATTCCTACCTATCAGGCCTATTAGGGCAATACGTTCTTTATGCCCAACTTGGTTATAGTCACTGCATCGTGGGGGAGAGGGGGGCGAGGGGCATCCCAGACATTATTAGCCTGCTTTAGACCATTGAATGCCTCCCTACCCTCATAACTATCAAATCCCTAGAATCGAGTAACGCGCTCTGTAGACCTCTCACGCTTTTCTTTCGTATCTTATTCATAGCCAGTAAATCGTGGATTTACTAGCGAAGAATTGCCATTTTGTGCATCGCGAATTAGGTAGCTCTAGTAAGCTAGTCGACCTGCCTCTCTATAGGGCTTAGGGAGCTTTGTATTCGTCGAATAATCAGGGGTTTATTGATAAAGCTTGTTGATCCAGTTGTTTAAAGTTTGCTAGCGTGCCAGGGCTCTACACGCTTGATCGACTGCCTAGTCGACTACCTAGGGGAGTAGGTGTCCGAAGTTGAGCATTATGTTTTGAACTGACTCCCCCTAGATGAAATAGGACTGAACTAGCTACTTCGAAAGCATCCTGGATAGTTGATGGGTTAAATGCTTCTACGTGAGCCCATAGGAATACTTTAAGGGATCAAGCTTATCGATATGATTAATATTGCATCACCGTTTTAGCCTCGATCATCCTTCCATATACGCGCTTTAGGGGCAAATAGCCTACATCCAAGGGCTATAATAGATACGACATATGCGGAGGCATATAAATTGGAATAATGTCGTTTTGAGAACATAATCAATCAAAATTAGGCGATAGATAACTACTATAGCTATTAAGAACCAGTAGTCGATATTTATCCCTAGTATGACTCGTAATCATAGGGATAGTTTAGTCTATAATCTAGCTATTATCGGTGATTTCGACTCTGTAACTAATCGTTAAGTTATCATACTAAGCCTCTTAGTAGTAGGTTCTAGCTTTGGTGATAGTTAGGGGAAGTACAAATCCCATCGTACCTACACATTCAATCGGTATAACCTATTCACGATCCCATAGTTGTAGGACCAACCTCTAACTATAGTATTAGGCTATTACAAATGACTTCAGCGGTCGCTATTAGCCCTATTGCAAAGCTAGTTTCATCAAAATTGTAGATATTCTCCGTTTGGATACCGTTTTTGTCGATTGTGCCTCGTACAATGTCAAACTATGGCATAATGAGCCGTTATAGTTATGATAATTATAAAACATTAGAGGAATAATTAATTCATAATCGCTTCAAGAACTGTAACGTTAAATGATTTATATACTACCTTAAAACAAATAAGTTCAGTTTGTAGTTAGAACTCTTGTAATTAAGCTATAAGGACTACAAAATGGATGAAATCTTTTCGCCTTTAGATTTCTACGTCAATTCTTTATAGGCGATAAATAGCCTAATAAATTTATACTAAAATTATTATAGTAGTACAGAGGCTTTTTTATATATACTGAATTTATTACTATAGTAGAGATAGATGACTTATAATGTAATCCCTAGTTACTAACGTTATAAGTTATAACTAGATTAATTATCTAATTATATTTCTAACCTCTTAAGTGTTTAACACTATATAAGTGCTAGAATTAGGGCTTTCTAATAAAGACTTCTTATTAGCTCTTAAAACTAGGATTTCTAGATATATAAGTGTTTAACAGATCAAGCTAAGATAGTAAGATAGAAGTAAACAACTAGCGAAACGGTTCTAATAGGTTTATACTTAATCGGGCCTTCCGTATTGGTTATGTTGGGTCCTCCTAGCTAGAGCCTATCTTTTATAAAGGGCAAATAGGTCTATTTTTCTGCTATAGTGAATTAATAGTTAAAAATATACCACTCAAATATACATAGAGCTAGATAGCTAGATAGAATATAATCTAGTAAACTTTACTTTTTACTTCATTTATAAGTCTATGTTAGGCGAGCGTAATTCTCGGGTGAGTGGGCCAGCCCAAAACACCATAGTAAATAGGATATTTTACCACTCAATATTCCAACACCATAGCTTAATATGAGGTTTTATAAAATGATAGTACTTTTTCGATCATAGGTAGCCTATTTATTATGTTTAAAAGGTTTATAATACTTGTGGGTTCAGATATATATGTTTGTCGTCTCCGGAACTGTATTTTTTGGTAATATAAGGTAACATTCTTTTAATTCAGGTTTAGGGCTGTTCATACTATTTACCATGCCTCTTAATATTACCTAACCGAACATCCAAAAAGAATTAACTTGTGGTTCTTGAGATATCGAGTTGTATGATATCCCATTTACTATGGTGTTTTGGCCCACTCACCCGGGAATTACATTAAATCAATATCTTCCTTTTTCTAATCAGTGAACTATAGTTATAGTAATTTCCTTAATTGATATAGCCTGGATTAGCCAAAGTCTACGCTTAGCGAACCCCTAATTTCTTTAAAGAATTCCTTACTATTTTAACAAACCTTTAATGATTCATAAATCCTTTCTACCTTTCCTCTTATCCTACTACTTAGTTCCTCGATTTAGAGAGGTTATAAGACCTACTTTTATCTCACAATAATGCGTAATCCTCTTAATCTAGCTAGCTCCCGGCCTAAATCGAGCCGCGTAGTATTTCAATTAGCTTATACTATTTATTACGCGTGTTTATAGTTCTATACTAATAACCAAATAAAGGTAACTTGTGGTTGTTGAATTATTGAGTTACGAAAATAATGTATTTACTATGATGTTTTGGGGTGCGGCGCTCGCTGGTGGATTACATTGGTCGTTTTTAAAGTCGCCATAATATTATATCCCATACTAAATCGAGTCAAGATGCTCTAAATAGAAATCTCCTTTTTTTATATCCTATTTTAGTCCTACTATGTTTACAATTATAATAAAACTAGCCTATATTAGGTAGTACCTAATCTAGAACTACTACAGAAATTTCTAGGTTTAAGAAATCGAGATAGCGCATAACCCAGTATTTCTACATAAATCTCCATAGCTTTCATAAATTACTCGCTTGAGTAATTAAAGAAGTAGCGAAGTTATATATTTAGAAATTTAGAAGGGCTAGTAGTAGCATTTCTAATTTAAGAATTAAATAGTATAATGAGAATAACTGGATAAATGTGAGAACTATAACGTAATCCACATGCGAGCTGGACACACAAGCGAGCTGGACACTAATTCAACTACCAATATTTTGAATCGATTTATTAAACCACCAACGCCAATAATTTCAAATTTCTACCTATTAGACCTATTGGGACAACTCCTTCTTGTATGACCTATTTGATTGCAGTCACTGCATCGCGGGGGGGGCGCGTCTGGTTGGCTGGGAAGCTGACGCATCGGGTTCCGCGGGGGTAGTCTCATTAGTCTGATTAAGACAACTAAATGCCTCTAGACCCTCAAAGACCTCAAATCCCTCTGTATGAGCTGTGCGCCTATTCGATTTCTTACGCTTTTGCTTTTTTGTCTCATTTGCTGCGCGAAGGTCCTGATTATCCTTGAGAAGAAGTGCATTATGATGTAGTGAGAGCTGGTAGCCCTTAAGAAGCTGATCAAACAATAAGTTTGTAGGCGTCGGAGGACTTTGCGAGCGCCTTTCTAGCAATGCCTTAATCGATGAAGCTTGTCGATTTAATTGCTTGATATTATGGGGCGTCTTAGGGGACCATGCGCTCGATTGGCTCCCTGGTCGACTTCCTGGGGGAGTAGGGGTCCGTAGTTGGATATTGAGCTTTGAAATGACCTGTTTAGGATCATATGGTACTAAACCAGCTGCGGAAAATGCATTTTGGATAGTCGCTGGTTTAAAAGCTTCTGCGCGAGCCTGTGGAAATGCCGCAAGGAAATCAAGCTTGTCGATATGATTGATATTGCATCGTGCTTTGCGCTCAATCAACCCCCCATATGCGCGCTTTAGGGGGCAAAACAGCCTATATCCAAAGGCTGTAGTAGATGCGAGGAATGTGGTGGCATACAGATAGGAATAATATCGTTTTCAGAGCACAATCAATCAAAATGGGGGGTCAAATGACTACCATGGCCGTCAAGAACTAGTAGTCGATATTTACCCCTAGTATGGCTGCGAGTCTTAGGGATAAAGTGCTTTTCGAGCCATCGAAGCCCAATTTCGTCTGTGGTCCACCCATTTGGACTAATTTCGATTCTCCAATCGTGGGGTAGATCGGTATACCAC